ATTCCACTTAAAAAAAAACGCAAAAACATGATAAAAACACATCAAAAAAAGCTTGTAGAAAAAAAACTGCAAAACGAACTGCGAAAAGCACTGCAAAACGGACAAAAAGCAAATTGCATAGGTGCGAACGGAGCCTTAGTGAACTACAGCAGAGAAAAATCAGTACTCCTTCCCAGCCAGAAGGGGCTGTGCTGTCTGGCAGAGCTGAACTGAATGGACAAAAAAACAAATCTTCTGGCAGGTAAAACATCACCTATACATGTAATTAGTCTGTGGATTCAGTTGTTTGCCTGGAGTTCAGTTTTAGTCCTCATGCACAATGGTTGCTTTTACAGCGGCTGTTTTTGGCTTTTGACATTTTTTTCTTCAGCTAGTAAACCCCCCAGCATGTTATCCTGTGTGTCCATGCACACATAGACTGGAATCAACGTTTTTTGGCTGGGACGTATTTTGTCTGGAAAAAAAAACAGAACTAGTCGGTTTCTAGAGTTCTTTAGCTATAAAAAACGCTCTAATGTTGAAAAATGCGGCAAAACATGGTAAAATGTGATTAAATGCCACAAACTGGCAAAACCAGTGAAATAAATGCTAAAAAACCGATAAAGACACAAAAGCGGGAAAAATGTGGGAAAACGCCACTAAACGCTAATGCAAAAATGCTAAAAAAAAGCTGAAAAACACGTTTTTAACGTGACTTTACACAGCTAATGTTACCAGCTTTATAAAAATGTCCAGTTTGCATGAGGGCTTAAAAGATAAAGGGTGACCCACCCTTAATGAGTATAGCAGAAGGGAGTTGAAGGAAATTCGGAAGCAAAGGCCACAGCCCCAAGAGATATTAAGCAACTACTGTGTGATTTGGCTCTCCAGCATCTACCCACCACAGAAGGATGTGTTTTGTATGGGATGACCATCAAGATTCTTGCAGCTGCAGAACAATGCCATTGTGATCATTTTTAATGTTTATGTTGCTTATCTAGAGTTTATTATTATGTTAGTTTTGGATCCTTGCACCTACCCAGTAGCAAAACCTCCCAAGAATCAATTATTTTAGTCTTGGAGACAGTGGGAAGCATTCCATCACTTGCCGTCAAAGTAGATTTCCAGCCTAATCCTAACTAGCCTTTAAAAATTTTCCCTTCCCCCCCAACACCTAGGCTGTGTAAGAAAGTTGTATATACTTACCCAGGGCTTTTTTTTCAACGGGAACGCGTGGGAACGCAGCACTGAATGTATGTAATGGCAAGGGGTGCTGGTATGTGCAGGAAGGTCTATTGATGCTGGTTGCTGGGGGATCTATTGTTACTGGAGGGAATCTATTTTGTACGGTGGTCTACTGTTGCTGTGGAGGTCTGGTGTTGCTGGAGGGGGGTCTATTGTTGCTGGAAGGGATCTACTGTTGAAGGAGGGGTCTATTGTTGTTAGCTGCTGGAGAGTCTACTGATGCTGGCTGCTGGGGGGATCTTTTGTTGATGCTGGGGTGGTATTTTGTTGCCAGGGTCCGTTGTTGCTGCGGGAAACTATTGCTGCTGGCTGCGGGAAGTTTATTTATTACTTTTCTTGTTATCATTAACACCTTCCATACAAATTACTTAGCAGCACAAAATGATAATTGGCTCTGTAATCTCTATAAGAATCTATACTACTGGGAGGTGGGTAGGGGGTCAAACCAAAGTACTGTGCTTAGAGATGGGTTGGGGGTGGAGACAAGAAGTGATTCAGAAGGGGGGGGGGTCCTGCACTTATTCTATAAGTAAAAAAAGCCCTTTACGTACCTATTTTCAGCCCGCTTCGGTCACATGATCTGACATCTTTGTGTCTGCTGCAGGGGAGAGGATGGAGTTCCAACTGGGACATGGGAGCCTATGGATGACACCACCACTCCAGGCTTTCCCAGACGTTTGTTGAGCACTCCATCCTCTCCCCTGTAGTCAATGCTGACTGATACAGAGGAGACAGATCTTGTGAACGGACCAGAGCGGGCTGAAAATAAGTAAGTATATACATTTTTTTTTAACAGGTCAGATAGCATAGGTGTTAGAAGGAGGGAGGGAACATTTTTAAGGCTAGTTTGGTTTAAGCTCAATTCTAGCTTAGTCGTGCTGTGTAAATCTCAGGACTGGTTGGACAAAAAAAACCTTTTGGCAGAAAAAAATAGATGTATCGCAGTAATGGTTTGTCATATTCAACTGGACTTTGCCTGGGTTCACACTGATGTGGTGCCGGATTCCCTGAGATTCCTGTGTGTTTCCCGCACCGCGTCACAATCACACTCTATTCATGCAAACTGGTGTGGGTGTGAATGTTAAGTTAACGACACAAAAATAATTCGCAAAATGCAGTGAGGGTGAGTGTGAACATCCATGTGATCAGATTCCAGTACGGCGAAAAAAAGGTGCATGCAGCTTTTTTCATGCAGGTGCGGTGCGATTTGAGCCATACAAAATGGATGGGCTCCAATCGGACTGCAAAAAATCACATGTGATCTGAACAGGAATGCGGTGTGATATATTTATAAACACAGCGCTCCTAAAATCAATATATACTCATGATCTGTGATAAACACATAACATAATAAAACCATACTTTTACATGTAAATCCACTTATAGTGATATATAAAAATAAAAAATATATATAATTCAAACTTTGTGATTATTATTTATCTCAAATAATTATATATAAAGTATATTTCAAATTTCGTGATTATTATTTTAATTTAAAACAATATATTTATAGTCCCGTCCATCAATTAAGTGATTCCAAAACATTTTTTGTGATGTGATGATTTTAAATCATGCAATAGTGACTTTCCGTGATCCTCCAACCAGTAAGATTTTGCGCTCACCTCCTTCTATGCCTAACAAATAGGCTATACAGGAATGCGGTGTGATTCCTGTCCGAATCAAATGCAGTGTCACGCACCACACAAGTGTGAACCCAGGCTTACCCCCAGTTCGCGTTTTGCACGGGCACGAGAGCCCATTCATTTGAATGGACTCCCATGCCCGTGACACGCAGGGAAGAAGTCCCTGCACTTCTTTTGAAAACACAGCCCACATGGGAACCTCGGTTTCCAGTACGGTTGCGTTTTCCAGTGCGGGCGACGTGCCATTAGAACTAATGGTACCCGCCCGCAGGTCCACATTTCTCTGTGCAGGTGGTGCGGCTGCACAGATTTTCCTACGGATCCGCAGCGGTACCACCGGCACAGATGTGAACCTAGGTTTAATCAGATATTTGGAAGATGTTTTGTGACTTCAACAAGTCACATCTACAATTGTAGTATCAGAAAAATACCCCCTGGAATGTGTAAAAGTTGATTGTCCAGGAACAGGATGGGAGGTGTGAAAGTTGTGGGACCACCCAGTTCTAGTTACTTAATGCAATCATTGGTTTCAGGAAATCTGCATACGTGTTAATTCCTTGGGTTACATGACCAAAGGTGTAGACATCTCTCATTAGAGATGGTAAAATGGCGTTATACCTGGTACACAGATGGTATTGAAGGTCCCCTCCCCTGTTCAGTGATGGTTGTTCCAGTTTGATGTAGATGACCACTTTAGTGTCTCTTGCCAACCAGTTATCCTTTCTGTCCGAAATGTCTCAAAATACATATTCATGTGTGTATTTATCTTGTTACCTGAAGTTCAACTTTAGCACACATTGATAAGATTCCTGCATCAAGTTGATCTCTGTTTCATGTATATTTTAAAATCATTGAAAAGACAAAATAATCCTTTGAAAGAACAACCACTTCTTAACCTGCCCATAGATGGATTGCAAATCAGCAGGTTCAGCAGAAACTAGCCAAATTTTGATCCATCTATTGTCGTTCTAACAATCAACTTTGGTCGGACAGGACTGTTTGAAAGCTTTTCTCAGTCAGCGTCTGTCAGCAATTGCAACTGGCTGCACCTGCTGATCAGAGTTTTCTGACAGTGGAGGAGTCCCGCTGTCAGAATACAATGGCACATCGGGGAGGATTCCTCCATTCACCACACACGTGCGGGTGATGGGATTCCCTCCTTTTTTTTTTTTTTTTCCGAACAGCCCTCTGGCTGATCGACTTAAAAAATAAAGGCATCTATAGCCAGCCTTAGCAGGTCAAAAAAGATAGGGCACTTTCACATGGGCATCCAGTAAAAAAGAGGCAGCTAAGCCATGATTTTACCAAGCCAACCAAAATTCTAATATTATATCTGGACAGATCTGTACAAATACTGCAGTTGTGAAGCTGTACTTTGCAGCTGCTGCAATTTTAATACAGTCTACAGAGTTTGACAAGCGGCATCACCTGACGTTACACTCGCCCATTGAGATCAATGGGAGCGCGGTGCAACCGCGAGCCAAACACTTGGCTTGGGAGGTGGAATGCCTATCAGTTGCTGCTTTACCACCCTTTCAAATCCACCGGTAAGCACTGCTGTTCATGTGAATGAGCCCTAACAAAGAAAAGTTCTGATCTCATTAGCTTATAATTAGTATCTTTCCTATGCTTTATGTGCTGGGAACAGTTTAGTTGGCACATACATCATGGCTTTAACTGACTCCAAGTGATCTTAGAGTAGGACCGACACAGTCAACAAATTATTGTGTCTGGCTTAGGGGATAAGCTAATTTTCATATTAGAGGCTCTCCCAGATTCAGGAATTGTTTCAATTGTTAATACATTCCATGTAAACATCTAAACTGCTCTGCCTTTGAAAAGTTTTTATTACTTGGTAAAAACTAAATTACAGAAGATTAGAAGGCCAACAAGTCAAAGTTGTTGTGGGGAGACTTTGATCTCTGGTATATGTGAGTGATGTATGACTTTCAGCTGAGAGATCGGTATCTATACTGTGATGTAATGTAATATGTTCAGTAGAGAATCCATTTTAATCTTGTTTTCTTCGCCTCCAGCAACACACAATTCGCTGCATGTCAATACAAGACAACTTGGATTCCTCAACATCCCTTCTATGAATGACATCCCTCCTTCTCTCTGCTTTTCTAACAGGGTCCTCCAGGAAGACCTGGACTCAATGGTGCTGATGGTATACTGGGACCTCCAGGGAATACAGTGATGCTTCCTGTGAGTACCTGTCACATCCCATGGAACTGTGGGGAGCTGGACAACTGGTCTGTTGGACACCTTAGAAGAACTTTGTGTGATTAGCATGACTCACCTCCCATGAACCCGTGATTCATCCTGTTGAGATTATATATTTATTTTGTTAGTGGTATTTATAGGCTTCCATTGGGATATTAGGAAGTACCAAAGTCTTGACATTTTTAAAAGAAATGAGTTAAACATCTGATTTTTTTCTTCAGTTGAAATCGTGTCATGCTTCATTCCAAAACTTAATGCTAATTCATTTTTTGTAGTATTGCATATACCAGTGGATACTGCTTCCTGTTAAAAAAAATACTGTAAATTATACATTGGAGCTAAGAGTAGTAGCAGTAGAAGTCATATGTAGAAGAATACATACGTGAACATATTTGAAACGTGTTTGAACATATTTGAAACGTGTGTACAAATACTTAGCAAATCCTTTATAGTAAAAACAGTAGTAGAGGAAGCTTTGCCTGTACAATGTCAACAAATAGGAGCAGAAACAAGAGGTATAGGAATAAGATATTATGCTAGAAAATGTATTAAATGCTGAGAACATGAAAGGGCAAGTCACTGCAGTGGTGGAAAAATAAGATATACCTGTGCTCAAATCCCATGACTGAAGTATTGATGATGTTGGGGCTGCCATGACCCATTACTACCATAACCCATGTACCATTCAGCTTTTTTGATATATGACACAACCACATACCTTGGATTTATATGGCCATAGCAGCCCTTTTCTTAACAACCATAAAATAACAGAATCACTTTTAATACCAAATTCTTAAACACTAACTTTACAACCACAAAGAACATAACTGACCATCTCCTTTTTGTCTCAGGTTAATGAAGGCCTGTTTTACTATTGCATCGGCTGTATCACCCACCACGTGCCTATTCATTCCTATATTGACCCCTAGCCGCAGTTACACAGGCTCAGGGACAAATTGTTAACCCTTCTGACACCGGATGCAGCCCGATGACCGATAGCCCCAACTGATGTCACTTCATAGTGACAGTCAGGGGCGGACTTACCATTTGGAAACTCGGGCACTGCCCGAGGGCCCGGGGTCAGTAGGGGGCCCCATGAGATGCCCCTGGTACCTTTTCATAGGCTTTTTTGAGTTTGGGCAAGGACACAAGGGCCCCATGATCCCGTATTGCCCGGGGGCCCCATGAGTTGTCAGTCCGCCCCTGGTGACAGTATACCCATACCGAGATGGGCCCTACCCATTACACTCCACATACTGTTTTGACCATGCTGGCCTACAGGAACCTGACACCCCTGTCTGCTGCTATGACAAAACAAAGCCTACACCCCAACCACCCGCCGATAATCAACCCATAGCTCACATCACCTTTTGAGGTCCCCAGGGAAACACAACCATACAAGGACCCTTAACGACCTCATAACAAAAAGAAAGAAAGAGAAAATATAAAACAAAAAAAAAGAATGGGAGGGAGGGTGGGCAAGTGTCTTCTCTGCTGATCAGGCTCCCACTAACCCTCAAGGAACTGCTCCCTTCCACCAGACCACTGCTGCCACTCTCAGCCACACCCTGCCCACCTTTCTTCCACCAATAAGGTAAGCCTTTTGTTTACTTAAAACTAACCAATTAAAACTGCCTAGCTGTAGCCTTCCCAGCCAACTCAGTCATGCAGACCCTACACTTATGCTTCACATACAGTGCCTGGCCTTTTCTATAGCTTGTACATGTATATAATCCATCATGTGCTAAATGGGTGTGAGTAGAGGTGTATATTATTTCTATTACATTGCAGGTCAGTGGCCAGACCTGAACCTGTAGCTCTCCCTTAACTTGTGTCTATCTGCCCCATATTGGTATTATATTCACTGTAGCATTTGCATTTTACAGAACAGGTTAGGAACTGGCCATTGAGGGATTACTTTGACACAGCTGGCCAGCTTAAACATGTATTGCAACATGTGTGAACTAAAAATCCCTGTTTTTTTTTTTCCACTGCTAAGTTTGCTATAAAGGGTATGCAGTGTGCAGGTGGTTCAACCAGAATTTCTAAAGCAATGGGGGGAAGCACAAGTGCAAATTGGTGCAATGACAGCGGGCATTGGTTCATTAGTGAGTAAAGTGGGAGCATGTGGGAGAAGCGCTGAGGTTAGCTGTAGTGGTTAGAGCACTTGATATGGGGGTGGCATGAAGGCGCAGTGATATTGTTACTGCTGTGCATGCTAAAAGGTATTGGTGTCTTTTTGACTTATCCCAAAGGCTACACAATACCCTGAGAGTGGACTTGACATCAGGGGCTGACTGACAACTCATGGGGGCCCCGGGCAATAGGGGATCACGGGGCCCCTGTGTCCTTGCACAAACTCAAAAAAGCCTATGAAAAAGGTACCAGGGCATCTCATGGGGCCCCCTACTGACCTCGGGCCCTCGGGCAGTTTCCAAATGGTCAGTCTGCCCCTGCTTGACATTTAATGCTACTGATCTCCTCTAATCTGAAGTGGTTCTTATAGCTACCGTCAATCAACTAACAGCACAGGAAGTCTTCCATTACTAGCAACTTCTTTGTGGCTCCTGCATGTCACTTGATCTACTGAAGATGGCTGCAAATAAGTTATTAGCGATGAGAGACTTTCTGTGCTGGGAGCTGCTTGCTGGTATGTGCATAGATTACTGGAAGTTAGAAGAGATCAAAAGCACTGTCACTAAATGGTGCATTCAGGTCCTGCTTTCTATGCAAGTGCAGCTGGACCCCATAGACTTTTATCAGGCCTGAAGGCAGATCCATCTGGAGGCAGATCCTTCTCCTGGCCCCATAGAAGTCTATGGAGTTCTACTCACACTGGCAGTGGGAAGTAGTGGATGCCGTGACCACAGGTAAACATTGTGGCAGACCTCTAGTGGATTTGGTATCTTAGAAGATCTGAAGTGAGATGAACAGGAGTTCAAGAGAAGGGAAAAGGCACATGACAAAACCTAAAGATGAGCATGAAAATGCCCCAGTGGAGCAGGGAGAAGGTTATGTACAGAGTAGAGTTTGTACTTTGGGAATCTCTGAAAGTTGGTATGGAAGATTGAGGCTAGTAAGAGGTCTTCAATTTATAGTTATAGTAAAATGGATATACATTAAATTACCAAGAAACAAGAGAGGAAACCTATTAAACACAGGGAATAGCTACACATTATGAGACTTATAAATCTAAATGACCTTTATTACAGTACTCAAGGTGGAGTGATGTCCCATACCCACCCAACTACCAGCTTTTTGCATCTGAATGCTCTCTAGCTGATCAAACGAGAGATCACTGTAGGTCATTTTCCATTAGATTACTAAAACAAGTAATAGTTTCTGGATATTAAAAAAGAATATGGCACCTCCTATGTACTTAGTTCTATTATCCTATAATACATTGATCACTAGTCCTGACTGTCTAGTTCTAAAGTCCATTTACAGATTTCTAAACTTTTTTGTTATTTATTCTGAGAATACAAAGTGAGCATAAATATCCATCAATAGTATTATAACATGTCAAATCACATTAATCTGTGATTTATCTGTCTGTTCAGAACGTAGCCTTATAATCTCTACCACTCTGGTATTTTAAACCGTACTGCTTTGGGCCTGGACTTTTCTCAGTCTTTTCACACCAAAGGAACCCTTTGAAATAGTATTCTGGTTTTAGGAACCTTGGGATCCGTGCCACAAATGTTTATATATTCAGTTAACTGTACATTACCAACATCAGTTAGTTGTAGTTATAACTACCTTCTAAGAAAAACCTTCTAAGCCTGGTGGTCGGTGGGAAGCAAGGCCTTTTGATTGGTGTTCACAGTAGTGTTCTTAAACTTTGAAGGTCAGTGGGAAAATGTCTCCTTTACAAACAGCTAAAGAATAAATATGACAGTTAGTGGCTACATACCTGAGAGACAAGATGAGAGGCTCCATTTGTTAAATAACATTAAAGCATTACCTAAGCAAGCACCATTAGGTATCATAGGAGATTAATTTGCCTACTCTAGGAACACCTACCAACCTCTGGAGGAACCGTGGTTGAGAAAGACTGGATTAGAGGCTGTAGGATATAATTCTAAAATATTGTGTCACAATGTTTCCTGCACAGTTCCAGTATGGTGGTGATTCCAGGGGACAGACTGTGTCATTTCAAGAAGCTCAGGCACAATCCATCTTGCAGCAGGCTAAGGTACAGTATTTAGATTATTATTATTATTATTATACAGTATTTGTATAGCGCCAAAGGGTTTTCTCAGCACTGTACAGTAGCAAGGGGGACAGAACATGAGACAAGACAGTAACAATACAATACACGAGGGTTCGAGGGCCCTGCTCTTTTGAGCTTACAATCTAGGAGGGAGGGGAAGGTGGAACAGGAGGAAATGGCTGTGGGGGATGGAGTGGTGGGAGAAGTGGAGGAGGTTAGTTGTTAGGGGGGGGTCAGGTGTTAGGTGAGGTTGGGGTAGGCTTCCCTGAAGAGGAGGGTTTTCAGGGTGCGCCTAAAGGTGAGGAGGGTAGGTGACAGTCTGATGGATTGGTGTAGGGAGTTCCTGAGCATGGGGGAAGTCCTAGAGAAGTCCTGCAATCGGGCGTGGGAGGAGGAGACCAGGGAGCTAGAGAGTAGGAGGTCCTGTGAGGAGCGGAGGGCACGGGTAGGGTAGTATTTGGGTATCAGGTCAGTTAACTAGTTTGGGGCGGCGTTGTGAATGGCTTTGTAGGTCAGAGTTAGCAGTTTGAATTTGATGCGTTGGGCAATCGGGAGCCAATGAAGGGATTGGCAGAGGGGGGAGGCAGATGTGGAGCGGTTGGTGAGGTGGATGAGTCTAGCCGCTGAGTATAGGATCGACTGGAGTGGGGATAGCGTTCGTTTGGGTAGGCCGGTGAGAAGGGAATTGCAATAGTCCAGGCGTGAGATGATGAGGGAGTGTACGAGTTGTTTGGTGGTGTCTGGGGTGAGGAATGTGCGTATCTTGGAGATGTTGCGGAGGTGGAGCCTGCAAGATCTAGATAGCAGTTGGATGTGGGGTAGGAATGAGAGGTGGGAGTCCAGGGTGACACCCAGGACTTTGGTGTGTGGGCGAGATGGTGGCGTTGTTAGTAGTGATGGAGAAGATGGGGGGGGAGACCAGGAGCTCGGTTTTGGATAGGTTAAGTTTGAGGAAATGGTGCGACATCCAGTCTGATTTTGATCTACATAGAAAGCTGATTCATTTGATGTTTTCATTCCCCTTCCCAATACTATTTAGGTTTTAGAGCTGTATGTGGTTGTGGAGCAGAGAGAAAAGGGCTAGATGTCCAAAACACCTTAATCTCACTCACAACCTTGTTGTAGTATTCCTAGTCCTGTAATAAACCAAACAATTTTACTACAGGCTGATTACCTAATAGTATGTAGAAATTTTTTGATATTTATTTTACTGACTCATTTTTATTTACCATTTCAGCTGGCTATGAAAGGTCCACCTGGCCCAGTGGGTCTGACAGGGCGACATGGTCCCCTTGTAAGTATCTTTATTAACAGTTTGCACTGCATAATATTATCTACCTATCTCATCACTATAAAAGAAGTAGTTCCAAGATACAAAATACAGCTTTATGAAATTTGCAAATCATTAAATATGGTTGGCGTTTATTGGGATCTCACTGTTCAGGTATGTAATGTAAAAAAATCATAATTTATACTGGATGGGCTCCATGTGAACATTAGCATGCAGCTAGTTATAACATTTCCTATTTTCCTTATACATAATGATTTGTAATTTTTCTCACAACCATTTAACATCAGTTTTAAAATGTCTCTCGGAATTTTAATTAATAGCTTAGAATAAGTGTTATCTTTTTTTCTAGGGTCCTCCTGGGTCGCAAGGTCTAAAGGGTGATTATGGTGATAATGGCCCTCCGGTGAGTCTTTCCATACTTATTACAAGTATATTACAAGGGGAGTCATTGTCACATGGCTTCTACTGTCTGTGTCACCCTGTGGTGGGAAGGACAGACTCCATGTCACATAGCCCCCCCATCTGTGTCACCTTGTGGTGGGAGAGGCAGACTCCATGTCACATAGCCCCCCTATCTGTGTCACCCTGTGGTGGGAGTGGCAGACTCCATGTCACATAGCCCCCCCTATATGTGTCACCCTGTGGTGGGAGGGACAGACTCCATGTCACATAGCCCCCCCTATATGTGTCACCCTGTGGTGGGAGAGACAGACTCCATGTCACATAGCCCCTCCGCCTGTGTCACCCTGTGGTGGAAGGGGCAGACTACGTGTCACATAGCTCTCCCTGTCAGTGTTACCTTGTGGAGGGAAGAACAGACTCCATGTCACATAGATCCTCCTGTCTGTATCACCCTGCGGTCGGGACGGGACACACTCCTTGCCACATAGCTCCTCATGTTTGTGTCACCATGTAGTAAGAGGGATATATTCCATGTCACAAAGCAATTCCTGGATGGTATCACACAATGGTGGAAGAGGCAGACTCCATGTCACATAGCTCCTCCTGGGTGATATCACACTGTGGTGGAATGGACAGACTCCATGTCACATAGCTCCTCCTAGGTGGTATCACAATATAGTGGAAGAGGCAGACTCCATGTCACATAGCTCCTCCTGGGTGGTATCACACTGTGGTGGAATGGACAGACTCCATGTCACATAGCTCTTCCTGGGTGGTATCACACTGTGGTGGGAGGGACAGATTCCATGTCACATAGCTCCTCCTGGGTGTTGTCACACTTTTGTGGAAGCAACAGACTCCATTAAACATAGCTTTTCCTGCGTGGTGTCATACTGTGGTGGGAGAGACAGACATCATGTAACATGTTGCCTTCTGTTAGTGTCAGAGTTGGATTTGATTGTAATAATGTTTTTTCTTGTAAATTTACATATTGATTCCATTCAGTTAAATTAATATTTACAGGGTCCACGTGGCTTTCAAGGAATCATAGGTCCCCCAGGAAAGATTGGTAAAAGAGTAAGTATTAGTTAAAATTCTCTGTTTATAGTGCGTCACTTATAGGTTTTAATTTCTTTGTTCATATTTGTGTGTCTTGTCATTAAATCTCTTATACATTTTAATATCTCGCATTTTCATCTTACCTATACTTTATTTAATCCCTTTGTTGCTTTCATCTATTTAGTCTTTTGTGTCTTGACCTCTCATTTGTATCTCCCAAAAGAGTTATTATTATATACTGCTCAAAATAAATTAAAGGAACACTTTTTAATCAGAGTATAGCATCAAGTCAGTTTAAACTCCTGGGATATTGATCTGGTCAGTTAACTAGCAGAGGGGGTTATTAATCAGTTTCAGCTGCTTTGGTGTTAATGAAATTAACAACAGGTGCACTAGATGGGCAGCAATGAGACAACCCCCAAAACAGGAATGGTTTTACAGGTAGAGACCACTGACATTTTTTTCCCTGCTTATCATTTCTGACTGTTTTTCTCTAGTTTTGCATTTGGCTAGAGTCAGTGTCACTACTAGGAGCATGAGGTTATGCCTGGACCCTACAGATGTTGCACAGGCAGTCCAACTCCTCCAGGATGGCACATCAATATATGCCATTTCCAGAAGGTTTGCTGTGTCTCCCAGCACAGTCTCAAGAGCATGGAGAAGATTCCAGGAGACAGGCAGTTACTCTAGGAGAGCTGGATAGGGCCGTAGAAGGTCCTTAACCCATCAGCAGGACTGCTATCTGCTCGTTTGTGCAAGGAGGAATAGGATGAGCACTGCCAGAGCCCTACAAAATGACCTCCAGCAGGCTACTGGTGTGAATGTCTCTTACCAAACATTCAGAAACCGATTTCATGATGGTGGCCTGAGGACCCGACGTCCCCTAGTGGGCCCTGTGCTCACCGCTCAGCACCATAGAGGCCAATTGGCATTTGCCTTTAATCCCCAGAATTGGCAGGTCCGCCACTGGCGCCCTGTGCTTTTCACAGATGAGAGCAGGTTCACCCTGAGCACATCTGACAGACGTGAAAGGGTCTGGAGAAGCCATGGAGAACGTTATGCTGCCTGTAACATCCTTTAGCATGACCATTTTGGTGTTGGGTCAGTGATGGTCTGGGGAGGCATATCCATGGAGAGACGCAAAGACCTCTACAGGCTAGACAATGGCACCCTGACTGCCATTAGGTATCAGGATGAAATCCTTGGACCCATTGTCAGACCCTACGCTGATGCAGTGGGTCCTAGGTAACTTCTGATGCACAAAAAAGCCCGGGCTCATGTGGCGAGAGTATGCAGGCAGTTCCTGGAAGATGAAGGAATTGATACAATTGAATTGCCCCCACGCTTGCCTGACCGAACACCTCTGGGATGTCATATATGGTCCATCTGGTGCCGCCAGGTTGCACCTCAGGTTGTTCAGGAGTTCAGTGATGCCCTGGTCCAGATCTGGGAGGAAATACCCCAGGACACCATCCATCGTCTCATTAGGAGCATGCCCCAACATTGTCAGGCATGCATACAAGCACGTAGGGGCCATATGAACTACTGAGTACCATTTTGAGTTGCAGTGAAATTTCAACAAAATGGACTAGCCTGCTGCATAATTTTTTCACTTTGATTTTCGGGGTGTCTTTGAATTCAGTCCTCTGTAGGTAGATAATTTTCATTTCCATGAAACGATGGGGCATCCTTTATGTTCCTAACACATTACCCAGCCCATATCAGTATAGATATCCAGCATGATATTTTTCCCCATTGAGATCTGATGTGTTTTCAAAGTGTTCCTTTAATTTTTTTGAGCAGTGTATTTCGGTCACAGTGCATTTTTTAGCCACTTTCACTTGCATCTATCTTCTGTATTTTATAAAATTTACTTTTCTCATGTGAGCATTATTTTATTTTTGTTTCAGGGACGTGGTGGAGCAGATGGAGGCCGCGGTGTTCCTGGTGAAACAGGAATTAAGGTGGGACAGGATTCTTCTTCGTAAGAGCATTAATAATGTTCAGCTTTTCACTGGAAAAAGAACAAGGGATCAATATAGTTTTTAAAGATAAACTTTAATCTGCTTGTCATTTTAATTTCATATCCAGCTATCACCATTGGAAAGCTTTTCACTTATACTGAATGCATTCATCGGATCCTAATTTCTGGAGTCAGGAGGAGCTTTTCCTCTTTACAGCATTAATACATTTGACGGCTGATTCATTTGCTTCTTGTGAAGCAAAACTTCAGGCATCAACACTACAAAAAAAAACACACTGTACAATTTGTTGCCTTTTTAAAACTTATGGTTTATAAATTGTGATCAGATTACATTGAAATAAACATTTCTAACAAATGTTTTTTAAGAACAGGCTCTTGCCTTGTACACTACTCAAAAAACCCTAAATACCAGTATATTTTGGTGTGTTATTACTGAACATCTTCTTTGGTTGAAACCACATGCGAAAATACTTTGGTATGCAAAGTGATCATCTAGGCCAGAATTACAGAGCCTGCTATGAGAAAAACTGGATATTTTATACATACTTACTTGAAAAATCCTTTTCTTGGAGTACATCATGGGACGCAGTGCAGGCTATTCATGAATATGTGGGTTATAGGCCACCTATAGGTGAATGGACACTGACTGACCAATCAGAGAGGAAATCCTCCCCTATATAATCCCTCCTACACACGAAGTACCTCAGTTTTTGTGACATTCCAGAAAGAGGGGTTTGACCTCTGTGTCCTGTGATGTATTCCAATAAATGGATTTTACAGGTAAGTATGTAGAAAAAATCCAATTTTCTTTATTATGCATCACAGGACACAGAGCAGGCTTCTCGTGACTATGTGGGATGTCCCAGAGCAATAAGAAATTTAAGAGGAGGGTGACACCATGATAGCCACTGTCAATAATCCCTCAGGACCGACTCAGCTGTCCGTAAAAACACTGCGGCCAAAGGCAGAATCCTCTGCAGCTCTGACATCCACCTGGTAATACCTTGTGAATGTGTGAACTGAAGACCATGTAACGGCCTTGCAAACCTGAGCCACTGATGCCTGATTGCCCAAGATGCCCCCACACTCCTTGTGGAGTGTGTCTTCACCCAAAAGGGTAGAACTTTACATTTCAAACCATAGGCTTGAATGATTAGTTGGTGTATCCAATGAGAAATAGTCGCCTTGGATACCACCTGCCCCTTCCTAAGCCCCTCTGACACCATAAATAGAGCATCTGACCTCCTGACCTGTGCTGTCGCCTTCAAGAAGACCCTTACAGCACATACCACATCGAAGGTATGCAGAGATCTTTCTCTTGCTGACTGAGGCTTAGGAAAGAATGAAGGCAGATTGATTGAAATGAAAAACTAGAAACCACCTTTGGTAAAAAAGCACAGATGAGGTCGCAACACCACCTTATGATGCAAAACCAGAAATGGTTCTCTGCAAGATAGAGCTGCCAGCTCTGACACCCTTCTCGCAGAAGTGATTGCCACTAGAAACCACACCTTATGAGTCAACAGGACCAGTAGAATCTCTCCAATAGGTTTAAATGGTGGCTTTTGCAAAACCTCCAAAACCAAGTTCAGGTCCCAAGGACACAAAGACAACCTGACAGGAGGAGCCATATGCATCACTCCTTGTAAAAAAGTGCAAACCAAAGAGTAAGATGCAATGGGCCTCTGGAAAAAAATAGCTAATGCTGAAACCTGGCCCTTAATGGTACCAACAGCCAAATTCTTCTGCAACCCTGTTTGAAGAAACAACAGAATCCTGGCAATCACATACTTTCGTGGATACCATTTGTGAAGCTCACACCAGGCAATGTAAGCCTTCTACGTTCTGTAATAAATGTTCCTAGAAACTTCCTTCTAGCACCCAACATGATGGGGATGACAGATTCCAACACTCCGCTATCTTTCAGGATCTGGGTTTCAATAGCCACGCCGTCAAATTTAGCGACCATAAAGTTGGGTGCGATATAGGACCTTGAGACAACAGGTCTGGCCGATACAGCGGTGCCCATGACCCGTCTACTGCTACCATTACTATGTCCGCATACCAAGCCCTCCTGGGCAAGGCTGGAGCAATCAATATCACTGGAATAGACTCCTTCAGAATCCTGCGTAAGAGACGCTGCAGCAGCTGGATTGGAGGAAAGGCATAAATTGGTGAGAACTGGTTCCAAGGGATAACTAAGGCGTCTACCCCTGCTGCATGAGGTCCCTTACCCTGGACACAAAAAGACCGACCTAATTGTTAAATCTGGATGCCAATAGATCTACATCCAGGCAATCCCAGATTTCCTTGAAAACGGGATGCAAAGCACATTACCCTGGAATCACGGCAGGCATTGATATACAAACCTTCAAGGATTCAGTCCCCATGCTGAGGGGCTACTGCCTTGGACCCGTATAGCACCCCGCTGGAAGTGCCTTGGTCAGATTTAAAACTGCACAGGGTTCCATCTGCATGGGGTCCAGTGCCGAAGGCTGCATTACAGGCAAAACCTCAAGGATTCTTCTTCTTATCCAGCGAGGCTCAGGTACCATCCATTTTAGCTTATAGCCTTCAGACTGGATCCGATTAAAGTCCCTGATTCTCTATTGGAACCATTCTGGACTTTTAGATATGCTCCAAGAGCACAGCAACACTTACAGTGACCATCCACCTTACAAACACTGGTGAAAGAAACTGAGGGGCTTCCTCTATAGGAGGGATTATATAGGGGAGGACCTCCTCCCTGATTGGTCGGCCCGTGTCCATTCACCTATGGGTGCCCTATAACCCACATAGTCATGATTAGCCTGCTCTTTGTCCTGTGATGTATGATAAAGAAATAAACCCAACCTGTAGAGACCTGTAGGAGCCTAGTCCTTAGTACAAGTGGAAGTCAAATGGTGGCCAAAAGTTTAACAAAAGCTACCTAATGATATGAGCTAAAAGTTGTGTGATATGGCTTTTTTAAATATTTCAGTTGACAATCTGGCATCTGGTGGCCTCTACAGTGGAAAGCTATTAGAAAAGCTGTCCAATCACAGTTGTTCCCCCTAAATCTTCCAGCACTGCTCATCTTCATTCCCCTTTTCTTTTCCAATGACATAAATACAAAGAAACATAGAGGAGAGATGTCAGAAAAAGACCAAGTGGTCCATCAAGTCCATCAAGTCTGACCCTTTTTTTGGGGTGGGGGGTTGTTTTAGTACAAATCTATGTTTGCCTCAAGCATGTCTAAATTCAATAACTTTTTTAAATTATTTTTGAATTTTTTCTCCTCCCCTAAAAAGATTTAGGGTTACCTTTTTCATGAGATTGCAAAACAAACAAACAATGTGGCCAAACCATGGGAAAAGTGAATAGAATTCTAGAGGGTATCACTAAAGGCATCACTAGCAGGAAGGAAGGCGCCCTGATTCTCCTATATAGCTCTTTAGTTAGACCTCATTTAGAATGCTGTATCCAATTTTGGAGATCTCATTTATAAGAAGGTATTGATATGATAGAATGAGTGCAGAGACAGGGAACAAAAATGGTGAAAGGTATGGGGGATAAAACATATCAGGAGAGACTTCAGAAACCTATTATGTACAGTCTTAAAGAAATGTGAGGCATGACTGAAACCTTTGAATACATTAAAGTGTTACTAAACCCAGCACCCTGCATTCACTATATCCAGTCTCCCACAGTACACACAAAATGGAAATGCAATTATTTTAGTAAATATAAACTGCTAAATACTTTTTCTCATCAGCAGTATATAGCAGTCTTGTGACTTCTATCAGTGTCTAGCTGAGCACTGGTTAAAGCTTGGAGGAGGAGTTTTCATTCGGCTATGGCTGTCCTATGAGGGTGACCCTCTGTATGGACAATGCTGATTGGCATTGTGCTAATCACATACAACCTACCAAAAAAAAAAAATCTCTAGTCATACACACCAAACTGAGCATGTGCAGAAGGACTCCTTGAGCTCTGTACTATCAGCAGATGGATTGGGGACAGTAAAAGAAGGGGAGAATCAAAGAAGACAGGATTAAACAGCCTTTTTACACAATGTGGAGGATTAACCCCTTAGGTTCCAAACTGAGTATAACAAGCATGCTTTACTGCACATGCAGACCGATTTTACTGTTGTGGGTTTAGTAACACTTTTAGAGTGTGAGTAAGGTGGAGGAGGGCAGTATTTTCAATATGAAGCTAAGATCAAGAAGACGGGGACATGACCTTACACTAGCAGGAGGAAGGTTCAAAACAGTAAGTGGATTGAAACTTGCTTGGGATAAACATAGATCTATATGTTAGATTTAGACAGAAAATTTTAAAAAGTAAAAATGGGGCAAACTTAATGGACCACTTGGTCTTTTTCTGACATCACTCTCTTATGTTTCTGTGTTTCTATATTGGAAATACTGCCTTCCTGAACTGTATTCATGCCTATAACGTATAAAGATTTTAATCATGTCTTCTCTTTCCCTTCTTTTTTCAAAATACGAATGCCACAGACTATGGAGGTGTTTGAGGGCCGCTGCTAAGGACTGCCACTTAAATACACTCTCTCATCAGTGAGATAAATATGGTGGAGAACAGAGATACACTGGTTGGGCACATCTTGTCTTGCTGCCTTCTGCCATAAGAGTATAGTGAAAGCCCTGGAGAGCTTTTTTGGTACTCTCACCAATACGACACCTTAAAAAAAAAAAACAAGAAAGGCAACGCCATTCAACATCTCTGCTCACAACCTCCAGCTGTTAAAGGCTGTATAAGTTATAGTCTTTATACACCCAACATATTTACTGTATCATCAAAGAGTAATTGTTATTTCTATCAGAATCTCATCCCTGAGAGATAATCAGATGTGTATATGATCTGTCCATCTGAGCCTAAACCTGAGTTGCACCCTTCTAATGTAAGGCAGTTCAAAATCTTTCAAGGTAAAAGTTTTAAGCTTGCTTCTTCTGTACACTGCCCGATAATTATTTTTTATTTCATATTACATAGGGGGACCGTGGATTTGATGGCTTGCCAGGACTTCCAGGAGATAAAGGGCACAGAGTAAGTGCAGATGCTAATGATCTGAAGTTGTCTGCTTATAACTTCTTGTATTGTTCCAAAGAGATGGCTATGCTTGACTGGGATTGCAAGCATAAACATATGAGCCAATTCCTGGCTTGCAATATGGCAACAGCAATGTGAACATGGCTTGAATCATGATAGGCTTGTTCTTTCCTCTTCTACAGGGAGATTTGGGGAACTCGGGCCCTCCTGGGCCAACTGGGAAAAATGGAGAGAAGGTAATATGGCTTACAAAGAAAATATCATGAATAAAAGTTTGAATATACATACTGTTGCTTGCGTGTATTATAAACATAGTTGAAACTGCAGTACACTGAATGTCCTGGTTAGTTAAATCACTCTCATTCTCAGCGTAGTGCACTACAAAAAATATATGATTCATTGCTGGCACCTTTTTCCCTTGAATATGGAGAAAAAGTTCCTTGAAGGATTTTTCCATTATGGGAAGAACTTGGGTAGATTAACACATACTGTACCGAAAGAGTAAGAGAGTTTGGTGACCCATTTGCCTAAATGACATAGGCAAAGGTGACAGTGACACAGATGGTTAAGAGTCTGTAATAGGAGGAAAGATCAAAAGCAAATTTCACACAATTGTTCTCTTCCAACCTTGTAGTAATAGTCTGAGAAAGACCCCTTTCTGTTCCAACACGACTGCCCCCTGTGCACAAAGCCAGCTCTCTAAAAACATAGTTTGACAAGTGATGTGGAGGAAGTCAAGTGGCCTCTACAGAGCCCTGCCATCAACCTTATTGAACACTTGTGGGTTAAACTGGAATGCTGACTGAGAGCCAGGTCTTCTTGTCCAAAATAGGTGCCTGACACACTCCAAGTCTTGTAGAGCTTTCTAAAAGAGTGGAGTCTACTATAACCTCCAAAGGGGGTTGTGGTGGGGGTCTCTACATTGATGCCTCTGGTTTTGGAATGTGAAGTCCAACAAGCTCATGTAGTGATGGTCTGGTTATCACAAACATTTGATCGTAGGCTGTAATAAATACTATTTTATTTATTTAGTTTATTACTTCTCTGCTTTTTAGTATCACATCTGACACAAAATGGAGTTCCAGGATATTTTGATCTTAAATAGCAATATCCTGAGATTTTTAAGTATATTTATTGGAAAAGAACACCACTTTATAGTATGTATTTGCATTGAGGTGGGTTTTTAATAAGTTCTAATTTCATTCAGGGTTCTTCTGGACCTCATGGGCCTGCTGGTTCTCCTGGTGAAGCTGTAAGTATATTTATCTCCTTTTCCAAATGCATTTTCAATCATCTTCAAACTTCTTAATGTTATTGTTACTTATACATTCTACTAGTCTGCACCACAAGGGTGGACAAGTGGCCTAAGTAATCACTATTAATGGCCATACTAGGACACAATATGGCTAAGTGTCAATGTTAGATTACACCAGCATAGAGGCAATTTAGGGTCAAAGTTGAGTATCCTAGTAAATCATATGGGATGAAGATTTACAACTTATTTGAAAATGGAAATGGGTATAAATTCCATTTATTATTTTAAAGGTTAATTAACAGTTGTGAAATACTTTTTTATTTGCATGTTAAAAAACATTTTATTACTAAACAAAAATAATTTTTCTGATAACACTAAAATTGGCATCGTTTCTTCTTTAGGGTGCACGGGGCTTGGTTGGTCCACGAGGCCCAACTGGCCCACCAGGTCAGCCAGGTGTAAATGGAATTGATGGAGCACCAGGTCCAAAAGGAAACCAAGTAAGGAGACTACTTTTTGTTGCTTTTGACATTCATACATTTTTGTATATAATGTAGGTCCATTCTAAGCCATGAGTAAGGGTCTCCATGGGGTGCTGGATTGTACTTTATTTCACTCTTACCTTTTTTATGTAATTACTAGGGATGGCATGCTCCAGGCAAACGTCATCTGTAATTTGACCATAAGATTTGTTAAAACTAGGAAATGACTGTAGTAAGCTAAAAATAGGAGCAAGGGGATGAGGTTCCTGCATGCTAACTGACTACTGATGTCACATTTGCAAGGAAGATAAGCTTTTATGTTTTAATATTTTTTTTGGCAGCTACTGTAAACTCCAGTGAAATTAAAACGTCATTATTAATGAAAAACGTCACTTCTCCTAACAAATGGTATTTTGTATGTAATTGCCCATAAGCCCTATTGTAATTTAATCAGTCCCTATGCTACCTATATTACTAAAGTGTTATATATCATTGTGGGGGAATGGGGAAAATTAGGCTTTTTTTGGTGGTATTTTTAACAAAAAATTTTTTTTATTATCAAATCTCTAAATTTTGAGGCAAATACTTTTCATGAACTTTTTTTCACATTTGACCATTTATAATATCAAAACCTTCAATGTCAAGAAGATTCACCTGCAGTGAATATTGTTGAATATTAGATTTAGTGCTTTATAAATATGTCCAGTGGTGTTGCTGTAGACTTTTTATTCTGTGATTTGTACATTTAATACGATACTCGCATAAAGAATGATGAATTTATTCACAAATGAAATGCCTGAGATTGTTAATTTTTTAACGACACTACAAAAAAAAATAACAAATGAAACAAATGAGGATATAAAAAAATTAAGGGAATAATCATGGTTAATCAAGGCTAAAGTGAACTGTGCATGTTTATGCCATAAATCTACAGAACAATCATGCATTGCCCATGTCTTCATGCTATTGTTATTGTCTATTGGTACCTTAATTTCCTTCTTTCAGTACATTTTTTATAACATAGTTTCCTTTTAAATCTAATAGGGCATTCAAGGAGATTCTGGGCCAAATGGACAACAAGGAAACCCAGGACCGCATGTAAGAACTTGGAGAATCCAAGATATATGTTCAAGCACTATAAAAATTAAATTCCAATGAGCAATTTTCGAAAATACTGTTTTGTAAAAAAAAAAAGTTATAATTTATATCCTTAATATTGAGTTACCATCTCTGCCTACCTGACATGGCTTTTATGATATATATAGGTTAATATCTTTTCCATTTTCCTTTAAGGGTTTACCCGGACCTCAGGGACCCATTGGAATGCCAGGGGAAAAGGTGAGTGTACCCACCCATGAAAAGTCCTTGGTGGTGACAATTTATATGTAGATAGTTACAAGTGTTATTTCCTGCTGAACTTTTTGTTAGTTTTGAATATAATAGGGGAAAATTACAACCCCACAGAGGAAGTGAGGAAAAATCTTCAACAAGGACACAGACAGCAATAACAAGCTGACAGGGGTTCTAGCCTTCCCTTACTCTATTAAAAATAAAATGTACTTCTCCATTTCTGCTGAAGAGTTCCCTTCAAGATGTTCCCGAAAACAGTGTCACCAGGACAGGAAGTAAATGGAGATCTAACCTCACACAGCAGTAAACCTGCAACAAGGGTTACCAACCATGGCACTACCTGCACAGAGTTTGCATATTCTCCCTGTGCCTGCGTGGGTTTCTTCCGGGTATTCCGGTTTCCCCCCACACTCCAAACACATGCCGGTAGGTTAATTGGATCCTGTCTAAATTGGCCCTAGTATGTGTATGTGTGAATGCGAGTTAGGTACTTTAGATTGTAAGCTCCTTAAGGGCAGAGACCGGTGAATGTATAGTACATATGTAAAAGTGCTGCGTAAATTGGCACTATATAAGTATCTGAAATAAGTAAAAATAAATAAATTAGGGTTCAAAGTCAAACAGCTACCAGTGTCAAGCCCTAGTCAGTTATGTGCTTGTTTGCCCTACTGGTTCTGAGGCCATAGTCATCTTTCCATAAGAAGGATTTTGTCATTGTATAAACAATTATTTGACAGGTGCTATTTATTTTGTATTTTCTTTTCCCACAGGGGCCACATGGAAAGCAAGGCATATCTGGGCTGGCTGGATCTGATGGCCCTCCGGTGAGTAAAAAATGAAAACTTTATTGTATATTACAGTATATAGAAAAAAAGTGTGTAGTATCATTTAGCCAACCTAAAATATAGATGACTTAAAGAAGATAGCCATCAAAATAATTTAAGTAGAGGGTATTCTGTTCCTTCTAAAGGTCTTGATCCAAGCATTTTGGCATTCCTTCACGTTTTATACTTGGAGCACAGCATCACTAGACATATACTAAGTGAAAAGTTGGACGCTAATGCAGTCTAAAGACATCTGGTGGTGGTTGGCTGAGTAGTATAATAATTTAATAATCTTTCTAACAGGAGATTGTTGAATAAACATGAAAACAAGATCAGTGAAAAATGTGCATCCTTTGATATGTAGAAGAGCTCCATCTTATGTTGGGGACATAAGAAAAGCGATTGGGGCTTGTTTCCACATGTGACAGCCTTTGCAATCCACGGTGAATCAATTTTAGGAGGGTGTTTGACAGACAGTTGGGAGGCGATATGCCCATTAAAATCTTCCAAATCCCGCACCACGCCACCGCAATAGAGTGCATTCTAGAGGATAGCATGATACTAAACATGTATATGATTATGTATTAAGTTTTCAAGCTCCATTTACACCATTGTTGGATTTTAAGTTTATAAATGCAGATCTTGGCTATCTGTATTTCTCCCCTGTGGCCTCCCCAGAAGGAGGTGGCATTGTTATAGTCATTTATATGGCCCCTAATTTCCTGACAAAGCTAATCGTGAAACACATTGAGAATCAAGCACCTCTGGTCTACCGCATGAACCCAAATATGTACAGTATATTTATTTAAACAATACCTACGCAACAGTTTAAATAATCGTGATTGAATAAACACTGGTACCAAATATATTCAACTACAAAACCTGTGGTGTGGGTGCCATGTTGTTCATACAGTCAGGTCCATAATTATTGGGACATTGACACAATTCTAACATTTTTGGCTCTATACACCACCACAATGGATTTGAAATGAAACGAACAAGATGTGCTTTAACTGCAAACTGTCAGCTTTAATTTGAGGGTATTTACATCCAAATCAGGTGAACGGTGTAGGAATTACAACAGTTTGCATATGTGCCTCCCACTTGTTAAGGGACCAAAAGTAATGGGACAGAATAATAATCATAAATCAAACTTTCACTTTAATACTTGGTTGCAAATCCTTTGCAGTCAATTACAGCCTGAAGTCTGGAACGCATAGACATCACCAGGCGCTTGGTTTCATCCCTGGTGATGCTCTGCCAGGCCTCTACTGCAACTGTCTTCAGTTCCTGCTTGTTCTTGGGGCATTTTCCCTTCAGTTTTGTCTTCAGCAAGTGAAATGCATGCTCAATCGCATTCAGGTCAGGTGATTTACTTGGCCATTGCATAACATTCCACTTCTTTCCCTTAAAAAACTCTTTGGTTGCTTTTGCAGTATGCTTTGGGTCATTGTCCATCTGCACTGTGAAGCGGCGTCCAATGAGTTCTGAAGCATTTGGCTGAATATGAGCAGATAATATTGCCCGAAACACTTCAGAATTCATCCTGCTGCTTTTGTCAGCGGTCACATCATCAATAAATACAAGAGAACCAGTTCCATTGGCAGCCATACATGCCCACGCCATGACACTACCACCACCATGCTTCACTGATGAGGTGGTATGCTTAGGATCATGAGCAGTTCCTTTCCTTCTCCATACTCTTCTCTTCCCATCACTCTGGTACAAGTTGATCTTGGTCTCATCTGTCCATAGGATGTTGTTCCAGAACTGTGAAGGCTTTTTTAGATGTCGTTTTGGCAAACTCTAATCTGGCCTTCCTGTTTTTGAGGCTCACCAATAGTTTACATCTTGTGGTGAACCCTCTGTATTCACTCTGGTGAAGCCTTCTCTTGATTGTTGACTTTGACACACATACACCTACCTCCTGGAGAGTGTTCTTGATCTGGCCAACTGTTGTGAAGGGTGTTTTCTTCACCAGGGAAAGAATTCTTCGGTCATCCACCACAGTTGTTTTCCGTGGTCTTCCGGCTCTTTTGGTGTTGCTGAGCTCACCGATGCGTTCCTTCTTTTTAAGAATGTTCCAAACAGTTGTTTTGGCCACGCCTAATGTTTTTGCTCTCTCTCTGATGGGTTTGTTTTTTTTTTCAGCCTAATGATGGCTTGCTTCACTGATAGTGACAGCTCTTTGGATCTCATCTTGAGAGTTGACAGCTACAGATTCCAAATGCAAATAGCACACTTGAAATTAACTCTGGACCTTTTATCTGCTCATTGTAATTAAGATAATGAGTGAATAACACACACCTGGCCATGGAACAGCTGAGAAGCCAATTGTCCCATTACTTTTGGTCCCTTAACAAGTGGGAGGCATATATGCAAACTGTTGTAATTCCTACACCGTTCAGCTGATTTGGATGTAAATACCCTCAAATTAAAGCTGACAGTCTGCAGTTAAAGCACATCTTGTTCGTTTCATTTCAAATCCATTGTGGTGGTGTATAGAGCCAAAAATGTTAGAATTGTGTCGATGTCCCAATATTTATGGACCTGACTGTATATCATATAACAGATAATATAAATAGAAAGGTTGTGTAAAAATACTTATGTAGCTTATAAGCAAACTTTATACCTGCATTAAGCATCATAATCCAATAAACCAATATTCTTTAAAGTGCTATTGAACATCCGAAAGTGCCAAAGTGCCTAAAGAGAGAGGAACCTAGAAAAACCTAATAGGATATTACTATTTATTAAAATCTCAAAAGTATACTCGGAAGTGGCTTAACTAGTAGTTCCTGCTCCTGATCATTTCTTCACATGGGGGACATCTACAGGAGGCATGCCATTTCCACCGTTTCGAACACATGCTGGCTCCAAGGTGCATCGGTGCTGTGGCTTCTCCACATAGAGCTTTGGCAGATTGTTCCGAGTATCAGGTCAGGCACTATACAATGTGAGTGTAAATCTGTTTTATATGCTGTACTTTTGAGATTTTAATAAATGGTAATACCCTATGAGGTTTTTTCTGGCTTCTTCTCTCCATATGGGATATGTGGAAGTAAGAGTATGGTCCTAAGGATGATGATACAAAACACAGCAGGACTGTGTGAAAGCACTGATTGACCATCCCTGGGTTTATGCTTAGAGGGTCAACAACCTCTGGTGAGTTTGATTCCTGCAGAGGACACAAGTGATTACAAGGATTGGAGGAGCTAGAGACGCATTTTGCATGGAGCACTAATTGCTTTATGTTCAGGAAGAATTGCAGGAGTCATGTTTGCACTTTAATTGAGGCACTTTGTCATTTTCACTTTTTGACTTTTAATAGCACTTTAAAGGATATTGAATTGATTTATTGGATTGTGATGCTTAATGCTGGTACAGGGGTGGACTGACTACTCATGGGGCCCCCGGGCAATAGGGGATCATGGGCCCCCTGTGTCCTTGCCCAAACTCAAAAAAAGCCTATGAAAAAGGTACCAGGGGCATCTGATGGGGCCCCCTACTGATCCCGGGCCCTCAGGCAGTGCCCGAGTTTCCAAATGGTCAGTCCGCCCCTGTGCTGGTATAACGTTTTGCACGTAAGCTACATAAGTAATTTTTACATAGTATACAGGGTTGAGCACAGCCTATTTATATATACAGTATATTAGCTATGCAGAAAGGGCCAAGGGTCGGCTGTCAGCTCAGGTCATGCTGCAATACTTTAATATTTATGGTACATGGCATTGAACTTTTGATTGCTGTTATTATTTTTTATGTTTTTGTATGTTACAATGAAATATTGTTTTTATATACATGATATGTAGTAGTTTTTTTTTGACAACCCTAAAGTCCCATTTATTTAATGAGTCATTTTGGTCTTGAGATAACAATGGATGTGATGCCCCTGATCACCTAGAAATCCAATGTAATTTAGTTAGTTAAAATGTATATAGAACTATAACACAGTGTCTTACAGTGAACCTAAACATCAATGGTTTTTAGTTCAAGAAAAGATAAGGGGGTGTCCCTCCTCTCATTTAAGCCTACAGGGTTTCCCTGAAGTCTGGACATATAGGCAAAATGGATTGTTTCAATAAATTTCAATTCATTTTTCAACATTTTATTTCACTGTATATTAATCAATGACATCTTCAATATGATTTCCATCATTTGTGAAGCAAAGTTCCAAGATTTACATGAAATTGATGCAGTAACTCCACATTTCCTCCAATTTGAGCACTTTCATTCATGATGCGTTCATTCTGGTGATTCATATCTGTGATTTTCGTTGAGTATATCTTCTCCTTTAGCATACCCCAAAAAAAAAAGAAGTCAAGGGGGTTAGGGTTTGGTGAACTTATGTAGTGATATATTATACACATACATACTGTATATATGCATATAGTGGGATTTTTCTGTGTCCAGACTTTAGGGATACCCTGTATCTTTACGCCAGAGATGTAAGAAAGCATTCAAAGCAGAATTCTGGGAAAAAAAGTTTTTGAGTGTACAGTAGGGCTACTGCGTGGGTTAAATGCTCATTTTGCTCTAGAGGAGAGGACACCGAAGATATACTCACCTGACCCACCAATCCTCCCTGCACAAGACCAGTTCTTTTGGCTCCTAACCCCCCGTGGTCCAACGGTTATATAAATTGATGTCAGCATGCTCAATGCATACTCCATAATCAGGAACAGTCCACTGCTGGACCATGGGATCTGTAGAATCGGCTGGTCAGGTAAGCATAGGCTTAGTCCTCACCCCTAGAAAAATAGGCACCTGATCCATGCAGTGGGGGCACAGCCCTGGTGCAAAGCAAAAAAAAAAACAGTTTTGATCGTAGTTCTGCTTTAAGTAATTTGTGACAAAGCATACCCTTCTATGCCTTCAAGTCTTCAAAGCCATACAAGAGGCTTGTATCTGCTCCCTTTAAGCAAAGGCTTTACTAAGGTTTCTTACATGGACACTGTGTGTGCATGAGATAAAACACTGATTCCAGTTTTTCTGATTTATTGATTCATTTCATTTTACTGGAACTGCATTGGGGATTTTCACCATTCTTACACTGGTTGAAAGAGCTGTATCTATTTAACTCTGTTGCCTGCATACACTGAAGACCCAAAAACAGAGAATGGAATTTTTCCATGAAGACTATACTAAAAGACTTTATAATAAATGTAATAACTTTTACGTGAGTACATTTGACACGTTTATTTTTTTGTCTCCATGAAATCAGCATCATTTGTAATAAATTCAGTCTCCAGTTTTGTGATCCGTCAGCACCAGGAAATAAGACTGCATGTTGACTTGCCTTGTTAAAAAACAATATAAAGTGGAGACGTGGCCATCATCTTTTACAAGACTTCATTTGCTGAGGACACATGGGTACACCCATGCTGATCTAATGGGAATAACTGAGGGATTAGTCTCTTGCTACATGGCACAGGCATGTACTTGACAGTTTGGCTGATGTTATGGTGCCATTAAATCTACAGGACTTCATTCCAAACTCTATGCCAGCATGACTTCCTGGAGCTAAAATTGTGTTGGTTGGTCTAACATCAAAAGCTACTAAATATAAATTATTCAGTATAAATGTAATTAAGTGTGCTTTCATGTCAGTGTCAAACTGTGGTAGGCAGGGCCCACCAATATATTTATTTCAGGGCCAATCATCTTCAGATCAAACAACAATATACAGAACACAATAGACATTTCTGATACTAAATACCAAAGAAAATAGATTATCATATTAGAAGCCAATACCATACCTTGATTCAACCCTAATTTTATCAGTATTAATATGATTTGTTGGATCCCCATTTCTTGTCAAAAAGCCCTACTGCACAGGCAAAACTTTTTTCCCAGAATTCTGCTTTAAATGCTTTCTTACATCTCTGGCGTACAAATACAGGGTATCCCTAAAGTCTGGACACTGAAAATCTCACTATATGTGTATATACAGTATATATGTGTATAACATATCTCTATATAAGTTCACCAGACCCTAACCCCCTTGACTTCTTTAACAATGTGTTAAAAAATTTAGCAAATGTGGGGTGAAGTTTGGGTGGATCATAGTAGACATACTAGGTCCCTTTTTCTTTTGTGAAAAGTTGTGAAATATGAAATGCACTAAAATGACCCACCAGAAGATAATGTGATAACATCAACTACCAGTCCAACACATGTTAATGAGGCTAAATATTGCCTTTCGGTGTCCCACAGCCTCCAATCAAACAACTACAGAGTGACATTTAAATATGTTTTGTTTTCGGCTGGGTTCTTATGTCAGATGCTTTGTTAAAGTACTAATTTTTCTAGTTGTTAGTTACATGCAGCTCAGCAAAGAGATGTCATTTACCCGTACCCATGTCATCTGTCATTTACCCGTACCGATGTCATCTGTCATTTACCCATACCCATGTCATCTGTCATTTACCCGTACCCATGTCATCTGTCATTTACCCATACCGATGTCATCTGTCATTTACCCATACCGATGTCATCTGTCATTTACCCATACCCATGTCATCTGTCATTTACCCATAGTCATCACCAAGTTTTAAAAGAGCAACCAAATGTATTTATAAATGCTGCTCATGTCTTTTTATTTTATTTAAGGAAAATAAAATGGTCAACCACAAATGCTGGTGATCAATAGGAAGTAAAATAAGTCATATGATTGACGTCTGCTTGTCAGAACCCTTCAAATAATATTTTTGTCTTTGTTTACAGGGACATCCAGGGAGAGAGGGACCTGCTGGAGAGAAAGGCATACAGGTAAGAATTGAACTCATTCAATTTATTGGACAAAATGAGATAGAAAATGGCTGGCTGTAATGTAAAATTTAGTGAAGACCTTCACCCAAAACTTTTAATTATGTCATGGTTCGAAGGTGATTGGGTGATGGGAACATGTTGTGTTTATGTAGCACTACCCCCTTAGGGGTTGCTGATGAATTGGGTCCCCCTATAGTCCTGCAAAGCCAGTCAGTCTGCATTTTCCACACAGATTGCATTCGGAGACAAAAATCAGTCCTTGAGCGTTGGTTTTGTTGGTTTATTGAGGGGATTAGAACTTGAATAGGGTAAGGGGCATATAGGATGCCCAAGTGAACTGATATTTGAGAACAACTTCCTCAACTATTCACAAGCTTCTCTTTTCTGATGCAGTCTCTGTTGGAGTGCTAGCCAGCATCTCCTTATTGTACCACCCCTTACCCTAGATTAACTCCTCTTCACCCAGCAATCTGGAGACTTTCTTCCTGAGCAGGGGATCTGGCTCCTGTTCCTTTAAATGAGGTGAACAGTCACTAGTAGGGGGCTAATATGGTTTCCCTTCAGAGTGCTTCTTCCCCTACCCACCCAGGGGATGCAGGTGTACTCATTCAGATTCTCTCCTAAACCGCTTGTGGGATGGCTGCTGCTGGCTGCTGCTACCGGTCCTATCAGCTGGGCTGCTCCTTCCCTGCCATACAGGTGGTCCACACTCAGGGGGCTAGTGAGCTCCAAGTTTTTCTCCTCTTCAAATCCAGGCTCGCAGGCAGGCCCCATCCCACTAGGCCTCCAGGCAGCCTTCCTCCTCCAGCCTCACATCTTCCTACTCCTTCTTCCAACTGACTCTCCACACACCACCTACCGAACAGACTCCTACACTTTTAAGGGAGTCCCAGACCCATGCCAAGCCTTCTTTTGGGGATTGGATGAGGGTCCCTAAAGAGTGCAGCCAGCCACTCCTCAGATCCACCCACTGCCTCCAAAGCCCTCCTCAGAAAGCCTAAGAGCAGAGGGAAATTCCAGAGGGGCTGGCCTGCAGAGTCTCTCAGCCCTGATCACAATTTGACCCCTCTGGCTATTACACCCGAGCTACGAACCAGCTCCTGTCTAACCATTAGGATCTAGCTCACTCTAGCTAAACTAGGAGGGTAGTACATATAAATAATTCTAACAGTTCCTCTGGCAATTTTCTATGCTTCCTGCAGTGTTGAGTTAAGCTGGGTACACACGGTCCTAAAATCAACCGGTTCAGAAGGAACAGGCCAACATTCGGACATTCCGATAGAAGCCGGTCTAAGAACCAGCTTTTTTTTTGAAGGGACATGCTGGAAAACTAGCATCCAATTGTGGGCTCCCCAGGATACAGTGAAGTCACGGACGAGGAAAGCAACCCCAACACCAGCTTTTGCCACAACAGAATTTTACTTAGATGTGGCAAATAAACACAACTACAAATGCTGGAAACATACAATAAATTTACATACACCCAGCCCAAAGGCTGAGACCCTTGTGCTGCACAGCACGGCGCCTTCTGATGGATGAAGGTAGAAGGTGTAGTAATTTACCTACTGGCGGGCACAAATAAGCTGCCACACCTTACCTGTTATTACCCTAAAAGAGCAGGAATCAGTGTATGGGTGTATGATATGGGCTAGCCTGCGGTGCAGCACAACAGCTTACAATCTTACACAAATCTACAGTATTCCCCCTCCCATAACTGGTCCTGTAGCATGTGCCTGAGTATTCCTTCTGAGCAAAACGCCAGTCTGTTTTGAGTTTGTAGGATTTTATCAGCTCTCCAATGTGAAATGTCGCTTTAAGTTATGAAGTCCTTCCAATGATCAGTAATAACACTTGTGGCCTGACACAGAGACCCTAACTAATTAACTATAGGCCTGGTCTCAGTCTCTAGGCACCAACACTGAAATGAGGTGCGTGCATGATGTTACCGACCCGGGTCTGCTTTGTATCCGCTGGTGACTCTGAACAGAACAAATGTCTCTCCAACAAGCATGCAGTATTGCAGTGTATGTTGCTTTGTTCCTCTGCTCTCATCAGCATTCCTGGCAGCAATCTTCCTTTCCCTGAACAGGATCAGGGTCTTGGACACTATCAGCTTCACTTAGCTGCAGCTCTGGTTACTGAGGGATGCTCTCACACCTGGATGCCATCAGATTCTCTGCTCACCCGGCTCCTTCATTCACCATCCTCCAAACGTGGCTCCTCTCTCTCTACTTCCTGTTCTCTAAACTCTGAGTGAGAAGCCCACCTCTTCATGAATATGAAGAGGTGGGGTCTTCTGAGGCTGTGTTAGGAAAACAGTGGCATCTTATGGCTAAACCACAGAATGTCAGTCCAGAACATTTAATTTACTCCACACAAACAGTGTTCAAACAATGAGAGCTGTTTCCCCATCTCACACAATCAGTACTCGCAGCCAATGGCTGCCAGCACTGATTAGTGTTCTGGTCTGAGGACAGTCCCCCCATCAGAACACAATAGTACAGCAGAAGAGATCACTGCACTAACATCACTTGTTTAATACAGCTACTTCTCAGTTTTTTTCGTTCAGCCCAATGGGTTGAACAAAAAAAAAACTGAATGCGTGTACCAGGCATAAGGGTCTTCTAAGTATATGGGATTACTAATGTCTCACTCTGTTATGGTAGAGAGTGACAATGGATTTGACTGTTGAACAATGCTTGACTATGGTCTTCTTATCTGTTTTCTTTGGTTCTTCATTCAATAATATATATATATAAACCATGTACTTCTTTTGTTGCTAGGGTCTCCCTGGCTCACCTGGTCCTATAGGATATCCTGGCCAAAGAGGAGTTAAGGTAAATTGAGAATATACCAGTGTTGCTGTTTAGAAAAGGATGATCGTGTTTATGACTTAGCTGAAGCTACAGGCTAAGACCACACCGGATATTATATCAAGGAGTATATAAAACCGAAAATAATATGTTGAAGTATTGCAACTTTCCAGTCCTTAGTTGTGATGGCTACATTAGTTTCCCTTTTCAGGCTTTTTTTTGCATTTATTTTTACTGGTGATTCTGCCAGTAACTCACTTCCTGTCATATGGGGACAACACTCAGTCACTGTACTGTGTCTTTGGTGGAGAAGGACGAGAAGTATGTAGAAATCCACAATACTTCTCCTTTTCCTCTGCTCCATAGCACAAGGGGAGGTGTTCCATAGTACACTAGAGAACAATAATGCTAAGAGATCACAGTCAGCAGACGGAAAGAGCACTGCAGTTATTAGCTCACATGATTTCTGGCTGGATTAACAAGCATTTATATGCACTTATCGTACAGATTTAACAAAACACTTTCAATGGTGTATTTAACATACCAAATAAATAAGAGAAGTTTATAGCGGGGTTTACTTGCACATTAAGGAGAAACAATGTCCATTTTGGAACTAGCAACCTTGATGGTGTCTATTTCAGAAATGGAGGTAACCATAAGGTGCACCTACCATGGGGAATCTGTAAAAAAAAACCCTAGCCTAGTGTGGTCACCTTTCCTTCCCCCTTACTTAAGTGATTGGTGATGGAGATGTTTTAGCCCAAATGTGATCTGTGTTCTGTTGCACAATCATGCATGAGATTCAAAAACAACCAAAAGCATGGTACCTGGGGCAAAAAAATGTGGGAAAATGATAATATATCACTTAAAAGTGCAGCAAGGCACTACTATTGTATAATGCAGGTGTGCTTTATTTCTGAGCGGAGCTGAATTTACATTACTGTAGCCTATAGAAAGACAGCTTTTGGCCCCTTGAAAATCCGAACTGAAGGAACAGTGTGTTCAGGTTAAAGAGGTTAGTGTTGCGTTGCTGGCCCACCTAAAAATGTTAATTGTCTGGCTACCATGCTGAACAAATTAAATATTTTTAGCCTCACTGACCCAGAACAAGTATAGGCATCAAGATTTCTGACTTCCCTGCATCAGTGATTCAAAGTATCAAAGCTACATCCATAACTATCATTTTCAGAAGGAGGTCAGCAATCGCAGTCCACATACTAGGCTCAATTCTTTCTTACAGATTTTAAAGCTTTGATTATTTTACATGTTGCAAGAAAAAATTCCCCTCTCTGCCATACTGGAGCACATCCTACTGTGTTTAATGGCAAGTATCAATCAGTATGTTGAGAGTCAAAAATGTAAAATAGAATTTACTTTTCATATTAGACCAAATAGGCCAAAATCTGAAATCAGTCTTCCAGTTTGTTATTATTGTAATACATTTTAAATTGAAGTGGAATTTCACTCTCTCTATTATCATTGACTATTTTTTATTCCTTATGATGATAGCATTAGAAAATAGATAGGAAAGTATATTTTCCTAACAGACTCCATGGCAGCATATGTATGGGTTAGCTCTGTCCTCTCCTTTCCTATAGGACCCCACTCCTATAATCTTTGTTGCCCGCCAGAGGCCGTGTTCCTTTTTGTCGTCCTCCTATGCGCCTACTGCGTTGCAAGTCTTACCTTTTTCCTGGCCTCTAAGCAGGCATGGTGCAAGATTCCTTTTGAGGGTTCTTCCCTGTTTGGGAACAAACTGGACAGTGCTATAGCCCGGGCTACTGGCAGGAGGTTTCCGGTTTCCAGGAGGTCGGCGTCTACTAGGCCAGAAGAGGGCTCAGCCCAGAAGACAAGGCTCGAAACACGCAAGAAAAACATCTTTATAAGCCAGGCCGAGAGTACAAGCTGGAGGAGAAAGCAGTCATCTTTTCAGAAGTCCTCCAAGGGCTCGACTTCTGGAGGTCATAAGGCCACAGAGTCTTTTTGAGATTGGGTCCGCTCAGGCAGGCCAGTATGGGGGCACGCCTTCGCCATTTTTGGCATGTCTGGGCGGCTTCAATCTGGGACTTCTGGGCTGTTAGCACTGCATCTTCGGGGCATGATTAGGGGTTCAAGAGCCCTCCTCATCTCAAGTTCATCCCTACGACCCTTATATATTCCGGAGAAAGGAGGCAAATCCTGCTGTCTTACATGGACTCTTTACTGGCACAGGGTGCTGTTGTGCCAGTTCCAGAGGGTGAAGAATTTCAGGGCATGTTTTCGCCCCTCTTCATGGTCCAAAAGAGAAACAGAGCTTGGAGGCCTGTCATAGATCTTACCCACCTAAATTCCTTTATCAGGACGTCAAAATTCAAAATGGAGACACTGTTTACAATTCAACAAGCAATTCAACTAAGTGACTGGCTCTTGTCTATAGATCTGAAGGACGCCTATTTTCATGTGCCCATAGCAAAAGATTTTCAGAGGTTCCTCTGGTTTGCTGTGGACCAACAGCATCTCCAGTTTGTAATTCTTCTCTTTGGGCTTTTGACATCACCTCGTGTGTTTTCAAAAGTCTTGTTGGCAGTCGTGGCCCTGATCAGAACCAGAGGCAATCGCCTGCACCATTACCTAGACGACCTGCTCCTACTATTTTTCTTCCCTGCAGGAGCAAATTTGATCATGCTTTGCTGGGGATTTTTGCCTTCCTCTGGATCAACTGTGGGTATAGGATTATAACTTTTTTTTTTTAATGGCTGAACTGGATGGACTTTTGTCTTTTTTCAACCAGACTAACTATCTAAACTACACTCTAAAAAATAACTCAAGCGACCTGTTACCACCACTTAATTAAATGTGTATTTCCAAGATAAAAATCCTAATTTATTGGTTTAAAATAAACTTTTTCATTTAAAAACCTACTTTCATGAGTTGTGTTGAAATGATAATGTTGGAAATTACATCAACTTAATATTGTGTGTCATGTACAGTTACATTTCTGCATTCATTGTTGTACAATGAAATTTAAGTTAAGGTACCTTAATAAATTTGACTTGGTAACTTAATTTTGCTCTACATTGAGAGCTGCATTGCAAGTCTCCACCCCCATTCACTTAACACAAATCAAGTCTCAGTTGTTTCAAAACTGTTCCTTGAACTTGATGGACTGAAAGCCAGTGCTAAAGTAATGGGTCTCAAGTACAGTATTCTCTGAAGAACGTATGTGTTCCATAGCACAGTCATACTCAGATGACATTTTTCACTTTTATTTCAGTTCACAAAATGGTTGTCGCAGGGTAATGTGGAAAGAATATAGCAAATTGTAAGAAAGCTCACAAAATATCAATCAATATCCTCCAATAGCTTCACTATATTGCCACAATTTGTTGCACAATATAGCAAAGGTCTTGTAGAGAAACAGTTTCTGCACCAGACAGACAATATTAAAAAAATCTTAATGCAAAGTGCTTACTCATTCATCAGTACAACTTTAAGGATTTGATTTTGGTGTGAAAAAAATGAGTTTGAGTAATTTCACAAATTTTGGCACACACCTAATTAAATCATATAACAGCTTTATAGAATGTTTGGTTATATACTTCTAAAGCTTCATAGATTCCTTGAAGGTCTCTCTGGTGTTTTTTTTTTGTTCTTTTTTATGTAATGTCGCAACTGTGAGGTTGGTGGATAACAGAGTGGCTCCAAGATGTTAACACTTTTCTATGTTTCTTGGGGTTTTGTTTACATTTGTTCATTTTGTCCTTTTGCTTCTTTGACCCCATTTGGGGCAAAAAGAATTTCTAACAACATAGTTATGTGAACTGCTTCTGTTGGATTACTTACTAGTAATATTTCCATTATTTTCTTTTAAGGATAAGATTGTCCTTTGTGTTTCTTTCTGGCAATTGCCCATTCAGATATGCACATTATAGGTTTGTTACTGACGCTTGCCAATATATACTCAGGATAATGTTTTGGTATATAAAAATCTTTGTTCTTACTGAGTCCAATCTTATACAATCTATGTCTAAATTGACATCACACATAGGTATATATTTTTATTTGTAAGAGTCGGTATGTAATTTTGTATTTATGGTTGATGGATGCATGTATACATACTATGCCATCTGTTGTACTTTACTTTTCTGTAAACGTAATAAAAACATTGAAACATAAAGTGCTAGTTCATTTATATTTGTTTAATACTTTTGTTGGAATACACAACTATTGTGTGCAAAAAATGTCAATTGTTTAACAATTGGATTGTTGGGCCTTGGTTCACACAATGAAGTGCATGTGAATCACAAAGGAACTGCAACACATTCCTGTGCAATTCACATGTGGTTCAGTGTAATGCAATTTAAGCCCATTCATTTTGAATGAGCTCAAATCACACCACATCGCACCAAAGACATGCATGCACCAATTTTTGAACCACAGTGCAACCAGATTGCATGTTTTGTTTTGTACCATGCAATCTGGTGCCAGCAAATGCACTGTGTTTGCAACACTGACATCCACTGCAGACTGCAAGGGTAGTGCGATTTGAATGCGGTGCGCGAAATGCACACAGATTGCGGGGTTTCTTCAACACATTCTAGTGTAAGCCTAAACTGATTAATTCATTTTTGAAAGCTAGTATAAAAAAACAAAGCTAAAAACTAATACAGAAAATCAATTTGGATCAACTTGATTTTTAACTGCTTTTTAACTTTAAAAAACTTGCTCATAATTGTAGCAATTAAATACACGTGACTTGAAGGTTTCTTATAAAAACTGGAAAAACTATTTGAATTAACTTAATATGTTTAAGTACTCAACTTAAAAACATGTGTTTTATAATGCCAGTAATTAAGTTGGCGGTAAATAAAAATGCATTAATTTCTATCAGAAAAGCTAATTACCTCAATGCAATGTAGTTTGTTGCTTCAACTTAATTTCACCAGACATTGTCATAACTTAAAAAGCTTGATGTAAACTGTTGCGTTAATTTTTTTTGTTGAGCCAAAACATTATTTTTTAGAGTGTATGTACTATCCCAGGACAGAAAACAGCTGCTACAGCACAGGGCCCTTCTCGAGTGGTTGCTGAACATAGAGCAGAGTCAGTTGGAGCCCATGCAGTCTCTAATATATCTCAGGGCTCATTTTGATACGGTCAACGCCACCATCTCCCTGCCCTTTGAGAAGATTCCAGTGATTCGGAGCAGAATACTATCTGCCCTGTCCTCATATCTTCGGGCCGTCTAATGCCTGAAAATCATTGGCACCATGGAATCCGCAGCACCGATGATGAAGTGGGCACAGTGGAAAATGCGACCCTTCCAGAAGGACTTTCTTCAACAGTAGAACCCAGCCAACATGGGCAAGGTTATTTACATAACTCTGTCTATAACTCTGTCTATAACTCTGGTGGCTACAATGGAAGAATCTACTCAACCCCATCTCCTGGGTCACAATCACAATGGATGCCAGCAACTCCAGATGGGGCACTCTCTGCTAGTCAGAGATAGCCCAGGGCAGATGGAGTCTTCCCTCCCACAGGTTGGGGTCCAATGTGCTGGAATTGCGAGCAGCATTTTGTGCTCTACAGGCCTTCTAGCACCTAACACGGGAAATCAGTCCTCATAAGGTTCACCAATACGATGGCAGTGTCCTACATAAGGAGACAAAGCAGAACCCACAGTCTGTCCCTCTTGTGGGAGGTAGAGCCAATCATAACCTGGGCTTAGAGAAACCTATCCAATATATCGACAGTATACGTTCCCGGAGTCCAGAACTCTCAATCAGATTTCCTATCCAGGGTTCAATTAGACAATGAGTGGTCTTTCGACACGGAAATCTTCAAGTGGATTCTGACCCTCGGGATCAGTCCGGAAGTCGACCTGTTTGCCTTCGGGGTGGATGCTCTGATGGATCAGTGTGGATTTCACACAGCCTATACGTCTCCCCCGGTCCCTATCATTTTTAGGTCTCTTCGGAGGCTCAGAGCAGAAGCAGTGGAGGTAGTGGCCGTAATTCCATACTGGCCAAGCAGACCATGGTTTCCTTTACTGGCACAGCTCAGCTTTCGGGATCCAGTTCCTCTTGCTCTCAGGCTGGACCTGCAGTCGCAGGGGGCCATTCTTCATCCTTGCCCAGCCCAGCTGCATCTAATGGTCTGGTTCTTGAGAGGGGGAGGCTGAAGGCCTTAGGGCATCTGGTTGAAGTCATCAATACCCCGATGAGTGCCAGGAGACCAATTACCAACAGGGTCTATGGAAGAATCTGGTCAAAGTTTGTGGACAATATCTTGGCCATGGGTGGATCCTATAGTAATCCAAGGGTTCAGGATGTCCTGGGATTCCTTCAGTCAGGCCTGGATCTGTCCCTTGTCGGTCAGCACCCTCAGGGTTCAAGTGTCAGCCATCTCTGCCTTCACTGGAGTATCATGGTCCGACCACTCTTTTGTCTGGCAATTCTTCAAGGGGGTGGTAAGGTTGAGGCCCCAGAGAAAACCAAGCTTCCCTAAATTGGACCTCCCACTTGTCCTTGACTTCTTCTCTGGAATCCTGGAGTCGGCTGGTTCACCCATAGTTAGGGAGTTCTCCATCAAGGTGGCGGTTACATCGGCAAAAAGAGTCTCTGAAATTGGAAACCTTGGCTGCAAAGAACCGTTTTTGACATTCTTCCCAGATTGACTGGTCCTCATCTTTATGCTAGGTTCAAATCCTGAAGTGGCCTCAGTCTTCCAGAAAAACCAGGAGATTCTCCTGCCCATGTTTACAGCCTCTATGGACAATGACATGCACCTCCTGGATGTAGGTGAGACTTTAAAGCTGTACTTGCAGGTCATAGCATCCTTCCGTAGGTTAGACCTTTCCTATGGGAAGAGTAAAGGAGACCAGGCTTCTTCCAGGTCGACAGCCTGGGTCCAAATGACCTACAGAGTTAAGGGAAAACGGTGACTGCACACTCAACCAGAAATGTGTCTACATCCTGGGCAGCCTCCAGCATGTCGCCCCTGAGATGATCTGCAGAGCGATCTCATGGTCCTCAATCAACACTTTCATGGCTCATTACTGTGTAGAGCCTGCTTCCTTATCCTATTCATTTTGGTTTAAAAGTCCTGTCGGTTGATAAGGCAAATTAAAGTCTTTGTTTGAATAACTGCCCACCCATGTGTGTGTATGGCTAGTTATTTCCCATACGTATGCTGCCACGGAGCCTGTCAGGAAAATGGAAAATTTCCTGTCAAATACTTACTGTAATTTTCCTTTCCTGATGGACTCCATGGCAGCAAGAGTACCCTCCCAATGCCATGAGTAGACAAGTTATGGAACACGGCCTCTGGCGGGGAGCAAAGATTTATGGGAGTAGGGTCCTATAGGAGAGGAGAGGGCAGGGCTAACCCATACATATGCTGCCATGTAGTCCATCAAGAAAGAAAAATTATGGTAAGTATTTGATAGGAAATTTTCCGTTATATCTACTTTTTTAAACAGTTTTTGCACATTTCTTCAGTTACGTGCTGGTTTCCAGGCCTAGGCAAATGATGTCATACATCCCAGGAGCCTTCAGGAGGGGAGGGGTGGCTTTCTCAGATAAGCACACCCTCCTGACTTCATGCATGAGCTAAGGGCAGATGTATTCCAGGAAGTAAATGCTACCTGAATCATCTGCCCTTACTCAAGATGGCCACGGACAGAAATACTAGGGGGTGTTTTTCAAACTGATTTCTCAACAAAATAAAACATGGAGACATGGGAGTTTGCTTTAAAGCCTAAAAATGAATTAAATAGAGTTTTTGGTTTGTGATGCTCAGATGCAGTGTTGTTCCGCTTTAACTTTGATAAATTATTCTTCAGGGAGCCTTTGGCGTGAGAGGACTGAAGGGGAGCAAAGGAGAAAAGGTAAGCAAATACTTATTCTGATGTAGAAACCCATATCCTCATGATGTTTGTCTAGCACTTTCCTAAGTATGGAAAGATTTACTAATATCTGTGAAAATGTAATTCACACAGACATGATACCAAATAAATACATAGATGAAATGGACTGATTTGCTTGCCAGAGTATTTGTATTTCGTAGCAAGTTCTGTGCTCTAGGAACTTCTACCAGAAAACATACCCAGATCTTGGACCTCTCTGTAGTATATACAGTTGAGTAGTATAGCCTGTTCCACGTCATGGGTAATTAAACTGGACTGCTCCATCCCCTCGCTCCTCTGACCCCCTGCACCCCCCACCTGTTACATGGGTCCTACCTTATACCATGGCAGAAACCAGAAAGTAGTGGGCAATCAGAAAATAATGCAGGCCATTCCTGAATATGGTAAGTATATATGGGCACTGAGGAGAAAAAAAGAGGGGAAGAGGAGCCTAGTAATATATTTGGTTTAGGTCTGTTTTAACCTACCAGTTTAAAGACTGGTTGTCAGAGAAAATGAGTTTACAAGCACCATACATATGTCTGTACTGGCTATTGTTTCTCTTTAACAGGGTGAAGATGGTTTTCCCGGCTCCAAAGGAGACATGGGGATCAAAGGAGACAGAGTAAGACTAAAAAACAGCAAGGACAGCAAAAAAGTTGCTAGTCTGAAATTATCCCTTGTTTTTCTTAATTTCTAATTAATTTTGGTTGTGTTGAATCTTATCATCTTGAAAGCATCCTTTATCCGACTGAACATTGAGTTTAGAAATTGCAACACCCTTCCACTGATCCATTGAAACCCAACAGATGAGGCCATAGATGAGTGCTCCTTTTTATGAAGTGCTGCCCCTTATGGGACCTTACAATTAGAACTATAATGATGGTATAGAACAGTTGAGACAGACCATGCATGTTGATTAGAAATATATGTAGATATATCTGAAACAATAGAAGTTACAATATGTTTTAAAGGCTAAAACCCTTATAATTTAAAAAGGAAATTTTATGAGTGAGCCAGTAATAGAAATTCATTTTTCACTGCCTTCAGTTTACAGTTTCAACCATATCTTTTTTTTTTTTTATGGTGCCATTGTAGGGGGATCCAGGAGCTTTAGGAGTACGTGGAGAGGATGGTCCTGAAGGGCCGAAAGGACAATCTGGACCATTTGGAGAATCGGGGGCATCGGGAATTCCTGGAGAAAAGGTAGTGTCTGTAGATTATTGGGCACTCTAACACTTGCTTTCAATCTTGATATTATATGGATCTATTTCCTTTCACTAGGGAAAGTTGGGAGTTCCCGGCCTCCCTGGATACCCAGGACGTCTGGGTGCAAAAGTAAGTCTATTGGACTGACCCAAGTATCTCCTTCCTATTTATTAGGAAGCTATGCTATGGAACAGCATTGATTAGATGTGTCTCATTTCAGGGTTCTATAGGATTTCCTGGGCCAATTGGTTTGGTTGGAGAAAAGGGCAAGAGGGTGAGTTCTGAGAAATTCAAAGTTCTGTTTTTTAAGGGTCATTATATCCAAACTTACCTTTGGCTGGCTGCTATAGAGTAATCGTTTCTTAGAGCATCCATGTAAAGTGGAATAGGTTTTAGGTGAACTTGTTAATTGTATAATTGGGCTTATCTAAGTACATTACATGAAACTTTAGCATCCATAAAGGAACAGTAAGAGGGATATGTGACAATAGAAGCTTGATTTCAATTGATTCAATGTTATTTGAATACTGGTTGCTATTCACTGTATCTCTCTATTCATTCATATATTTTATACACCTCTAACCTCTTCTATTCACATATAATATTTACATTCTTATATATTCTCTATCTTCCAATTCCACCTAAACTACATCACTCTTTGTGACATTTCTAGAACTCAACAGAGACCTAGACAGCTCTAATAAGAACTAGATATCTTGTTTTCAGTGTATTTTAGAAACTGATGTAAAGAAAAAATGCCATGCTAATTTTTAATTGTCTATTCACCTTGACATGCAATAAAAAACAAACATGGTCAATAGTTATTAAAAAAAATAGCAACATATCAGATAAACAAAGGATGTGCAGTGAAAAACCTACAGTGAACACAGTACACCCATGCAAATAAAATGTCATCAAAAAACATAAAATAAATGTGTCACTCAAAATACATAAAGTCCATGCAGATGTGACAAATATGACAAATTGTCCTCAAACTATGACTGCAAGTGCTTCAATATTAATTCTTCATGTGTGTTCCACCAGATGTGCACTCCACCTTATAACACATAAAGACCCCCCAATGTATGAGAAGTTAGCCTGCGCTAGATATAAACACTGCACAGCGGTTACTGCGTGTATGGGATTCTACTAGTTCTCTAAAACAGCTTCTCTCAATGGGCCATGCACATGGGAGAAAGAAAAGAAAGAACCCTATGCTCCAGTAGTAAAACAAATCTGCATGTAAAAGTTCTATTATATTGGTTAAAAGCACTAACATGAGCTAAGCAATGATTGGCACCAAACAAACTGTGTTTTCCAGAATTCCATCAGCAATCACTCGCATACATGGTGACATCACAGTCTTAAGCTCTTTCCTAAGCATTTAGTCATAGCTGACATCAACAGGGGCTCCCGATGACTTAAGCTTGACCAATACCAAAAATAAGAGGATTATTCCTCATTTCAGGAAAGTGGGCAGAGCCATACAAATCATTGCAACAGACATTTGACTTTTGTTAGCATTTTCCCTAATGTTCATTTGTATACTATGAAATGAATGTGTCCAGTAAAGTACATTAATATATGATTGTTACCATTAACAAATAAAGAGCAATGGAAAATGAGGTAACTTTTCATCTTTTTTTTGCTCTAGGGAAGAGGAGGACAGGCCGGAGCACCAGGACAGCGGGGACCCTCCGTAAGGGGATATTTTAAATGATGCATTATTAAAATAACAACAATAACAATGCTTACTATACTCGATTGTAACAGCATATGTATGTCTATTTATTTTTTTATAGTATTTTAGAGAAGCATAATCATTGAAATCACAGATAAAGAATTTCCCAGCAACACTTACCATCCAATCTGCAAAACAACCAATTTGGTCCTGTCCAACAGTTTATGTTAAAAACAGAGGGTTTTGTTTGCACACATTTGCAAATACATGCGTAAGCTTCAGTCCCGCATCAAGGGTCCTTTGTATACTGTGGACCTAATTCTAAAATTTACAGAGCCTCCATAGTGGCGCACATATAGCAATGGATAGGTTAAGGGCAGGTGTGCCTGTAGGAACCCATCACTCCTTAAAGGTGGAGGGACGCATATGACTCCCAGCTATAACAAAATTACAGCAAAGGCATCCAGTGCGTCCCTGCATCCAAATTAGCCAACAGCACATAAAAATGGCAACCGTCCCAACCTATACCCAACCTTAGCAATAAGGTGCACATGGAATGGCAATGCACATCACAAATAAACAAAAGATTTCCCAGCAACACTTACCATCCAGCCTGCAAAACAACCAATTTGGCCCTGTCTAACAGTTTGCATTAAAAACAGAGGGTTTTGTTTGCACACATTTGCAAATACATGTGCAAGCCTCAGTCCCATGTCAAGGGTCCTCTGTATACTGTGGACCTAGCTCTAAAATTTCCAGAGCCTGCATAGTAGGAGCACATACTGTATATCAATGGATAGGTTAAGGGCAGGTGTGCCTGGAGGAACCTGAAAATCATTGAAATATAGAAACAGTTTTAAGAAATGTATTTAAAAAACACAGGGCAATGAATACTGATAAGCAGTAATCAATCTTAACATATCAACTGGATTACAAATTGGTAGAATACCATTAAATTACTGTATCATATTATGCATATACAGTATCTAGTCTATCTGGGAGCACGGAATTTGTACAAATGATCACCTGGTACAAAAGTTCATCTCACTTTAAGGGTTTTTTGAAACAGCGTAATTCGGGGGAAAAGTTTACCCCTTCTTCAGGTCTTGAGTAGTCGATAAAATCTTGACAGAATGCATTAAGGGACCCGTGTTATGGCTTGATAAAGACTAGCATCTCCTGAGAGCACCCAAGGCTCATTTAAAGGCTTTTTTAATATGTGTTTTTTATGCTTCAGTAATGCATCAGTAATGCTTCGATGATGCTTTGATGATGCTTCGATGATACTTTGATGATTCTTCGATGATGCCTCAATGATACTTTTTTTAAGCTTTAATGATGCTTGGCATGCTTTTTTTATGTGTTTTTGATGCTTTAGTAATACTTTGGTTATGCTTCGGTGATGCTTCAATGATGCTTCAGTTATGTGTCGATGATGCTTCAATTCTGCTTTTTTGAAGCTTTAATGAAGTTTGGCAAATGCCCTGTGTGTGTTGATTTTCTAGCTGTTTTGAAGTGGCCCAGTAGAACCCCAGATCAGTAGTACCCCCACTCAGATGATCCTCAGCTCATTAGTACCCCTGTTCAGCAGATCCCCAGCTCATTGGTACCCTCGTTCAGCAGATCCCCAGCTTATTAGTACCCTTGTTCAGAAGATCACATGCTCAGTAGTACTCCCAGCATTGCTTATTCCCCACTAAGTCGTAACCCCCAGATCTGCTGATCCCCCACTCAGTAGTAACCCCAAGCTCTGCTGATCCCTCACTCAGTAGTAACCCCCAGCTTTGCTGATCCCCCACTCAGTAGCAACCTCCGACTCTCCTGATCCTCTGGTTTGCTTTTCCTTTTTTCTCTTTGGTCCTTGCTCACCTCCCGTTATATTGCTGCCATGCTGGGCAGCAGATTTGTCATAGACTTCTATGGAGGCTTTGGAGAAGCCTTCAAGCACAATGAAACAACATGGGGTTTAATTTTTTAAGTGAAGTGAAGGAAAGCAAAGCAAAAGCAATGTGTAAACAGGACTGTAAGCTAACCATTTTATTCAGTGACAGGGGCTTTGATTGGCATTCTGAGCGCTTTAAAAAAGTGTCCAAAGCCACATTTTGAAGCAAGTGTAAATTAGCCCTAAGGGTTATTGTCTTTACTGCCCTCAGGAGATGTTGATCTTCATCGCACACATTGCCCTTAGTGCATTCTGTCTGGATGCTATTAATATTGACAGCTCAAGTCCTGAAGAAGGGGGAGGCTTTCTTCCTCCGAAATATGTTGACTGCATCTGATGCTCTTGGTATAATATTTCAGTAAGTGAAAGGGGTTAATGTTTTGAAGTGAGATGAACTTTTATACCAGGTACTACTCAGTACACATCCAAAAAGTTACTGTCTCGAAAGTGCTCCCTTTGTCACTGCCAGAATGGTAGCAGCCTAGGACCAGAACAGAGTCCACCCATACTATATTTCAGTCATGGATCTGCTTTCTTGAAGTGAAGATCACTTTATGGTAGATCCATCCGAACCAGTTTTTACTTCTCTTGGTCCAGCGCTGTCACACACACATTAGATATATCTATGACCAATTTAGAAAGGTGAGCAGATAATGCTTTGCTAAGATGTCCTTTACATAAGTTTTTATTGCTGCCCCAAAGAATAAGCTGCAAGTATCAACCACAATTATCACATTTGACTTTCTTTTTCCTTTTGATTTCAGGGCACAAGAGGTGAAAGAGGCCAGAGGGGGCCAACTGGAAAGCCTGGTCTAAAGGTGATCTTTCAGTCTCAATCAACTCATATATAGAGTATATTTTCTGTCTTTCCTGTTTGCTATCCTTGTACTTTCCTGTTTGCATATAGCTTAACCTGCCAATATGTACAATCCTGTTCAGCCAGTCTTGTCATCGCTTGACTTCAGTACAATCAGCCTGCTCATAAATGGATTGAAATTCATCCGGTTACTGCTGAACTGGCCAAATTTCGATCCATCTATGGCCAACTTAACTAAACAACTCTAAACTAAACAAGCCCATTCCCAGGTCTTGGTTAAGTTCACAATGCTGCCACTGTAATAAAGCTTGACTGGCCCAAAGTGCATAATCTTCCACTCTAGGTCTGATATTTGCTGCGGACTGTGGGAAGATAACATACAGTTACATTTTAGGCTCTGGCATTATTTGTATATACATTATTGATTTTATTAATAGATCCACAACTGGACCAAAGGTAAATTTTTTTTTGGAGGTCCTTGGGTGTGTCTGCTTTCTGATTATTTTGCATTTGGCACTTTTGCAATTATATTAACAATGTGTGAAAAAACAATTATTTTTCTCTACAAGGGATTCTGCTACAATGTAAAGCATTCTGCATAGAAAATATACTATATAATATCTAATCTCGTTATCATTGCACAGGGAGATTCTGGTCATGATGGTGTTGCTGGAGCTTCTGGAGAGAAGGTCAGTACTTTCCTATACTGTTTTGTAGTTACTATAGCTCTTTGTTAGTCCACAATGGTCTATCATGTGTCAAATAAGATTTGTTCAAAACAGAAAAATCTCTTGGGAGAAAGGGAACTATAAATGGAGGATGAATGAAAGGTCGGCTTCCTCTATCCATGCACCAGTTTTCATTGATGGAAGCTATATTACAGTTTATGTAAATAGAGGAGAAGAATGAAAAGAGTGGGCATAGTTGACCCTCTTGACAAGTGCTCATGAGAGGTCCAGTGGCTGCATTAACCGAGGAAGATGACTGCTCTGGGATGGGGGGCAGAGGTCTTCAGATGTTAACTAAGACAGCAACCACCAGCACAAGGGACTTATCTTATTGAATATAAGTACCATTCCTTGTGCTGAGTACAAAACGTAGGCTTTAATGAAATAGCAGACTAGGGCAAGGAAGTCTACATCCAAAAAACCCTCAAAAGACCAAAATTATGGCTGAAACCAATGAAGGACACAAAGTAAAACCATTGCTTTCAAATGAAAGAATAGAAAAAGTAGCCAACTTCCAATTCTTTGGAATATGAATCAATAAAAACATGAAGGATGATGTTGATGTCAGAGTTGGAATTGCCAAGGCCAAGCAAAGTTTTTGGGACATAAATTGCTGATGAGCAAAAAAGAAAAGATTCCCACAAATGCACGTCTGTTTTCGTTCTCAGGTATGATGTAGAAATGGTTTTTCTCACAATGTCTCTAAAATACGATGATCACATGATCTGAATTGTGGTGCTATAAACGGATTTTGAAAATCAGCTGGATGGAAATGGTTATGAATGAAGAGATACTGCAAAGTATTGTGGAAGCAAAACCAATGCCAATTTTCGTGGCCACTGCATACTTTCACATTATGACACCACCATTACCATTGGGTCTCCTCTCCTCTAGTGTTGTGAAGTCTGAGCTCACCACATCCATTCTGACCCCACCAGTGACAAATTATTTTCCTCTTCTTTCAGGTTTACTGTATTCTTTGCCAATTGAGCAGGCACTGTTGATGTAACTCTCACACATGTGTGCTAGAGTTACATTATCTCGGCACCAGGCTTTATTCCCGGCATTCGTGAAAGGCAGGGAATGTACTGCCGATGTGTCATAGTCAGTGTACAGGTTTAAAAAAATTGATAGCAAGTTATTAAAAACATTTTTTTTGACAATTTGCTTCTACCATAGACCATATGTGCTGGCAATTTTTAGTTTTAAAGGTTTACTTCTGCTTTAAACTTTAAAAAAGGTTTGATTGGAGTGGAACTTTAGAAATCAAGGTGGCCCCCTATTTTATATACTCACAGATTCATTATTAGACCCATAGGTAGCATAGAAAGAACAGATATCATTTTTTCTGTTATTATTTTTATCAGTTACCTAGAAGTGTTTTAAAATATTGAAAGCGCAACTTTATGGAACCCAAAGACATAAGAAGGAGGTCAGAAGATCTGAATGCAACAGAATCCTTCGTAGACCAGCTGTGGCATAAATACATTGGCTGGCTATTGCAAGAGGGATATCTGCACAGGTCAGGGGCTACCCACAGAAATGTGATCATTATCCAACCCAAACATTTAATCTTATGTCTGTGGGCACCATAAATGAATTAATAAGTTTTTGTTTAATAACCTCATTAAATTATTTTCATCCTTTCTTTTCATATTATTATTATTATTATTATACAGGATTTATATAGCGCCAACAGTTTGCTCAGCGCTTTACAATATAACGGAAGACAATACAGCAACATTACAGTTCAATACAAGAGGGATAGGAGGGCCTGATCCATGGAGCTTACAATCTAAGAGAGTCTATGTAGAGTCGTCATATCCCTAAGCACATTTATTTTACAGATGTCACAATTTTAGTTTCTTATCTTTAATTCCAGGGACCAATGGGTGCTCCGGGGCCAGTTGGATTTGCAGGACCCAAAGGACCAAATGTAAGTTAATCAGTTATTAATTACAGTTGACAGTTTGATTCTGTGATCATTATTATTATTATTATTATACAGGATTTATATAGCGCCAACAGTCTGCTTAGCGCTTTACAATATAACGGGAGACAATACAGCAACAATACAGTTCAATACAAGAGGGTTAGGAGGGCCTGATCCTTGGAGCTTACAATCTAAGAGGGAGGGGCTAGTGGTACAAAGGGTAGTACCTGTGGGGGATGGACTGGTAGGAGGAGTAGAAGATTCCATTATTAGCTGAGGGCAGGATAGGCTTCCCAGAAGAGATAGGTTTTCAGAGATCGCCTAAAAGTGAGCAGAGTAGGCGATAGTCTGATAAATTGGGGTAGAGAGTTCAAGAGGATGGGGGAAGCTCTGGAGAAATCCTGGAGATGAGCATGGGAGGAGGAGACACTAAAGCTAGAGAGCCGGAGGTCGTGCGAGGAGCGAAAAGGACGGTTTGGGTGATATTTGGAGACAAGATTGGTGATGTAATTTGGGGCAGAGTTATAAATGGCTTTATATGTTATTGTTAATGTTTTGAATTTAATCCGTTGGGCAATGGGAAGCCAGTGGAGTGATTGGCAGAGAGGGGTGGCAGATACAGAATGGTTAGTAAGGTGGATGAGTCTGGCAGCAGCATTCATGATAGACTGAAGAGGGGATAGCCTACAATGAGGTAGGCCAATAAGAAGGGAGTTACAATAGTCAAGGCGATAGATAAGGGAGTGAATAAGTTGCTTAGTAGTTTCCGAGGTTCAGAACGAGCGTATCTTGGAGATGTTGCGGAGGTGAAGTCTACAAGATTTGGACAGTGATTGGATTTGGGGCTGTAAGGACAGATGGGAGTCTAGGATTACACCTAGCACCCTGGCATGAGGGGAGGAACTGATGGTTGTGGTATTGATCTTGGTGGAGAAGTGGTTTATTTATTATGATTATGCTCAAGTTGCTGTCAGACACAATATAATATGCAATACTGTCATTTATATACCTTGTGGTGTGACCATCATCAATGTATATATACTCGGTATCATACATTGCGGTGTGATCATTATCAACGTATATTTACTCGGTATCATTATGTGGTGCACTGTGTTCATTATTGATGTATATATACTCAGTAACATTATACAGCGTGTTATGATCATTATCCCCAAGTTATGGCATTGCTTCATTAATGTTTTATCCTTTTGATCTAATTGCATCTTCCTTTAACAGGGATCCCCAGGGAAGGATGGGTTACCTGGACATGCAGGCTCGCGAGGAGAGCCAGTAAGTTTTTTTGCTTCATTTATAGTAACTCAAACACGTCTTAGTATGACCTAAGCTGTTTCAGGCTTGACATTGAACACACATGTCTTTAATGACCTTGTGTCAGGCCTGGTATTGAGCACCCATGACTTCCATGGCTCCTGCACCAGGCCTGACATTGAACACATATGACTTCCCTTGTCATATGTCAGTCCTGGCATTGAACACACATGACTTCCATGGTTTTGTGTCAAGTCTGGTATTGAATACGCATGATTTTCATGGTCCTGTGTCAGGCATGGCATTGAACACACATGTCTTCCATGGCTCCTGTGGCAGGCCTGGCAGAGAACACACATGACTTCTGTGGTATTGTATGAGGCCTGGCACTGAACACATGACTTCCATGGCACCTGTGTCACGCCTGTCATTGAACACAAATGACTTTCATGGCTCCTTCATCATGTCTGGCAGAGAACAGCCACATTTATAACTGCTCCTATATCTAAATTATAAAAGTGAATACTGTTCTGAGAGATATTGATACCGTTTATCTTTGCATTCTAGGGTTTTCAAGGAAAAACAGGCCTTGCAGGACCAGCTGGGGTTGTTGGACCACAGGTATGTCTGGCAATAATATATGGAAGTGTTATGCACTGTTTTTCACATACATTGCCTAGTAAAGAAATAGATATTCCTGTGGTAGGTATCCTTGAACCTAAATAATTTACACAGTGGATGTGACTCCTCCATTTACAGCCCTTGATGAAGATCTCAACCCAGATTTATCATATGTTTATGTGTGGAGGGTGGCTGTTCCAGCCTTTACATCCAGCAATCTCATTCTCTCACTGCTCCTGCAGTTCGATGATATCATTGTGACTGAGAGGTGAAAGCGGTTGGAATAATATAAGGGAGGGTTGATGCATTAGCCAGTAAAACGTCAGTATTGAGGTCAGCTCTGTAAAAGTAAAATTCTGATTAGATACTTTGAGTAATTGCATAATGCACAATGTTTTTTGCCTACCTAATTGTGCTGACATGAGGCTGGCCAGGAAAAAAATGGAAAATTGTTACCAATACTTACTGTAATTTTCCTTTCCTGGCCAGTCCTCACATCAGCACACCTAGAAGTAAACCCAGTTGTGCTGACGTGAGGGCCGGCCAGGAAAGCAAATTCAGTATACGTATTAAGATTAATTGTAAGTAAATACAATTGTTTATGTAATTACACATCAATGCATCTCTTGTAAAAACATCTGGTCTAAAAGTTTTTGTTTAATTTTGTCCAGGGCAAGTCAGGTGAGACTGGTCCAATGGGAGAACGAGGTCATCCAGGGTCACCAGGATCTCCAGGAGAACATGGATTGCCAGGCCCGGCTGGAAGGGAAGGAGCTAAGGTATGGTACAATGTGCCAAATGTCCCTAATTCTGTGGCGATGTTTCTGGGTTCAAAGATGAATCCATTTAAATTTTTGCTACTGAAAGTCCATATTACTGAAGTTCTGTTTTAAAGACTAAAGCAACTGTTAGCCATAAGAGTTTAAAAAACAGGTCAAATGAAATTCTCATTCTTTGCAAAAGCCTACCAGCTGACCACTCTCAAGAGATATGGTCGATCTTGTTTAAAAACGTTTGTGATTGTTTTTGCTCCTCATCCAAAGAGAGGACTAGGCTAAGGGGTATAGTGGCACTCCTGGGCAGGAATTACAATGTATTGTGGACTGGTGGCCCTGACAAAAGTCAACTTTCAGACATCAGCCAGAGTGGGGCCCACAGTCAGGGACAAATGCTGGTTATTATATAGCTATCTGCTCCCTGTTTTAACCTGTGATCACAGCATCTGTTAGAGGGACATCTTCCAGCATGAATTTGCAACTCTGAGATGTCATGTGATCAAATGCGTAGAGCCACAAAGGAAGCTAATGTTGGAAAATGTGCAAAGTTGTGTCACAATCAGGGGCGGACTGACCATTGGGGAACTTGGGCACTGCCCGAGGGCCCGGGGTCAGTAGGGGGGCCCCATGAGATGTCCCTGGTACCTTTCATAGGCTTTTTTGGGTGTGGTTTGAGTGTGAGAGAGAACACAGGGTCCCCATGATCCCCTATTGCCCTGGGCCCCATGAGTTGTCAGTCCGCCCCTGGTCACAATGAACCATTTCCTTTGGTAACGTCCACCTTTCACTTTGACCAGGCACACATTGCATTGTACACTTTATTTAGCCCATAGAAATCTGGCCCTACCATGAAAGGACTAGTTTGCTGTCTTTTCCTCCCAATTCAAAGGTTCAATCCTCTCCTGTCTCCGATATAGCAGCACAAAGACCAACTGGTCACTCTGGATGTCTACCCTATCAGTACTCATAAATGTGTACTCTCAGCCCAGCCAAGAATTCCTGCCTGAGGGTGGTTGGATCATCAAAAAGTAAACATTTGCCAAACTTGTGACTACTATTAAATGAGTGTTAGCCCATTTGCTGAATAAAGCAGACTACTGCAAACAAACGTTTTTGGGGATGGTTCCCTTTCCATTTTCTAATCCAAACCAATGTCAGAATGTGCCTGCAGGTCTCCCCACCTTCAAAGAAGTATGTTTAGCACTACCCCGTAAGGAGTTGCTGAGTATTTGGGTCCCCCTATAGTCCTGCACAGCCAAGAAACATGCATTTTCCACAGACTTGCTTCCAGGAGTTAGTAATCAGTCCTTGAGTTTGATTTTTGATGTTTTATTAAGGAGATTTCAACTTGGGTGGGGTAGGGGGTTATATGGGATGCCCAATGGAACTGAGGACAACCTGGAACTATTTACACGTAACTGCTGCAACACAGTCTCCTTTGGAGAGCTAGTCAGCATCTCTTGTAGTACCACCCCAGACCCCAGATAAACTCTTCTTTACCCAGCGGTATTCCTGACCAGGGGATCTGGTGCCTGTCACTTTAAGGAATTAGACAGCCCAGTAGGTAGCGAATCTGGTTTCCCACCAGAGTGCTCCTTCCCCTATCTGGCCCAGGGGGTGTAGGTCTACTCACTCAGTCCTACTCTTCTGTGCAGCTGGTGGGTTGGTGGCTGCTACCAGGCCTTCTAGCTGGGCCACTCCTTCCTTGCTGCACAGGTGGTCCTCGCTCTGGGAGCCGTGAGGGTCCAAGCTTTCATTCTTTCCAGCTCCTCTGCCTTTAGGTGAGCCCCTCTCTCCATCTGGCCCCCTTCCCAAGCTCCTACATTCAGCCTCACATTCTCTCTGTCTTCCACCCGAAATCTTCCCCCTGCTGCTAAGCAGGCTCAATCACATTTAAGGGTTGCCTGTTGGGGATTGGCCAGGATCCTTCAAAAATGCAGATCAGTCACTCCTCAGATCCACGCACTGCTTCTAGACTCTTCTCTAAAGTCCTAGAACAGGGCACAATTCCAGAGAGCTGGTCTGTAGAGCCTCTCAGCTCTGACCAAAGTTTGACTTCTGCTAGCTATCACACTCAGGCTGCTACTCAGCCCTTCTAGCTAACAATTGAGGTATAGCTCGCCCTAGCTGACTAGGAGGGTGCTACATATGAATGGCATTCAGTGGATTTGATGAGGTGCTTCTAGGTTCTTATCGATTCCACTAGTTGCTTCCACTGTCACGCCATCCTTTCCCAAACAAATATGGTGAACCTATGTGTTCTCCTTTATGGATCTAAAGTTTGCAGAGATTTTTTTTTTGTTCATTGATTGCTGTTAAAAGTGCTATTCCACATGTCAGTGTTAATAAAACCGTAAATGTTATTTTGTATGACAGGGAGATCCTGGTCCTTCTGGCAATTCAGGTAAATCTGGACCTCAAGGGCTTCGAGGGTTTCCAGGAGCAAGAGGTATCCCAGGGGAAGCAGTAAGTCACATTTACATCTCACATCTAAGTTAAAATAATGTGCTGTAAAAAGCTTGTAACCAACAAGGAATTTTTATAGCTCATCATAGAGTGCAGAGGCACATTATCCTCTATGTAATAATCATTTTTATCATTCTGTCCATTGTAGGGTGCAGGTGGGCTAAAAGGTGGAGAAGGTCCAATTGGTCCAGCAGGTTCAGTGGTAAGTGTTCCTGAATTGGTGTAATAATAGTAATGTAGCACTCACCCCTGCAGAAGCCATTGGATACAATGGGTTCTCTGTTCTGCCACGACTTTTTAAGCTCACTTGGCAGACTGTTGTGCCAGAAATCTCAGTCCTCACAATCATGTCTTCATGCTCAGGTTCTAATGATAATTTCCTCACAATCAAGTCTTTACTGGCTCTTCCTGACTGAAGGCACACAAGGAAACAAGTCCTCCAGCTTTGGGCCCCTGCACAGCAGGAGAGCTTTCAACATCTTAGTATTTGGTCTCTGGTGTGGACTCATACACCCCAGTGATAGGTCTGCACTCTTCCAGTCCTCCTTGGCAAAGACCCCTGGTCTCTGCACAGTCCCAGCAAAGGCCACAGTTCTGTCTGACATGGCTTCCTCTCATAAAGGACCCAGATACCAAAATTGCCACTGAACAGAATAGAGTTCACTTGTCTAAGCTTGCTGTTGAAAGCTGAGCAGTGTTTGATTTTCCTTGAAGGACCATCTAAAATGTTTCTTTCTGTTATTCACTAATGGTCTTTATATTCCCATGTCTACAATCTACCTGTTCTTTTTATTCCTATAATTTTTCTTGTATGTAATATGTCTGTGTTTAGCAATCTGGTCTGTTTGTCATATTTTTATAAATTTGTGAACACCTGACCTTCACACCTACTATATGGTCAAATTTGAATGGACATCACTCCAAGTTATTGGGTTCAGGTGTATTCAGTAAAGAGTTCTGTTAATGCTACAGCATACAAATACATTTTAGTTGTACACTTCCATCCTTTTAGCAACAGTTTGAGAAAGGCCTTTCTTATTCTAGCTTTACTGTCCCCCGTACACAAATCCAGCTCAATAAAGACAACATATTTATTGTGTGCATCTCCTATTCCACCTTATGCCAATGGATTTATGCTGAGTATTTCAAGTTCTATAATAAGTAAAAATATGACCACTTGCCTGGATGTGGTATAAATACTATACATTCAAACATAATACATACATATCAGTGGGAACTGATACCTTTAATATTTCAAATTCTGACGTGGCCATCTGTGTGCCATGGGAGAAATTAAGATATGACAGACTAGGAACTTAATTTATTTAATCTTCAGTTGATCAGTTTGGTAACCCATTCCCTTCTGTGGCCTCATTTTCCTGTTTTTAGTCAAGCGGTTGGAAAATCCAGTCTGGTCTTCTGATGCTCTGACACGTCCAGGCTCAACGGGGACAATTTACTACAACTGGAGCATTCAGAATCTGGTGCAGCTGTGCATGGTAGTTAATCAGCTTCTAACTTCAGCTTGTTCAGTTAAGCTTTGGCAATAAAACCTGGAAGTTGATTGGTTTCAATGCCCTGCTGCAACAGATTTTGCAGTTTTAGTAAATCCCCCCAATATGTTCTGGATTCCGAGATGCTATTTTGCATACCATTGCTGTAAAGAAGGCTCATGTAATGAACTGCAGACTAACTTTAAGACGTTTGTTCTGTCAAAAACAAGGTTTACATATAGAGCTCTTGCTTACTGGATGTTTTTGTTTTCTGTGTACTGTAAAGTTCAGCAGTTTCTAAGATTTGCTCTGACCAACAAACTGTCCTCAGTTAATATTGTTGAGATCATACATCTGCTTGGATGAACAACAGATAAACATTTTGGTCATGGCTATGTCCTGCTGGTACTGAGGTACAGCCATATTACTTGCTGTTTACTGCAGGTATAGGAATAAACTGGTCACTGACTTTTTGCTACCTATTGTTTATTGTATCTTCTTTTGTCTAGATAACCATCCCTCTTGGTACTTCTGATAACTTCCATAGATTTCTCAAATTATTTTATGAAAAACTCATGCAGCTTTTTAAAATTGTCACCTCACATTCTTAATAGGGGCCTACAGGAGAACGGGGACCTCCTGGATCAGCTGGAGGAATTGGTCTTCCCGGCCGTCCTGGGTCACAGGGACCTCCCGGACCAGCAGGAGAGAAGGGAAATCCGGTAAGTAATTGAGTATTGATAAATCGATATAAATACATTTGAAAATACAAAAGACTATTATTGGAAATGTAAATGTGTGAAAGACCTCCTGCGCTCCTGAGTCCCTTTATACTAATCACGGAGGTAAAGCTGCCAACATTCAGTCATATACCTAATGACAAATGTGAAAAAACTAAGAAAATGACGTGGCGCTAATACCATATAAACCTTACCATAAATGACATAACTAATATGTACCAATATGCAAATAAGTAATATCAGAAATTATAAAAAGTGTATAAAAGTGTAAAGATGCACATATATAAATATAAATAAATCAATATGCAATAATATACAAAAACAACATATATAAATAGTGATGCACATAAGTGTCTATATTACTCACAAAATACACGTGCAACAAAGTGCCACATAACAGGTCCAAGCTGGGACCAAAAAATATCAATAGTGCCCCAAAAGATCCTAAACGGATCTAATAGTGATAAACAAACAACAAACAAAAAGTCCAAAATGGGACTAAACCCAAAAACTTGTGTTCCAACTTCCCAACGGAAAATAGAAGTGCTCCAGGCATAAAATAACCACATAAATAACAACCACTGTGTCGCTAATAAACACAGTACATCCAACCGTGCATAAAATAATGTGCTCAATTGTAAACATATAACAAATTACAAAATATTTTATACAAAAGTCCCGTGAGGTGAAAAAAACACCTAATTGCTATAAGCAGTACAGTCCTCATAAAGTTTAACCCAAAGGTGATGACCGGTGTGCGAAGATATCTAAAAATGGCTGAAATGCCCGCTCACCTCCCTGTTTTGACCCACACAGGGCCAAAACGCTTTTAGGATCATTAAACCTGGATCATTCCAGCTTGGGACTCCTCCAAAGCTCTCCACACTGATTTCCCCTCAAGTATAGGCTCATAAGGTGGCAGATCTCCTCTCCAGGCAATTAAGCAGTAAGTGACCACTCATTTCTCAGGAAACCTGGATGACAGATCCTCTACACATCTTCTGGTGGTTGAAGCAAGTCTCAAAGGGGTTGATTTACAAAAACTGGTACACTCAGAATCAGCTGTGCATGTTGACCAAACATTTGCATATTGGTATATATTATTTATGTCATTTATGGTGGGGTTTATATGGTATTAGCGCCACATCATTTTCTTTGTTTATTATTGGAAATGTAATGCTAATGGTAGGACTAGGCCCCTTTAAGTACCAAAATATACACCTGAATTGCAGCTGAGCTGATATCTAGTCTCCATATTCCTGAACCATATTCCTGCTTGATGTACCTGTATTCTTCAACTATCTGGCGCATTTGAAAAATTACTATCTACAGGAGACAACTAAAGTGGAACTTCACTCTCTCAATCAACATGGACTATTTTTAATCTTTATGCTGGTAGCATTAGTAAATGGATAAGAAAGTATATCATATTTACTTCTTTTAAACCTTTTTTTTTACATTTCTTCAGTTACATCCTGGTTTCCATGCCTAGACAAATGACGTCACACATTCCAGGAGTCTTCAGGAGTGGAGGGAGGGTTCTCAGCTCAGCCTATGCCTGAGTTAAGGGCAGTTGGATTCCAGGAAGTAAATGACAAATGACTCATCTGCCCTTACTCAAGATGGCCACTGCCAGAAATACTAGGGGTGGGGGTTCAAAATGATTTCACAGCAAAATAAAGCATGGAGATATGGATGGATGGGGGAGTTTGCTTTGAATATTAAAAATTATTTAAATAGCATTTTTTGGTTTGTGGTGCTCATATGCAGTGTAGGTCCACTTTAAGTTACAACTTAGCTTGGCAAAAATTGTATGAGGCTTGAACACTAAAAGATGGGGCACAGTTGTCCACATAAAAGATGGGGCACTTGTCCACATAAAAGATGGGGCACACTTAAAAAATTTGATAGCACTGCAATGCACCGCTATACTGCTATTATACAGTATCATATGTACCATCAGACATACATCGTGCAAGCTATTTGGGGTTTTGGACCAGTATTAGTACTTATCCTACTAGAAGTAAGTGGTGGGACTCTGGTTTCAGTCACACAGCGTATGTTGCCTTGGTGATGTCACTAATTCCTAAAGAATACATAGGCTTCTTTCCATAAAGTATTTATGTAAGCCACTTAAACTTGACTACATATGTGTAATACATTTTCTTTAATTGACATCCTGTAATATTAATTTCCTCTGTAAAAAAACTGTTATAATTAAACAGGGTGAAAAAGGACCTTTTGGAGGAGCTGGCCAAGATGGTGCACAGGGTAGCCTTGGACCACCAGGACCTGCTGGACCTCCCGGGCCAGCTGGAGATGATGGAGATAAGGTATCACATATGCTAAACAGGTTTTTTTGTGTAAATAATGATATGTATCTAGATATACATATACGTGCCGCGCTCCATATTAATAACAAAAACTATATATATTAAATAATAGTGATAATAATAACGTGAAAACACAGTGCTACAAACAAGTGCAACATAAACATGAAGTGTGTAAAGATGTGATTCTGCCAATATGTATAACAGTCCTCTTTACACTTCTATAAACGTTCCAGTAATAGGTGAAATATATAGTGCCACACTCCTGTGCTCTGTGGATAGGTGTGCGCTCACCTCCTTGTCAGCCAGACAAGCTGACTAAACACACTTTTTGTCCTCACTGGACAAGGTGGGAATCTTTGCTTTATCTGCGTGTCTCCATCCAATGCTGGGTTGCCTAATTGCCACCAGAGGTCTCCCTCCTTCCACACTAGGACCTCAATGGATTTCTTATGGGGATGGTAAAGATGGTATTTCTCCTCTCAATTGCACCATGTAAGAAATAAGAAACCACAGATGGTGCCTTATCCTTAGTGTGGCCAGAGCCCGTTTATTGTAAAGGAAACGCCACTCACATTTTATTCCATCAGTTCAGTAATCAGCTGGCGTGTCTGTCAGTCCTGTGTAACTGGCGCCGCTCGTCCACCGCGGCGTCGTGACGTCAGAGCCCCTCCCCTACGCGTTACGCCACAGGGTCACGTGGCTTCATCAGGGGGATTATAATCCCCCTGATGAAGCCACGTGACCCTGTGGCGTAACGCGTAGGGGAGGGGCTCTGACGTCACGACGCCGCGGTGGACGAGCGGCGCCAGTTACACAGGACTGACAGACACGCCAGCTGATTACTGAACTGATGGAATAAAATGTGAGTGGCGTTTCCTTTACAATAAACGGGCTCTGGCCACACTAAGGATAAGGCACCATCTGTGGTTTCTTATTTCTTACATGGTGCAATTGAGAGGAGAAATACCATCTTTACCATCCCCATAAGAAATCCATTGAGGTCCTAGTGTGGAAGGAGGGAGACCTCTGGTGGCAATTAGGCAACCCAGCATTGGATGGAGACACGCAGATAAAGCAAAGATTCCCACCTTGTCCAGTGAGGACAAAAAGTGTGTTTAGTCAGCTTGTCTGGCTGACAAGGAGGTGAGCGCACACACCTATCCACAGAGCACAGGAGTGTGGCACTATATATTTCACCTATTACTGGAACGTTTATAGAAGTGTAAAGAGGACTGTTATACATATTGGCAGAATCACATCTTTACACACTTCATGTTTATGTTGCACTTGTTTGTAGCACTGTGTTTTCACGTTATTATTATCACTATTATTTAATATATATAGTTTTTGTTATTAATATGGAGCGCGGCACGTATATGTATATCTAGATACATATCATTATTTATGGTTTAGTTTTCAACACAGTTCATGAGCTATGTGTATAGTGCTGAAGCACCAGTAGTAAATCTATGGTTTAAAGTTAATACATATCACGTTAAGGGAAGTATCTTGTTTTGGCTCACGAGTATAATTTATCACATTATTGCACAGGTTTTTTTGTGTATTTCAGACTCATTTATTGCATCAATGATCTTCTTTTGATTTTCTCCTTATATTTAGGGAGAGGTTGGAGGTCCTGGGCAAAAAGGAAGCAAAGGTGACAAAGGAGAAAGGGTAAGAATCTAATTTCTTCTTCAAAACCTAGGGAAGTGAGATAGGTCTATTAACCACTTATGTGTGTAAGCTAGAGACAGTGTACATTAAAGTCACAAAAGAGACTGTGAATGATAGACAGGAGACAGCCATGACAGACCATGGACCAGAGCTATAGAGAAATCATGTAAATGAGTGTCATGGATGGCCTTTACATGATTGGTACGACTGTACGATAGTTGTGGAGGAAACTTAATGTGAAGGTAGTTAAGGAAAATTATGGCGGAGGCGATAAATAAAAGTTGTGTTAGAAGAAAAGTACACAAAGCAAGGCAGAGGTTGTACATGAAGGTGTGAGTAAAGGTCTTGGTAGAGATAATGTAGGAGCCTGTAAAAGTCAAAGGGAAGTCCGTGAATGTGTCATGAAGAGGGCTTTGAATGAATAAAATTGTCTGTGAGGAAACGTTAAATAGGAGGATATGAAGAAGCAGCATGGAGACTGTAAGCAAAAATCCCAAAGAAGGCTTGGAATAACATTAAAGGTGGCAACTATAAGTAAGTGATCATAGAAGCTGTGAGATATAGTGGCCTTGGAATGAATTAGAGTGTAAACAGAAAAGGAAAACAGAGGCTGTAGGTGAGAAATAAAAATGTCTGTGAGCAGCACAGGAGAAGATTTGGATTTACAGAATAAGTGAGCGATGTGGACTAATTTGAGTGGCACACTAGAAAAAACATCTATGACCGATGTGCAAGAGTTTGCCAGTTGTAGACAATTCAGACAACATATGCTGAACAATAAAAATTTCAAAAGATAAGTAATATATTATTCTTTACTCTTTCATAGGGACCTCCTGGGCCTACTGGTATACAAGGTCCTATTGGAATCCCTGGTCAAGCCGTAAGTATTGAGGAAACTACCAACTTGTCCATACACATTGGTTTATTCCATTTACTGAGAGTCCACCAACTAATAAACATTGGATTTTTCAAGTGAGGAAACATCTTCAAGCAGGACTAGCATCATGATCAAATTAAAAACTCTCTCTGTAAATAGTGCTAAATAGCCCGTATTTAGTGTGTAACATGAAACAAAGTCACATTACCCAACCCCTCCCCCCTACCCTTTCAGACACACACATACCCAAATTGTGGGATGCTTCTCCATGAAGCATTCTGTTGATTTTTTAATTTAAAGCAAAGATATACTCATCTTTAGTCCAGCGATGCGGCATCCCTGAGCTCACTGTCGGCCGCTGATATCTTCAGGTTCAACTTCTGAGTATCAATCACCGACTGCTTTAATTGGCTGGGCGAAGATGACTTCACTCCCACACATACATAACAGTTCAGTCAGCTTGGGATTGCTGAAATTGTACAATGAACTGTGTGTGCACTGTACGAGGGTGGACAGGCAGGTAATTAACTTTTATAGTGTTGTAGTGCCGCTAAATAAAAAATGTGAAGTGAATAACACAAAATAAGTGTGATCAAACACTAATAGACCATCCGTGATTAACGTGATAAAAAATCAATTCAAATTAAAAGTGATCCAAAGTTCATAAAAAAGTATAATAAAGTGATCCAAAGTTCATAAACTCAATTCTTCTCCTTCACCACGTGTTATAGACTGACAACCAAGTGCTTCACAGAAATCCCCCACATGAATGTACACTCACCACATATAATGGCCTTCCACTCTTGTGGTTGGCAAACAAGCTTCATGAGAAAGAGACTCCCCTGCCTTGAGATATACCATGTAAAACATAAACAGAAAGACGCTCCAATGGTGTAGTATAAAAAACCAGATTCTCTAATATAGTGAATGGACCTTACTTACAAGCAAACTAGTAAAACAAGCCCAAATGATTTGACCATAGATAAGCTTGAAGTGATCATAGACCAGGTACTCTCACCACCTCTGGTTTGTTGGTATCTGACGCCGTTGCGTCACTTCCGTTCACCGCACCGTCACGCCCTGATGTGTTTCGTCACTTCCGACTTACTCAAAAGGGGTTCGTGACCGGAAGTGACGCGACGGCGTCAGATACCAGCAAACCGGAGGTGGTGAGAACACCTGGTCTATGATCACTTCAAGCTTATCTATGGTCAAATCATTTGGGCTTGTTTTACTAGTTTGCTTGTGAGTAAGGTCCATTCACTATATTAAAGAATCTGTTTTTTATACTACACCATTGAAGCGTCTTTCTGTTTATATTTTACATGGTATATCTCGAGGCAGTGGAGTCTCTTTCTCATGCAATATATAAGTTTCATCTATAATTGGGAAGATTATCCCTGGAAGCCTGTTTACCAACCACGAGAGTGGAAGGCAATTATCTGTGGTGAGTGTACATCCATGTGGTGGATTTCTGTGAAGCACTTGGTTGTCAGTTTATAACACGCAGTGAAGGAGAAGAATTGAGTTTATGGATCACTTTATTATACCTTTTCATGGACTTTGGATCACTTTTAATTTGAATTGATTTTTTATCACGTTAATTACAGATGGTCTATTAGTGCTTGGTCACATTTATTTTGTGGTATTCACTTCACATTTTTTATTTAGCGCCACTATAACACTATATGAGTTGTGTGTATATTTTATTTCATTTACTATGGTTTATATATAGTGGCAGCTTTTTGACATATTGATTACATTCAGAGCAATATAATAGGTGTTGATAATAGTAACGATTATATTATCACATTTATTTTTCTTTTAGGTAATTAACTTTAATGCAGAAGAGATATAATATGTAATTTTCTATTTTGGCCATGGTTCCTTGTAATTCCATATTAGAGATATGACTAACCCTCACTGAACCAAGCATGGTTCTTAAACTGCACTGTTGTGCTGCCATTTATAAATTTCTCAGACTGCATGTTCCCCTTAGTGCCTGTGAAGTCTCTAGATGACTTCATACACAAAGGGATCTGTAACTGATGGGAGTGAGAGTGCTTCTATCACATTACATCTGACCATTATACTATGACCTCTGTCAGCAGCTGGTTGTCCTATATGCTTGACGTTTTCTCTGTAACATAGCAGACTCCATTGGGTCAAGTTCATTCCACCTGTAGCAAAACACAGATTTTTATACATTTGAAACTGGATGAAAAATATTCAATATACCTTCAAAACTTAGTTTTGCCATTTAGATTTTAAAGAGAATGCCACCTCCACAAAATGTATTTATTGGAAATGTTTATTCATCTGTGATGACATATCCTTTTTTCCTGCACAGGGCCAAGATGGAGAACCCGGTCGCAGAGGTCAGCCAGGAATGCAAGGACAAAAGGGAGACGAGGGAATTCGAGGCTTTACTGGTGTATCAGGTCCCAGGGGACTCCAGGTGTGTCAAAGAATTATGAATGCCAGTGTTTCACTTTGTTTAACAAGGCAGTTTCACATGTGATTAAAGGAATGTACATTTTACATAAAACTTGTGTAATTAAAGGGACATTTTCCATTTATGTTTTGTTATAGGTTAAAAAATATTGCTACAATTTAAGCTATTTAAAGTTTTATTTGATTCCACTGAAACAATTGAGTACTGACGTGATACTTTTTTATTTGCCCTAATTTATAATTTTGAGGACAAGCTTTCAGGGTATATCCCCTTCTTCAAGGTCGAGGCAGTACTCAGTATTGCCTGCACCTTGAAGAAGGGGACATACCCCAAAAGCTTGTCCTCAAAATTACCGTATATGTTATTGCAAATAAAAAAAGTATCACGTCAGTACTCAATTGTTTCTGTCACAAGTGCATTAATACGGCTACAATCACCTCAAGCAAAATTGTTGATTCCACTGTAAATCTTAAAGAACTATAGGTTATTTATATTTACTTACTTCTCCTTTAATATTCCAGTGATAGATTTATTTCAATCCATTTATGTAACCACTAGAAAGCTGCCTATTGCCTATTGACCCTGATGTGAGATTGTGATCCAGAGAAACAGAATCGGAGTTTAGATCTGTAAAAAGTTAACTACATAATTTTATAAAGCATTTGAATATGTTTATTTGAATAGTATTCCTTTAAGTGTGGCCCATTATTTATAACCATATAAATAACATTACTATCTCTCATTATAGGGTATGCCTGGACCTCCAGGAGAGAAGGGAGAAAGTGGACATGTTGGGCCAATGGTGTGTGCTCCTTTATATGCGATATATTAAATTAGAAAAAGGTATGATTAAACTAAGTTTAACAAATAAATTTAATTGCAGGGCCCACCGGGTACAACAGGTCCTAGAGGTCCCATGGGTCCAGGTGGTGGTGATGTAAGTAAGTTGATTAACTGTTTTGGAGTATAACAGCAAGTTTAAACCATCTCTGACTAACCATTATTTAATATTTTAGGGAGCCCAAGGACAGCCAGGAGGACTGGGCCAGCCAGGAGCTGTTGGAGAAAAGGTAATAGGTGCTTGTTTGAGAGTCTGCTTGATATTTAACTTGTGATATTCCCAACATGAAGTTCATGACCTGTTAGCAAGATTTTTTCTTATAAAATGTAGGTTAAACTACCTCTCTCAGTAGCTGGCAAATAAATTTCATTAAAATTATGCTTCTTCCCGAGTGCTCTGTGTTCAGTCCAACATGACAGCAGTAGCTCCTAAATTCTTTTTCAAGAAATTTGTCATTCAAAATTATCTGGTCTAGCACTAGATGTAAACTAAAGATATCTACTCTTCAAAGACCTAAAGAAGAGGCATGTATGGCTTTGACCATTATTTGCCTATACTATTTGCTGGACAACTGAAGCATCCCTACCACAGTGGATGTCCACCTAGCCTCTACCCTTCTGATTGAGCAGCTAATTTATTTTAGGCCCTTAACTTAGTTGTGTCCAAGTATCAACTTCCAATACCTAGAGTAGTCAAGTCTATCTGGTCAGAAGTTAAGAATCTTGCACCCTCTAGGGACCTTCCTGCTTTTGGACCATCCAATGCTCTCTCAGCCATCCTCTATTCAGGACACATCAGCTTGTATATCAAGCGGGGTATTTACCCTGTCTGATACAGTATATGTTGACAATAGGTTGTGCACATAAGTCCAACTCTAGTAAACATTTGCTCTTCTTAAGGGTTTTTGTAGCACTATTTACAACTGCAATACACCTTGACCACTCAGTTTCAGGCCTGTGATATTTGAATATCACAGTACAACCTATGTGGTGCTATTAAATCTCAGGGGACTAAGGGGTTGATATCCACCTTGTACTCTCAATTGCTTCACACCAAACTTGATGAATCTCCACTGGCGAATAAAGACAGGTGACAAATAGTAAGGCTGTCTTTGACAGCCGAGGATTGGGACAATATTTGGAGTTCCCATTTGTTGATAGCTCCAGCTGTTAATGTATAGCTCATTCAACGGTACAGTATTCCCTAAACATGTCTAACACTAACCAGCCTGCACAAAATGGGTTGACTATCCCACAAAACTGTTTGCACCAACTTCAAGCAGACTTTGCATTTTTGTCCTCTACTCTGCAACTTTTGGTCTTAGGTGTCTGTACTCATGTTATCTACCCTGATTACAATGCCCCTACCTTGCACTTCAGAGATACCTCTATTTGGAATCCTACACAAGGGCTGTGGACCCTATTACATAGAGATATTTCTGAGGAAAGCTCAACTCATAAAGTGATTCCCTTTAGGTGGATGCAATGCCCCCCTTCCCCCCACACTTCACACCAACGGATCTTTTTTGTGTAACCAAATGTTCCATACAAAATATATAATAATAGCAATTAGCCAGATAAATGTAATAAAGTGTTACCCCTCTATACCTTTGATTGCTTTATACTTGTAGTGATACACTGAATAAGTTTTTAAAACTTGACCATCACCTCTATATAGGTTTGTGGGACATCTCATTGCAAAAACCATGGCCATTAATATGGGGTTGCTCTCCCCTTTTGCTACAACAACTTCCACTCTTCTGGAAATGCTTTCTACAAGTGTGTCTATGGGAGTTTGTGCCCATTCATTTTAGTTGTGTGACATTCACAGTTATTGGCTCCATTTACTTTGTGGAATATCTAAAGTATCTAAAGTGTAGATACTTGTATCTAAAGTCTTTTTATTGCTTTATAGTGTGGAACAGATAGCACTTTTGTCAGGTTTTCATTGTTGAATGGTCTCGCTAGGATGATTCACTCTCTATTTTTCATTGTTGATGACAATTGTCACCAGGGTATAAGGAAAGAGGAAGTCCAATCTAATATTTACAGTTGTGAAAACTGAGGTGATTTGCATCATTTTGGTGAGATTTTCTCTCATTTCCTGTTGTGTGTCCGAGACAGGAAGTAAAGGGAGATCTTCCTAGCTAGATACAGAGGATTAAACCATTCTCTACTCATCCAAAACTAAAAAATATTTTTGAATTTAGATACACTGTAAATGTAATTATGTTTTATTAAAGTGGTAGTAAACCGCAGGAAAAAAAAGTCCTATGCAAGGTAACATCACATGTGCTAGTATGCATACTAGCACATTATGTAGGACCCTAAATCAAAGCCCTCCAGCGACGCTCTGCCACTGCTGCAGAGGCTTCCATATTCCCTTGGTCTTCCTTCTGGGTTCGCAAGCTTCGGCCGTGTGACAGGCCGGGCCGCGATTACATCACTGCTAAATGGTTCAGCATGCTGCTAAATGGTTAGGGCATCTGTTATTTAACTATCTCAGGCAACTGACTGCAGCAGACTGGATAAAAGCACTAAGTGACCACCATCCAGCAACATTTGGAACTAGTGGTCACTCTTTTAAAAAGGTCTGAGAGCGAACAAAAACTTGCATGATTGACAGGTATTTACTCCAATATAAAAGACCTTGCAAAACTGTATTTATAAGGTAAAACACACAAACTTTAGTATTTGAGTTTGCATATACTTTAAGTAATCCAGTCTACCTGTGCAGCATAATCTACCGAATCACTCTTTGTTGTCCCTACAGGGAGAGTCAGGAGAAGCCGGAGATCCAGGATCACCAGGAGAACCCGGTCCCCCGGTGAGTATGTGACCAAAAAGATGATGGCGGTAATATAAATATGACATTGATTTATATTATAATAAGGACACTTAAGGTGTGCTAGCAGGAAATTTATGCTTTAATGCTTGCATCCTCCACTCCTTAAGCCAGCCATATACAGCTCAAATTTCTTCATCCATTTAAACCTCAGTTCATATTTAAAAGATCAAGGCTTGTGTAAAGTTATCCATGTTTGGAAGAATGGCAATGGTCAACTATGACAGATTTGGGTGTTTTCTACTGCTATTGAATGATCATAGAACCAGGGCATAATGAAAGCAGTTATAGAGGAATCAATGTAACCCATTCCGAGTCATATCATCCTTTCTAGCTGTTCCGCATCAAAGCAGATATTTTTTTGTTTTGAAAAGCTGACAGTAGCATAGATTCTATAATACTATATAATGTATGTAGGATAAAAGAGAAATATGTAAATGCAGACCTTGTCTACAAGTATATATTAAAAAGTAACTAAAAAAAAACTGATTTATTTCAATTTATTTCAGGGAGGTAAAGGTGACATTGGTGAAAAGGGTGAATCTGGAGCTTCAGGAGCGGCGGGACCTCCTGGGAAGAAGGGACGTCCAGGAGAAGATGGACCTAAAGGAAACATGGTGAGTTCTGTTGATACATACAAAACCTAGAGGGCTCATCATATACAGTATGTGCTAAGTAATAGGCATGCTAAATAGGCATTGGGCACGCTAAATGAGCAAAGCCTCAAACAATAAAGACAACTCAGTACAACTATCTGAATTATCCAAATACTTGTCACTTCCAGAATTTCCTTGTTTTTTTTTAATGTGTTACTGAATAAGCCCGAATGACAATACATTATAAAAAGTACAATCGCATAAAAACTCAAAAGTGAGGTGGACGTTATGTTAAGCTGAGTAATAACAAAGTTTTCACAATTGGCAAATGTTTTGAATTAATTTAATGTATATTCTCTTACTAGGGTCCCATAGGTTTTCCAGGAGACCCAGGACCAAGAGGAGAGGCTGGAATACCAGTAAGATTTCTTTGGAAGATACTTGACAGCGCTTTAAAAGCACAGTTTGTGTATAGACTATATTTTCAAATTGTCATGCTAACAATGCTCTTTTCTGATACTCAGGGAGTTGATGGTGTACCTGGAGAGAAAGGTGATGCTGGAGAAAGTGGGAATCCGGTGAGTTACATATTCTTTGCTGTGTAACTTTTAAGTGTCACCAAGGGCTTAAAGGCAGCTATAAAAGTCACACATTAATGCAGCTCTATTCATGCATACATCTATAAATGTATTACTTTAAATGCAAGCAGTATACAGCAAGTACATGAATTTTAATGGGTTTCAGTCCCTGTACAGCATCTCTCAGACTGAGAGAGAGAAGAAGCACATGGAAGTAATCAGTTGTACTTTAGTGTCTATGTGCTAATGAGGAACATGCTGATAGGATGACTATTTGAAGGTGTCAGACAGAATAGGAAGTGAGAAAAAATCTCCCCATTCACCACTTGAGAGATTTTCCTTAATCTCCCTATATGTAATTGGAACAAGAATTACAATGTTGACCCGGACAGGAGGTAGAGGTAAATCTCACCAACAGTGTGTCAAATAGCAATAGGAAATGGACAACGGGTCTATACCTTTGCCACTCCGCTCAAAGCTAAAAAAAAATATTGGCTGAATCTTTCAATGTAAGTCACCTTTTGTCATCCTAAATCTAGAAAAGCAAATGTATAAATGTGGATGATGCTAAATAATTACCACTGTATGTGCAGAGATTGAGCCACATATTAAATATGGATAGTATGGTATGAACCATAGGATTTGCGGAGAACATGAAGTTTGTTGGCCAACAATAGGTAAAAATATTTTCCTGGGGGTTTATAATGTATAATTTCTCTAATAATTTTGGTTATCTTAACTTAAGTAAACAATTTTCTGAAGGTCAGCCTAAATTGTTATCTGGAATGGAAAGCAATTTTTTATATATTTTTTTTTAAAGGGACAACCTGGACCTTCAGGAGAGCCCGGCCCAACAGGTCCACCTGGACGAAGAGTAAGTTCTTGTGTCTGTAGTGTCTAGGGTGGTGAATGTGTCCCCCATTGCCTCTAGTGGGAATGCTGTTTAAACAATATCTTTCTCCTCATTTTTTAGGGACAACTGGGGCCTGCAGGCAAAGAGGGTCGTCAAGGTGAAAAAGGAGCAAAGGTGAGTTACACTGAACAGCAAGCACATTCTATTCTTTAACCTAGAAAGAGTACATCAAAAAATCTTTGTAATGTTTCCTGTGTAATAGGGAGAGCGTGGAACTGAAGGACCTCCTGGAAAGACAGGGCCAGTGGGACCTCAAGGATCGCCTGGGAAACCTGGACCTGAAGGTCTGAGAGGCATTCCAGGGCCTGCTGTAAGTGAACTCTCAGGCATATTATCTCATGGCATTTTACTGTGGAATATTAGGATTTAGTAGCCTAGTTAGGCCTTATATCCAAGGTTTTTCAAGAAGCTGATTGTTCTAGAGAAGTAATACAAAAAACTAGGTAGCTTGAAAACTGCAAAAGATATTAGACAATGGATAGATATTCATTCATTCATTTGGCCCCATCACTAACCAATTACTTACAAGTGCATTCCCCATTTGAAGTGATGGCAACCATTTCCCTGGTTTACTGCAAGAGCATGAAAGTTGTAGCTGCCCCCCCCCCCTTCCCCCGCTCTGGGCATCCACAAACTCCTGCACAGCTTGCTTTCTGGATGTCTGTACTGTTTGAGGGTATTTGTTCAGGAGAATAGGGGGAGCAACAGTGCCAACACCGTGGAATACAATAATGTTTTGTAAACTGATCATTTGGGTTTGAAACATTGCCAATGTTCTGCATTTGGACCCCTTCTCTTCTCTGTCTAGCACAGTTGGCAGCACAGTGACTAAATGGTTAGCACTTCTGCCTGATAGTACTAGGTTCGATTGATTAATTGGATCCTGTCTTAATTTGGCCCTAGTATGTGTATGAATGTAAGTTAGGGACTTTAGATTGTATGCCCCTTGAGGGTTAGGGACTGATGTGAATGTATAATATATGTGTAAAACACTTTGTAAATTGAATAAATGTAATAATACACCTCCTTCCTTGGTCACGTAATAAATTCCCATGGCTTCCAATACCATCTCTATGCCGATGATACCCAAATCTATCTCTCTACTCCTCATCACACCCCTTCGGTCTCCTTTGCATTACCAACCTATTAAACTGACATATCAGTATGGATGTCACTCTACTTCCTCTAACTCAACCTTTCTAAAACTGAGCTATAACCTCCAAGCTACTCATTTACTCCTTTCCTATCTCTTGCCTTGACTATTGCAATTCCCTTCACCAATATTCATACCTGTCCGTGCCCTCCTCCCTGACTTTTTCAACAAGATTAAAAATGTATCTATCAGTCCCTCACCTCATCCCAAGATGCTAGATAATCCTGAACTCTGACCTCTTCTTTTATACCGAAATCCAATCACTGTCCAAATCCTGTAGATTTGACCTCTGCAACATCTCCAAAATACTCCCCTTTTTAACCAATGAGACCTCCAAGCTACTCATTCACTCCCATGTTATCTCTCGCCTTGACTATTGCAACTCCCTTCTCAAAGACTTACCTGTACACAGGCTACCCTCCTTCAGTGTATCACAAATGCTGCTGTTAGTCTCATCCATCTTACCAACTGTTCAGTGCCTGCCACCCCTCCACTCAGTGTCCGCTACCCATCTGCCAATCCTTTCACTGGCTTCCAATTGCCCAACAAATAAAATTCAAAATACTAACTACAAAGCCATTTACAAAGCCCCAAGCTACATCACCAATCTTGTCTTAATATATCACCCAAACTGCCCTCTCTGCTCTTCCCAAGACCCTCTGCTCTCTGCTCTCTAGCTCTCTTGTCTTCTCTTTCTATGCTCATCTCCAAGACTTCTCCAGAGCCTCTCCCATTCTCAGGAATGCTCAACGCCAATCTGTCAGGCTCTCCTACTCTTTCCATTTATAGGCATTCTCTGAAAACCCATCTCTTCAGAGAAGCCTATCCCACCTTCACATAATAACTGATTCTTTTATTTCTCCCATCAGTTCATCCCTCACAGTTATTACCTTTTGCACCACTTACCCTTCCCTATCAGGCTGTAAGCTCTCATCAGCAGAGCCTTCCTAACCCTCTTGTATTGAATAGTATTATAACTGTACTGTCTCCCTTTATAATGTAAAACGCTGCATAAAACTGTTGGGACTATATAAATCCAGCATAATAGTAATATTAAAAAATCGGAGCGTTAGCATGTATTCAATCCTAGGTATTTGCCATTACAGGGGGAACCAGGCTTACTTGGACCACCTGGTCAGACAGGACCTCCTGGGCCCTTGGTAAGTGTACAGAAATATAAATTAAAAATGTGAAAATACATCTGTTTAACTGTTAAGGTGTGTGTGATGGAGCTCAGAGACTGCATGGCATGCTGGAATGTCTTAAAGATGAGTGGAGATGGTTTATTAGACAAGGTTCCTTCACTTGTGGTAAGAAAAGTGTTACAGAGTTGGGTGGACTCTTCGTGTCACAGAACAGATGTGGAACTCTCACTAGGGCACAACTGTCGAATGTTGGGTCTTCATCAGAGCCATTGATGGTGTGAATCTTACCCTTCTTACATACTGGTGATCAACACATGAGAAAACCCAGCTGTTGTAAGCCAACTAGCAGGCAAACCAAAATGTAGAGTAGCTGGAGACGTATCAAACATACAGAACCTTTGGATTGGTACAGACTGAGTGTGCAGACCTCATTTTAAACACTGAAAACTAAGGCAAGGTGAGGAACTTCAGCATAAACACACTACAGCAATGCGTAACATTCAGCAGACGACAGAGGAAAGCATGTATGTCCAGCAATTGTAAACCTTTTTATGCAGTACAGAGGAATCTAGGTGCCAGCAATCTGTGAACACAGTGCATCCCTGGGTGGATTGTTAGAAAGAAAAGCAAATATCGGAAAAACAAAGAATGGAAGTAAGTAGAAAAGGGGATTCTCTTCCTGATATCATATAATTTTCTTTCATCTATGAGCTGTTGAATGAAAATGGAAGTTCCATGGAAGCCAAATGGTCATTTTGAAGACAGTCTTCCCTTCACCTGCTTTATAGTTGTAAAATAGGCATCCCACAGAAAGATGGCAGGATTGGTTGTTGGCTGTGGCATAGGATTGGCTCAAATAGCGCTGTAACTGTCACATGACGAGAAGCCAGTTATGTCTCTGATGACAAGTACAACTAAAACAAATGGACTGGTGAGATGTGGCAGGATACAAAAGCAAAAAAAAGGAAGTAGAGAGAGCTCCTAGACTGTAAATGACTTGTGAGTTCCTGATGAAAACACTCTTTTCAAGTGGTGCGATAGGAAAGAGTTGTGTTCATACAGTAAAGGAAATAAGTATTTGATCACCTGCTGATTTTGAATGTTTGCCCACTCACAAAGAAATGATCAGTCTAAAAATTGAATGGTAGGTGTATTGTAACACTGAGAGACAGAATAGCAACAAAAAATTCAAAAGAAATGCATGTCTAACAAATTATGCACTGATTCGCATTTGCATAAGTATTTGATCCCCTATCATTCAGCAGGATTTCTGGCTACCAGGTGTCTTTCATACAGGTAACAAGCTGAGATTAGAAGCAGTCTCTTAAAGGGAGTGCTGCTAATCTCATTTTGTTACCTGTATAAAAGACACCTGGTAGCCAGCAATCCTGCTGAAGCAATCAAACAATCAGATTCCAAACCCTCCACCATGGCAAAAGACCAAAGAGCTGTCCAAGGATGTCAGGGACAAGATTGTAGACCTACACAAGGCTGGACTGCACCACCAAGCTATCGCCAAAGCAGCTTGGTGAGAAGGTGACAACAATTGGTGCAATCATTCGCAAATGGAAGAAACACAAAACAACTGTCAGTCTCCCTAGGTCTGGTGCACCATGCAAGATCTCACCTCGTAGAGTGTCAATGATCATGAGAACAGTGAGGAATCATCCCAGAACTACACGTGTGGATCTTGTCAATGATCTCCAGGCAGCTTGGACCACAATCACCAAGAAAACAATTGGTAACACACTACGCCGACAAGGATTGAAATCCTGCAGTTCCCACAAGGTCCCTCTGCTCAAGAAAGCACATGTCCAGGCCCTTCTGAAGTTTTCCACTGAACATCTGAATGATGCAGAGGAGGACTGGTTGAAAGTGTTGTAGTCAGATGAGCAGATGAGATGATCAGCAGGGAATCAAATACTTATTTCCTTCACTGTATGCAAAAACAAAACACATGTACAGGAAGGCCTAATGCAGCCTTTTTTAACCACTTGCTGCCCAGCCACCGCATATAAACGGTGGCAGGGTGGCGCTTGTAGGCAAAAGCACGTTTTAAAACGGCTGCCTTCAAAACAGGTAGGGGGCGGGCGCGAGGCGCGCGCCCGCCCTACCTGTCCCGTGGGTGTCGGCAGCGGGTCTCCGCCGCCGGGTCACGGCCGGTTTTTACTGGCCGTTTTCCGCGATGAGCGGTGATCACTGACAGAGCAGGGCTGCATTGTTTACACACAGCCCTGCTCTGTGACAGTTCGCCGACAAGCTGAAGAGGGAGAGAAGAGTTTCTCTCCCTCGATCAGCTCCCCCCTCCCTCCCCCCCCGTCCAGTACACACCCCCGCTCTCTAGTAAAACACTCCCCTTACACAGCAAATTCTAAAAATGTTAACCCCTTCCTCCCCAGTGACATTAGTACAGTTTCAGTGGTTTTTTTTTTCACTGATCACTGTATTGGTGTCACTGGGGATGTCAGTGACCCCAAGTCAGTTCCCCCCCCAGTGTCAAAATGTCCGCCGCAGTCCCGCAGTCCCGCCGTAAGTCGCTGGTCGCCGTCATATGTCGCTGATTGCCGCCAAAAGTCGCTGATCGGCGCCATTATTAGTATAAATAAAAATTAAAAATCCCAGTATCTTTCCCACCATTTGTAAATGCTATAACTTTCACGTAAACCAATTAATTTACACGTATTGGGGTTTTTTTTAGCAAAGACATGTCGCAGAATACATTTTGGCAGAAATTTATGACTAAATTTGATTTTTGCATTTTTTTTTTTACTGGACATGTTTTATAGCAAAAAGTCCAAAATATTGTTTTTTTTCCCTCAAAATTGTCAGCCTTTTTTTTATAGCGCAAAAAATAAAAACCGCACAGGCGATCAAATACCACCGAAAGAAAGCTCAATTTGTGGGGAAAAAAAAGGATGTAAATTTCATTTATGTACCGTATTGCATGACTGCGCAATTGTCCGTTAAACTAGCACAGCGCTGTATAGCAGAAAAATGGCGTAAATTGCAGTATTTATACCATAGTTGTACACGCTATAACTTTCACACAAAGCAATCAATATACACTTATTGGGATTTTTTTTACCAAAAACATGTAGCAGAATACATTTTGGCCTAAATTTATAACTAACTTTGAGTTTACTATATATTTTTTATAGCTGAAAGTAAAAAATATTGTTTTTCTTCAAAATTTTTGGCCTTTTTTTGTTTATAGCGTGAAAAATAAAAAGCGCACAGGTGATCAAATTACACCGAAAGAAAGCTCTATTTGTGTAAAAAAAAGGACGTAAATTTCGTTTGGGTGCAGCATTGCATGACCACGCAATTATCAGTTGAATTAGTGCAGCGCCGAGTAGCAAAAAGAGGCCTGGTCATTAAGGGGGGTAAATCCTCAGGAGCTCAAGTGGTTAACCAGGGTGCCTTCAGGTTTCGTTAGGGGTGCCTTGGCAGAATTCTCAAAAATTGCCCAAACGTTGCATACAAGCTAGCGAGTGGAGAAAGCCTTCCTTTTAGTTACATAAAGCCACAGGTTTTCATTGCGCACCATTACAACCTTCCAGCTGCCGGCGTCCTAACGATCAATGATGTCATCAGATGATAAGGATATTGGGCGCCTGCACAGCATCCTTGTTGGTCTCTCCCCATCAGCACTGGAGTCACATTAGCTGAGTGAGGGAGAAAAGAAACATTGGAATACTAGTCAGTACCCGTGTGCAAAGGGTTATTTGCTTTGGAAGAATAAATCACCTCTAATGGTGGGTGTCCTACATGTGTGGATGTTGCATTATGTAATGTGATTATTTTAGTTTTTTACATTTTAGAATGGGGTGCCTCAAAATTCAGCAGCGTTTGAAAGGGTGCCTTGACTGAAAAAAGGCTGTAAAGCACTGGTGTAATGTATCTCCTTGAATAGGCACCCTCTGCTGATTATGTGTATGCCACAAGTCTTGAACAATATGTATTTTAAGTTAAGAATAGTTGTTTTAAGTTGTTTGAGCCTTTTATGCAGTCCTATGTAGTTCATACATTCAGGTGACTTTTTGGGATGTGTCTTGCTTGTAATTTGGCAGTAAAGCAAGGAAATGAAAACCCCTGTAGTATATTAAGGTGCTTTTATAAAATAAGAATGTTGCATATACAAACTGCTTATATTTGTAGGAAAACAATACAAAACATGCAGAGGGAATTCAATATAGCTGCTGTACCACTTTTCAGAAGTTAATCCCTCTTGTTAATGTATTTTGCCAAATTCATGAAGCATCTGAGATACTTTTCGCTCTGACGACTGGCGCACCAAATTCAGATAGTTCTAAAATGTGCCACTTTTGCATTGTGTTGCATTGAGTGCGCCAAATGTAAAAGTGGAGCTAATTAGGACCAACTCTCTTTTGGCATACAGAGAGGAAAACTGGTTCAGACACATTTTGCAGAAGTGTCTTGTGCATTGTAAAAGTGTGGCAGTATGAGCCAAATGCGTGTTCTAGACAGGTATATGAATTTGGTGCATTCTTCACCACTATTAGAATGCATAACAGACACTTTTGCAAAATCTGCCTGCACCAGTCTTTATGAATTCCAGGGACAGAGTTCTACAAATCTGCATACATGCTATCTACCCTTCCTAACACAAATGAGCATTGACAATGACCTTTATGCTATAGAGCAGCCTTTTCGCAACATGGGGGCTCAGGCACCCTGGGGTGCCTTCAGGCTTCTTCAGGGGTGCCTTGGCAAAATGCCCAAAAATTGTATACAAGCCAGCAGGTGTATCAATCCTGCCTTTCAGTACACAAAGCCACAGGTTTTCATTGTGCACTTTTACGACCTTCTACCTGCCAGCATCCTAACAACCAATGACATCTTCAGTGAGGAGGACGTTGGGTGCATGTACATCATCCTTGTTTGGCCCTCCCCTGCCCCTCTCCATCAGCATTGGGGTCACATTAGCAGACCGAAGGAGAGAAAATGGGAGAGACACACTGGAATACTAGTCGGTTCCAGTTTGCAGAGGTGTAATTTGCTTTGGAAGAATAAATCACCTGTAACATTGGGCATACTTGATGTGTGTAGAATAGTTTTTTTCCATTTTAGATTGGGGTGCCTTGAGATTGTGCAGAATTTTAAAGGGTGCCTTGAGATTACCAATAATTTTAAAGGGTCCCTTGACTGAGAAAAGGTTGAGAAACACTGCTATAGAGATACAGTAAAAAGTCACTTGCGTTATAGCTGGTTCTCCATAGCAAACAGGACTCCAGGCTACTCAGGCGACTGAAGGAAGCCAGGTTCTGTCATAGTGTAGATTTAGTGTCATCCCCACGTGAAGTCCCCTCCGATAGAATTATCTTTGGTCATGTGGTGTCCCCTTTTCAACTTGTGCTTCCGGCTTTTTATTTAGAAAGTTTGGGTAGCCATTCCCATATCAGTGTATCCCTTTTCCACATCAGTTTCTATGAGAGAAACATGTTCTAACTTCAAACTCTACATGGCACTGTAGTATCATACATGCCATGAAGTTGATTAACTATAAATGGAGAGTGCAAAATCTGGTGCAGCTGTGCTTGGTAGCCAATCAGCATCTAACTTCAGCTTGTTCAGTTAAAGTGTTACTAAACCCACAAGAGTAAAATCAGTCTGTATATGCAGTAAAGCATGCTTGTTATACTCACTGTGGAACCTAAGAAGTTAATCCTCTGCATTGCGTAGAAATGCTGTTTGATCCTGTCTTCTCTGATCCTCCACTTCTTCCAGTGCCCCCCTCTTATCTCCTGATAAAATATATTGTGTGGAGACACTCTGCACATGCTCAGTTTGGTGTGTGTCGCTAGAAAGGTGTTTTTCTTTTCTTGGGTGAGTGCATGTGAACAGCACAGGGCCAATCAGCACTGTCCAGACAGAAATCAGGGATTCTGCATCCTCTTAGAGAAAAATGAAAATCCCTCCTACAAGCTTTAACCAGTGCTCTGCTGCACACTGATAGAAGTCACAAGGCTGCTCTAACTGCTGATGAGAAAAGGTATTTAGCAGTTTATATTTAATAAAATAATTGCACTTCCATGTTGTGTGTACTGTGGGAGACCAGATATAGTGAATGCCGGGTCCGGGGAGACCGGATATAGTGAATGCCGGGTCCGGGGAGACCAGATATAGTGAATGCAGGGTCCGGGGAGACCAGATATAGTGAATGCAGGGTCCGGGGTTTAGTAACACTTTAAGCTTTCACAAAAAAAAACTGGAAGCTGATTGGCTTCTATGCAGAGCTGCACCAGATTTTTGCACTCAGTTTTAGTAAATCAATCCTCATGGGTCAAATATGTCAAAAGCTCAAGCCATTCTTAATTCGTGTTGACAAATCTTTGGGTCCAATATTTGAAAAAGCTCATCTAAAACAATGGCAACAGCTAAAAACGTGAAGCTTACCCAAATATACAACAATAATATCTATTTCCCCCGTTGTAGTAGAAAACAGCAAAGCTAATCATGTACAAACATTGTTCCAATGGCATTTGTTTGAGAGATGTTCCCGCAAGAAAACTGATGTTTACTCCTAACAAAAATTAATATGTTTATGTAAGTCTGAAAAATCACAGAACCTATAACACAGGATGGTAGTTTACATTAACCACTTCCCGTCCGGCCCATGTACATAAACGGCTAGACAGGAGCAGTGCAGGAGCGGGTTGCCGTTCATAAACGGCGCCCCGCATTTACAGCCTGTGCGCGCTCCCTGGACACAGCGGAACACGGATCGCTGTATGGGACCTCTGTGTGAGGTCCCGATCATGTGATCACTGATTGGCCAATCAGTGATCACATGAATAGTAGTAAGCAAGATGTCACTTGCTGACATCATTGCTTACTACTTTTGAAATCTGTGAATGATCACAGAGGTCACATGGTACAAGGCTATTCACAACAGCCTTGTACCATGTGACAAGCTGTGACCAATCACAGCTCTCACAGTATTTCTCAATGGCTGCAAGAATGCAGTCAGAGAAGAGGAGAAATGATTGCTTTTACAGCCTTTATGGGTGTAAAAGAATGTCAGGAGCTGACAGGGAACTGACAGAAAGCAGAGCTACTGCAGCCCTGCTCTCTGTCAGTGATTGTCGCTAATCAGCGGAACACAGCCGGTAACGACTGGCTGTGACCCGGCGACTGACATCCGCAGCCGTGATCAGCGGGACAAGTAGTACCTGTTTTGCAAACACACATTTTAAAACGTGGTTTTGCCCAGACGTGCTGCCCTGCCAACGTATTTCTACAGTGCCTGGGCGGCATGTGGTTAATTTGCTAAATTTTATAAGAAAAACACTTTTTTTCAAAATGTTTGGGCTTTTTCATTATATAGAAAAAAATAAATAAAAGTTCCAGTGGTGAATAAATACCACCAAAATAAAGTTTTATCTGTCTCAAAAAAATGCTAAAAAAATTCATTTGGCTACAGTGTTGCATGACCGCGCAATTGTCGTTCAAATTGTGATAGCACTGAAAGCTGAAAATTGGCCTGGACAGGAAGGGGGTGAAAGAGTCCGGAGTTGAAGTGGTTAAACACTACGAAAACAAATTACTTATTTTTCTTTAAAGGGTCCCGGTGGATTGCCTGGTCTTAAAGGTGATTCTGGAACTAAAGGAGATAAGGTAAGATCTTCATCTTAGTCTCTATTATCTTCCTGTTATCCAATTTGATTCTTTAGTATGCTGTTGTTAGAGACTATGTGCATTTTTTGATTGGCATTCAGCTGGTGGCTATATGCCAAATGTGTTTTGTTGGATCAGAATGCAGTGGTAAGAGCTGCAAAATCAGCCAAATGACAGTAACATTCTTCCTTACCTACCAGTTACATATAAGGGGCATTCAGGTCAAACTGGGACTTTTGAGTTTATATATAATAAAAGAACAAATTTTAAGGAGTCAAAACTGCATTTAATTCTCAACATACTCCCCTGCTACATTTATACACTTATCCCAGCGTTCAACCAATTCCTGGAAAGCTTTGGTATAGAAAGATTTGTCAGTACACCTGAACCATCCTAGGACAGCTTGCTTCACTTCGCCATCAGTGTTGAAATGCTGACCTCCGAGGAACTCTTTTAGGTGTCCAAACATGTGGAAATCACTCAGAGCGAGGTCCGGGCTGTAAGGGGGATGTGGCAATACCTCCCAGCTGAGTTGCTTCCACTGTTTTGATGCTTGTTTTATTTCCAGAGTAAAATGATGTGCCCAGGTTTCGTCATGTGTAATGATGAGATCCAGAAAATCCCGGCCTTCCCTGTCAAAACCCTCCTTTACCGCAGTGCAGACTTCAACTCTTCTGTGCTGGTCAAAAGCAGAAAACTGTCTTGGTACCCAGCATGCACTTTTTGAAAATGCAAATGTTCATGAATGATTGTGTTCACCGTTCCAACAGAAAGTTTGGTCTCTTGTGCAGTGTCACAACAGATTATGCGTCGATTATCCAGGATCAGGCGTTCCATGAGCTGAATGTTCACAGGAATGGCTGCTGTGGGCTGGGAACCACCACGGCCGGGATTGTCACTGATGGATGTACGGCCATCTTTCAAACATTTACACCATTCAGCTGAGCATCTATATACTGTGCTTGAAGTCTTCTGTCGATATCTACGGGTTTTACACCTTCTTTCACAAGAAACTTCATCACCACACGCTGTTCAATGCACGCACTAACACTGTTGTCTGTCATCTTGATTAAGGGTCTTGGACTGGCCCGAGACATGCGTGCCACCTATTAGTAATAGGACACACTTGCCACTTATTACTGCGTGTAGTACTGCCACGCTAGCATCCCTTTTTATACCTGTAAAATTAAAAGTCCTGGTTTGACTTGAACTCCCCTCTTAGTTTGTCATCTAATCAAATGTTCCTCAAATAGCTGTATAATAGCCCATCACTGCCCAATATGATTCTCAGTTATGTGAGGCATTAAACATTTATTTTTTCCACCAACCAATATTTTAAGAATCATATTTACCAGTTAAACAGCCTGATTTGCTACCACAATTATAACATGTAGATATGGCTGTTCTTACATACATGTGGTTGAAAGTTAATTTGTTCTGAGAGTTTGTAATACTGAATGCTAAATACTTTTCTCATTTTAGGGCCATGCTGGTCTTATTGGCTTGATTGGACCGCCAGGAGAAATGGGAGAGAAAGGAGACAGAGGACCCCCTGGAAATCAGGGTGTTCAGGGACCCAAAGGAGACCCTGTAAGTAGCCCACAGTGATGGTCATGAAGCCACATGACCATCTGTATGAAGGTAAATTAAAACCCCTTCTTCTTCCATATTTAAGGGACCTGTTGGACCATATGGACCAAATGGGCCACCTGGACCCAACGGCCTGTCGGTAAGCACCTAATAATTTGTTCATTCATTATAAAGCAATGTTGAAGCATCTGGTTGCTGGGTATACAAGATATATTCATATGCAGTGTTTGCAGGGTCATATGATGCTTTAAAGATCCAAAGTAAGGGCTGAGTCTTAATAGTATTAAATATCCACACTCCAAAACCAACTTCTACTCAGTTTTGAAACAATGAATAAGCATAGGTTACCTTAAGTGAAAACCGCATGTGAAAATGATCATTAGATCTAGAGATATAGACAGATGAAGTTCCATTCAAATCTTCATTTTTCATTTAAAAATCAAGCTCAGGCCTCTCACAAAATCTCTAAAAGTAGCACAGACAGGTAAAAAAATGCATTTTAGTAGAGCTAGGGAAGACTAGAAATATACTTGACATTTTATTTCTGTGTTTTATGGCTGTCCCTAACATAGTTACATAGTTAGTCTGGCTGAAAAAAAGACAAAAGTCCATCCAGTTCAACCATTAAAAAAAAAAAAAAAAGTTATAATCCTATACTCACAGTTGATCAAGAGGAAGGCTAAAAACCCCAGCAAAAACCCCAGCAAACCCCCAATTTGCTCCTGCAGGGAAAAAAATTCCTTCCTGATCCCCTGAGAGGCAATTGGATATTCCCTGGATCAGCTTTACCTATAAATGTTATATCCAGTTATATTCTGTGTATCTAGGAAAGAATCCAGGACTTTTTTAAAGCAATCCACTGAGCTGGCCACAACCAACTCTTGAGGGAGTCTATTCCACATTTTCATAACTCTCACTGTGAAGAAACCTTTCCGTGTTTGGAGATTACATTTCTTTTCCTCCAGATATAAAGAGTGCCCCCTTGTCCTCTGTGATGACCTCAGGGTGACTAACTCTACACCGAGTTCACTATATAAACCACTGATGTATTTATACATGTTGATCATATCCCCCTTAATCTCCTCTTCTCAAGACCCTGTTGCAGATATTTTCCTCACTTCCTGAGTGGTGCAACTGTTGTTACCTTGACAGTGAAAGAGGGGTTGGGACCCTTTCTATCCCTATCTAAAATTTAAAAAAAAAGTCTTTGGCTGGATATACACTTTTAAGGCTTTGAATCATGCAGCTAGGAGGAGAAACATATAACCTTTTGTCACAAAGGAGATATTTACTGATTAGATGCTGGTTCTTTCTGAAGATGGCTTTGATAGACATCTGCATCTGAAATTTGGGGTACAGAAGGGAGGTAAAGTATGAAGTCATAGCTGTAGGCAGATTTAAGATACTGTATATGAAATATAAGCAGTAAATGAATGACAACTGTTTTGAAAAAGTATGCATTTGCTTTCCAAGATGCATCTGCCTATTGTCATAAGGAGCAACTTTTCATTTACAGCGACTTATCATTTAATATCAAAATGTGAGAACCCTTATTGATTCTTAGTCCTTAGAATGCTGAGAATCACCAGTGCTCTTTAGACATGGTAAAGGATGCCACAGTCATGCATAGCTGACAAAAGTTCAGAAAACTTTGGGAAAATAATTTTGTAGTGATGTTTGTAACTTGCATTTTCTTTTTGCAGGGACCTCTAGGGCAGAAAGGTTCAAAAGGAGCTCCAGTAAGTACTGTGGACCCAAAAATAAATAATATCTCCTAATGCAAAGATAATCTCAGAGGAATAAGATAGATTTGTTAATGTATCATTTTTGGGACCTTGTTTTTACTTTGACAGATGGCAATGCTAATATAACCATAATACAAGGCATATATGAGTTGGAATACCGAAAAACTGATTGTTGGTGATTTTGACCTACAGAGTATACATCAGTGTTGTATTGTAAACATTTCTCAATAGAAAGTTCTCTACCCATGCATAGGCATATCCAAATTTGTGAAAAAGCAATATTGTGGCGCCTAAATCAGTGAATATATCAGAAGTTTGTGTCTGATGCCAGAATTAAGCCAGCAATTGTGACAGCTGCCCCTAAATAGTGAAATACACTTATAAAGTAAATGCATAAATAGGTAGGTGCCAAATCAATATATCATATGACAAACGATATCAAAATGATCTAACAACAACATAAAATGACTGAAAGTCCCATACAAAATATATATTAAACATATAGTGAGTCCCATGAAAATATAATCCTATAGATCAAAGGATTTTCTTTTTCACCATATGTAGACAATAAGTGAATTCCTCACTCACCAGAAATTATTGACCCTGGTTAAGGTGGTCAAAAAGCGCTATATGGCCATGGAATAAGCTGACAGCCAACAGCAAGCTCTCATGGACTGGGCCTCCTGATCTCCTAGTGAGGAATATGGATCCAGAGGACCAAGGATGGCAGCCCCCAGATAGGTGGTCTTGAAGCTCTTGGTGCACAAATATTGGATGGATTCCCAATCCCAGGCTCTCCTCAAGGTATAGATAATGCTCCAAGTAGCTCAAATAAACCAAATAGATTAGAATGCTCTAAGTGTAGTGTTTATTAAAGACCATGGTTCAGATAAATAAAATGCCAATACACTCACATGTGATGGTGCCCAAATACCGGCACCAGCCTATGCAGCCTATGCATTTTATGTTGTTGTTAGATCATTTTGATATAATTTTTCATAGGCATATACAGTTGTGCTCAAAAGTTTGCACGCCCTGGCAGAAATCATGATATGTTGACATTTATTTAAGAATAGTGATCATATGAAGCCATTTATTATCACATAGTTTTTTGCTCCTTTTTAAATTATAATGATAACAGAAATCACCCAAATGGCCATGATCAAATGTTTGCATACCCTGGAATGTTTGGCCTTGGTACAGACACACAAGGGGATACACACAGGTTAAAATGGCAAATAAAGGTTAATTTCCCACATCTGTGGCTTTCTAAATTTCAGTTAGTGTCTGTGTATAAATAATCAATGAGATTGTTAGCTCTCACATGGATGCGCTGAGCCGGCGAGATGCTGTGCCTTGGGGAGCAGAAAATAACTGTCAAAAGACCTGTGTAACAAGGTCATGGAACTTTATAAAAATAGAAATGGATATAAAAAGATATCCCAAGCCTTGAATATGCTAGTCAGTACTCCTCAATCACCTATTAAAAGTGGAAAATTCGATGATCTCTTGGTACCAAGCCAAGGCCAGGTAGACAAGGAAATATTGCAGCCACAACTGCCAGAAGAATTGTTCAGAATAAAAAGAAAAACCCACAGGTAACCTCAGGAGAAATACAGGCTGCTCTAGAAAAAGACGGTGTGGTTGTTTCAAGGAGCACAATATGACGGTACTCGAACAAAAATGAGCTGCATGATTGAGTTTCCAGTAAGAAGCCTTTACTGCACCAATGCCTGGTTACAATATTCCCAACAACACCTTGACAGAACTTTCTTTGCTCCATCTGGTTGATTTTCTTGAATATAGTGGTTTGCGTAAGGCAGCCTAAGCTAGGCATTTTGTTGTATACAGGGCTTAATGTTCAACTTGAGTATTAAACCTAAAAGGCAATACAGTCTTATAAGGAACTAGTAGCATTAATCATCAACATAGTCCCCTTCATCTCACTTGAAACCATTGGAAACACTACTGATCACTATTTTCTTTTCAGGGACCAATAGGCATGAGAGGAGATCCCGGACATCAAGGACCTCCTGGTTTACCAGTAAGTCATGTGTATTTTATTTCTATGGCTACATCTGTAGGAAGAAATGTGTTTATATGAAGAACCCTTAAACCCTGAAATTATTTAGAAAACTTCTCTTAGTCAAACTTTGACTGTGTTCCACAAGCAGCTGCCCTTTTAACACACATTATATTGGGGGCCATGTGTCAGAAAAATTATGTAATGCCTTGTCGATTTCATAACAGGGTCGTCCAGCACAAGCCGTACAGCCTCTCCCATATGAAGCATTCGGCACAACCAGAAAAAGGAGGCGACACTCTGATAGTCTGCAAAATGATGATGGAGACATAGACTACATGGCTGATGGAATGGAGGAAATCTATGCCACACTCGGGTCACTTAAAACAGAAATTGAACAGATGAGGTGGCCTGTAGGCACCAAAGAAAGCCCAGCAAGGACCTGTAAAGAGCTTCAGATGTGTCACCCCAATTATAAAGATGGTGAGTGAGACTGTCCATTCCTGTGCAAGATGTATCTGGGTGGTTATATGGATTCATAGGAGTAACGGTTTTAGACATTTATATACTCTGTTCTTTTCGCAGGTGAATACTGGATTGATCCAAATCAGGGATGTAACAGAGATGCCTTCAAAGTGTTCTGTAATTTTACATCTGGTGGAGAGACATGTCTATACCCAGATAAAAAGTTTGAATCGGTCAGTATAGATATACTGTACATGGTTGTATTTGTTTTCTTCTTAGTAGATGAAGAAGCCCTTCATCAAAACAGAATCTTTTTATTAGTAATGGTAAATCTCTCTGCTCTTCCCCAATCCACATATCATTATAGTGTAGGTTGTAATCCTCAATTGAATGCTAAAAAAATAAAAGACCCATCAAAATAACTAGATTGTGGTTTTTCTGAGAAATTCCTATGGTTCATGGTCATGCCTATATATTTTATTTAATATTTTCGTGAATCCTGCAGTTGACCATTGATGAGATTTATTCATTTGAACCTGAGTCTAAACTGTAAAGACGCAGGGTAGCTTTTTCTCAAATGTCATCCTTTTGACAGAACGGGAGACACTTATATGATGGCCCTTCCTTTGTACTCCCTATAAAAAAGGGAAATAGATAAAAATGTAGTAATTAATGAGAATAATTCTCACTATACGAAGATCACTTTATCATGGTTCGAATTCTTGGTTGATGGAGGTTCTGCTGATGGACACTTTGGGGTGATTTATTGAATCTGGAGCACTCAGAATCTGATTAGCTGTGCAATGGGCTTCTAACTTCAGTTTATTCAATTAAGCTTTGACAATAAACCTGGAAGATGATTGGTTTCTTTGTAGAGCCGCACCAGATTTTGCATGCATCAGTTTTAGTTAACTTCCTCCTTTGAATTACTCTTCTAGGTGAAAGTTGCAGCTTGGAATAAAGAAACTCCAGGAGACTGGTACAGCACCTTTAAAAGAGGAAAGAGGGTAAATTGGCTTTTTTTATTTGGATTGATATTGTATGTAAATTTCTGGTTCAATAAATTGTTATTGAAAATTTACAATTTTACAAGAATTGACTACAACAACGTCACAAAATTGCACAAACTTCAGCAGGAGGAGTTGTAACACCCCTATACCAGTACCAAATATACACAGAAACGAACAAGATTGCAATAGCCCATGAGTCCATAAGCAGAGGAGTCACATGTAAAGGGACGGCGTATGTACATTTCTAATGTGCAGCTTTTACTAAAAATTTGCAGGGAAAATCAAAAGGTTCTCTTTAATGTCTGATCCTGCAGCAGTGAATAATCACCTTAAAGTAATAGTAAAGGTGGAACTGTTTCTTTGAAAATCACAAACATGTTATTCTTACCTGCTGTCACGTACCTGGTTGGGGATCCTGACGTGGTGAGAGGGCATCCTCTTACAACTCCCGATCGGAGCCCCTGATAGTGGGAATAGAGGGCGCAGAGCTAGGAGTGGCAGGAGTGTCCTGTGGATCTGAAGCTGACAGCAGGTAGCTGGAGACCCAGGAGATCCGGACACAGGCCAGGTGCGGGTGCAGGAATGTAGGTGCAGCAGCAAGCAGGTATGGCGGCAGTCAGGATGCGGATTGGGACCGGAAACCGGTGCGTGGATGCAGTAGCAGGCAGGTATGGCGGTGACTCAGATGCAGGCCAGATGCGGAACCGTGGGTGCAGCGGCAGGTAAGTATGATAGCCGACAGGATGTAGGCCAGGTGCAGGTGCAGGTAGGTTAATGTAGTAGAGTCAGACAATCCGCGTCAGTAACAAGCGGGCAGATAAAGTACAAAAGGAGCAGGAGAACGAATGGTCAGGGATAGCCGGGGTCGGTGCAGGCGGAGTTCTTTCTTAGTCAGGTAAATCAGAATACAGGTATCAGGATCAGGAGTATATGCAGGAACGTTGTAGACCAGAAGGCATTGATGTTACTATGAAGCAGGTTTAAATGGCTTGCATGACGTGACGTGTGCGCTTACTGAGCATGCACGAGTTTTCCGCGCTACTGCACATGCGCGGTCCAACGCTCCCGCGCCTGCGCACTCGCACCGCCCCGGCTCGAGAGGATCCATTGCACGGCGACAGGATCCCTGACACCTGCTCTGTGCAATGGTTTTGCATAGAGCAGCCCTAATCCTCCTCTTATTGGGCCCCCCATGATACTCCTGGCTCCTCCTCTTCACCGAGTGCCCCCATAGCAATCAGCTTGCTTTGGGAGCACTCATGTGTGCTCGTTCCCGAGCCCTGCTCTGTGTGTCCATAAGACACACAGAACGGGGCTCAGCCCCACCTCCCACTCCCTCCTCACTGGCTGTGATTGACAGCCGCGGGAACCAATGTCTCCTGCTGCTGTCTCTCAGCTAATGAGGAGGCAGAGACCTGTGAGAGCAGATGCTCTCATGCACATCACTGGATCGGGCTTAGTTAAGTTTTGTGGGGGGGCTGTGGGGGAATCTGCATACTGAAGTTTTTTTACCTTCATAGAATGCATGAAAGTAAATAACCTTCAGCCTTTAGAACCACTTTAAAGTGGAGCTCCAGTCATAACATAAAAAAAATTAAAAGTCAGCAACTACAAAAACTGTACCTGCTGATTTTTAAAAAACAGACACTCACCTGTCCCTTGATCCAGCAGTGTGCTTATCGCAGCTGGTTTCATAGGCCTTCCTCTGTCCCCGGCATCTTGAATGTGGGCTATGACAGCTTGCAGCTTCACAGCCAGGTGTCCATTACGCATGCGCGAGTAGAGATGTGCCTTGTGAATGATCCTATAGTCTTCTGGGACCTGTCATACGTGGGAGGACAAATTCCACTTCCGATCACCTAGGCGGTTGCAGTGCAAATGGGAACAGGTACCTGTCAAAATCAGGTACCCCCTTCCCCCCCCCCCAGCTCTCCAAAGGTGCCAATCCTTAACAGGGAGCTTGGGACGTGGGGATGAGACCTTAAAGCACAACTTCCCCTTTTGGGTGGAGCTCCACTTTAAATTCATCCCTTCACTGTTCCATTAAGCTGTGTTAAGAGAGGAAATTAAGCCCATGAGCAGGGGCAGACTGACAACTCATGGGGCCCACGGGCAATAGGGGATCGTGGGGCCCCTGTGTCCTTGCCCAAACTCAAAAAAGCCTATGAAAAAGGTACCAGGGGCATCTCATGGGGCCCCCTACTGACCCCAGGCCCTCGGGCAGTGCCCGAGTTTCCAAATGGTCAGTCCACCCCTGCCCCTGAGCAATCTCATAGTTATTCTAGATTGAGCTTACATAGGTCTGTGGACTCTTTTCCCATCTCTTACGACATCAATGGTCAATCACCAAACACCTCTACTGCAACATGAGACAAAGGGGAATGAGTCACATGCTCCGTCATACCTGGAAGTACTAGGTATTTTCTTCACTTTCAGCAGCAGAGCAGCCACTCTAAATGCTCCAGTACACATCTAGGGGTTTGATGGTTTTCCGACTAGTTTTTCATTTATTGTACCAATGTACAGTACAATGGCAAGGCAGCCATGGCAGTCATCACAGTCATCAGCTACTGGCATTCAGGGACAATGTGCAATGACAGTAAACCTAGCTTACACAGTAAAGGACTGCACAAACTGGTGTGTTGCACAGTGGTAACAAGTGAAGAAATCTCTTTTGTGTTGTGGTCTCCTTCTACGTTTTGCTTTGAAGCCATCATTGTTATGTGTATCAATATTATAAATTCCTTGCACATTATAGGCCAGTGTTTTACATTTTTCTTGCTGTTTTTCATACAGTTCCAGTACATTGATGCTGATGGAAACCCTGTGCATGTGGTACAAATGACGTTCCTCAAGCTGCTAAGTGCAGTAGGCCGACAAAACTTCACATATAACTGCCAGCAGTCTGTGGCGTGGTATGACATGTCAAAAGCGAATCATGAGCGGTCGATAAAGCTGAGAGCGGACAATGAGGAGGAGCTTAGTCACAACCGCACACCACAATTACGGGCATTATATGATGGGTGCCAGGTAAGTTTCTGGGGTGATGCATATTTATAATTAAGATGTAGGGCATGTGATTTTTTACAGATGCTGGATTAAGCCTTCATTTCATTTTTCTGGATGCTAGCAAAAAGTGAAAACCCCTGATTGTTTTACTATTTGGCTTGGTGTTAGTCCAACTTTGATGGGTTAGTTCACCTTTACCAAAAAACTGCCTATATGCCTATGCAGGTAAATGCGCACCTGTAGATATAAACAAACTGTGCAGCTTTGACCATGGTTGACTGATATCATTGCTATATGTATAGATAATTTACACACCTCCAAACGCCTAGCCAAAAAACTCCCAGAGATGGCATCCTGCCTTGTTGCTGGGACATTGCTAAGACACTTCTAGTCACTACTGCTTCCCCCCACCATCACAGGAGCAGGGGCGGACTGACCATTGGAGAACTCGGGCACTGCCCGAGGGCCCGGGGTCAGTAGGGGGCCCCATGAGATGTCCCTGATACCTTTCATAGGCTTTTTTGGGTGTGGTTTGAGTGTGGGCGAGGACACAGGGGCCCCATGATCCCCTATTGCCCAGGGGCCCCATGAGTTGTCAGTCCGCCCCTACACAGGAGTGAGCTCTTTCTCCGACTCAACCCCCTTGCATGCACTCCTTATTGCAGTAGCTCTGAACTGAGTGATGCTGTGATGGAGATTGTAAAATGAACTCAACTATGAACTTGAGAACTCCCTTCTGTGATGAACAGTTGCAGCTGAGAGTGCCTTAGCGATATCCTGGCAACAAGACTGGATACGCAGATGCCATCTCTGACAGTTTTTCAGCCTGGCTTTGGGAGGTACATAATTAGTCTACGCCTATAGGATTGGCATTATCCAACTTTAGTCAGAGCTGCACAGTTTGTTTTATCTACAAGCACCCCCTACGTGCATAGGCAGTTTTTTGATAAGGGTGAACTAATGCTTTAAATCATTATACCATTTAAATAGAATGTCAGGGCATCTGATCATTCACATACAAACCTTAGGACATTAGCAGGAATAGTTCAAGCTGTTGACAGACAGGGTAATACAACAACCCATATACAGTCATCATAGTAGCTAGGGTTAGACTAAACTGAAAACATCCACAAGCCTCAAGATGGACAAATCCTAGACCTACAACCAATAGGTCTAACAGCCGGGATCCAGGTAAGAGAAATATTCTACAAACACTGCTTATTGTCTGAGTGTAGTGATCCCCATCCCCTGGCTGGAGAAAGGAAAAAAAAAATCACACAGATGACTGACATTACTTCAGGATGGAGTTGTGGAGAGTTACTACAACGAAGGGCGCCAGTCACTTTAGTCTCATGAAAATATTTATTGCTCTGATTCACAGGGAGAGTGAGGGCTTAAGATACCTCCAGCAACATGGTTTCCAGACTGCACCACAGTTCTCTTCCATCCAAGGGAGTACCAGGATCCTCTAAGGCAGTGTTTCTCAACTTTTTTTCAGTCAAGGCACCCATTGAAGTTATGGACAGTCCCGAGGCACCCTTTAAATTATGAACAGTCTTGAGGCATCCCATTCTAAAATGGGGTGCCTCCAGACTGTCCATAATTTCAAAAGAGACACATTCTAAAATGTGAAAAAACTGTTCTAACAGTTTTATATAACGCATTCACACACATGTAGGACACCCAACATTAGAGGTCATTTATTCTTCCAAAGCAAATACACTTTTGCACACTGGTACTGAGTAGTATATCAGTGTTTATCTTCTCCCTCAGTTTTTCTCCATCACTGAGCTAATGTTACCACAGCACTGATGGAAAGGGGCAGGGGAGTATCAAACTAGGATTCTGTGCAGGCAGCTGACATCCTCCTTATCAACAAGTGATGTCATTGGTTGTCAGGACACTGGCGGCTAGAAGGTCGTAATGCTGCACAATGAAAACCTGTAGCTTTGTGTAACTAAGAGGCAGGTTTGTTCCACCTGCTGGCTTGTATACAAGTTTTGGGCAATTTTTAGATAATTTGCCAAGGCATCTCTGAAGAAACCTCAAGGCATCCCAGGGTGCCTGGGCAGCCTGGTTGAGATAGGCTGCTCTAAAGGCTGACTCCATCCAACTCCAGTCAGACTTTCTTCCCTGGCTCTCCACCTTGGGTGTTGTATTCCCCTTAATGAGGCAGTGCAGCTTGAGGATGTGCTAGGACCCCAGTTAGGCTTCCGGCCTAGCAAGCACAAACATTCTGCATACACCTTCCCAGGTCAAAGCACAGGAAGAAAGAGAGCTCACAAAGCCACTCCCCACATATTTATATCCTCCCCCAGAATACATCACTGTCAACAAACCTCCTAGTGGTTGGCCACAGGGGGACATGAATATTCATACCCCAAAACTGTTACAGCTCCTGTGTTTATTGCCCCAAGTGTCAGTGACAACCAGTTGCAGCAGCTGGGAACAGCAGCAACGTTGAGCTCATAGCAGAGCCTCTACGTACCACAGGATAGCTACAAATAGCTCCCACAACCAATGAAGATGGAAGATAATGACTCACCTCCAATATTAGATCCAGTGAGAGTTAGGTCTAATAACTATGGTCCAAGGGAGCATGAAGCACCAACACTGTCACTGAAGGGACTGCTGATCCCAGGGATAATGTCTAGCCAGAACCTTGTTTCCAGTTTAGTGCACAATAGCAGCAGACTCTTAGCGGCATCTTGTTCTGTTGCAAGCACAGCTAAACATATGCCGCTGGAAGTAGTCATATCAATAGAGAATGAAGATAGGCAGACTGTAAAAGTAGCTATGACGTCATCACAGGCTTGAGCATAGTTTGGGCATAGATCATTGTTTCACCTTCTTTCTTGCTGGTTGTGGGAAACTTTTGGAGCTTTTCAAGAGGAAGCTGTATTTTAGATTATTAGCTTACTCATCTTGTATTTTCAGTTTGGATATTAACTCCGGTAACTTTCAGTGTGTATATTTTAGGTGCAATCCTTTTTAAAGGATTAATAATATTTTTAGTATACGATAATCTTGGATAATATAATATAACATTTCATCATTTTTTTATTTTTGTAACACCCTAAGCTCTGAACTGTTTTTGTTTTATATTATGTTTTCCATCATGGTTTACCCATGATTTACCCAGCTGCTTGTGATATACAATATCTCACCGAAGTGAGTACACCCCTCACATTTTTGTAAATATTTTATTCTATCTTTTCATGTGACAACACTGAAGAAATGACACTTTGCTACAATGTGACATAGTGAGTGTACAGCTTGTATAACATGTAAATTTGCTGTCCCTTCAAAATAACTCAACACACAACCATTAATGTCTAAACCACTGGCAACAAAAGTGAGTACACCCCTAAGTGACAATGTCCAAATTGGGCCCAATTAGCCATTTTCCCTCCACGTTGTCATTTGACTCATTAATGTTACATGGTCTCAGGTGTGAATGGGGAGCAGGTGTGTTTAATTTGGTGTTATCGCTTTCACTCTCTCATACTGGTCACTGGAAGTTCAACATGGCACCTCATGGCAAATAACTCTCTGAAGATCTGAAAAAAAAAAAGAATTGTTGCACTATATAAAGATGGCCTAGGCTATAAAAAGATTGCCAAGACCCTGAAACTGAGCTGCAGCATGGTGGCCAAGACCATACAGCAGTTTAACAGGATAGATTTCACTCAGAACAGGCCTCGCCATGGTCGACCAAAGGACATGAATTACTGGAACCATGTCCTGTGGTCTGATGAGACCAAGATAAACTTATTTGGTTCAGATGGTGTAAAGCATATGTGGCGGCAACCAGGTGAGGAGTACAAAGACCAGTGTGTCTTGCCTACAGTCAAGAATGGTGGTGGGAGTGTCATGGTCTGGGGCTGCATGAGTGCTGCCGGTACTGGGGAGCTACAGTTCATTGAGGGAACCATGAATGCAAACATGTGCTGTGACATACTGAAGCAGAGCATGATCCCCTCCCTTCGGAGACTGGGCCTCAGGGCAGTATTCCAACATACCGACCCCAAACGCCCCTCCAAGATGACCACTGCCTTGATAAAGAAGCTAAAAGTAAAGGTGATGAACTGATCAAGCATGTCTCCAGACCTAAACCCTATTGAGCATCTGTGGGGCATCCTCAAACGGAAGGTGAAGGAAAGCAAGGTCTCTAACATCCACCAGCTCCGTGATGTCGTCATGGAGGAGTAGAAGAGAACTCCAATGGCAACCTGTGAAGCTCTGGTCAACTCCATGCCCAAGAAAGTTAAGGCAGTGCTGGAAAATAATGGTGGCCACACAAAATATTGACATTTTGGGCCCAATTTGGACATTTTCACTTAGGGGTGTACTCATTTTTGTTGCCAGCGGTTTAGACATTAATGGCAGTGTGTTGAGTTATTTTGAGGGGACAGCAAATTTACACTGTTATACAAGCTGTACACTCACTACGTCACATTGTAGCAAAGTGTCATTTTTTCAGTGTTGTCACATGAAAGGTAGAATAAAATATTTACAAAAATGTGAGGGGTGTACTCCCTTCTGTGAGATTCTGTATAGTCATACACTTATTGAATTAATAGGTTATTGCTAGTCCAGGGATTGTTGTGTACAATTTTTAGTGGAGATAGCTTTTTATCTGGCCTCAGTGAAATGAAGGTAACAGGGTAGAGTATGCAGTATGTGTATACACTTATAGCTGAACTCCATTCAGACATAAATTACTGCTTTTCCTTTCTAACCAATACAAAATTAAATTTATTTATTAATACAAGCAAGTACCTGATTTTAACCTGGTATTAGCCTCTTGCTATCTTTGTTTGTCAAAGTTCAGACTTTATAGAGAAAAACAGCACAAGAAGTTATGCCTAGTATACCTGATGAGAAAATCGGACAAAAGATTTTTTTTTTTTTTTTTACTTGTTAGTCTCATATTGAAAATTAATATTTTACTTAAGATACAAAAAATTTCATACAACACAATACAACTTCCCGCATTCGTAACTACATTCTAGTGTGATATCGGACGTGATGTAATGTACTTGTGATCTCCTATTGATCAACATTAAAAAAAATAGTCCATAGGGCTATAACATTACAAAGGGATTTCAATATTTATTATAAAGGCAAATTGTTATTATTTTTTTTTGTATTATATAATAACTTTTTTTCGCATTGTACAATATTTGTTTTTATTGCCCCTTTCTTCTTCCGGTTCATTCTTTCAATTCCAATCATGCACGGTCTGTGTCCCTCAACTTTTTTCATACAAACACTATACTAATCACACGAAAATTGTTAGTTCTGTTACCAAACAAAAACATTTTCACTGATTTTCCTTCGGAAACTTTTACTCTGAGCTGTCGTGATTGTACGTTGGAAGCTGTACACTAACGAGTAGATTATCCAAAGGTTGCTGTGTAAGCAGTTATATTCGTCCAATTTTCTCATTGTGTGTACTAGACTTTAGTTGTACTTTAGTGCTCATGTACTAACAAGGAACGTGTTAATAGTTGATGAGATCAAAGTGACAGAGAGAAGAGATCATCAGTCTGCTGCTTCTCCTTCACTGTCCAGTCACAGGCCGGGTGGGAGGACAAGACCTGTACATTTTACTTAACTGTAGGAGAAAAATAAATCAGGTTTCATGCCCTGTCAGACAAGGCTGCACTGTTGGCAGGGTTGTGTAGTATTCTGGGCTGAATGGACAGGAATAAAAATCCATGGTCAGATAACTGTTTGAACCTGGTATTAGCCTCTTGCAATCTTTGTTTGTCAAAGTTCAGACTTTATAGAGAAAAACAGCACAAGAAGTTGTGCCTAGTATACCTGATGAGAAAATCAGACAAAAGATTTTTTTTTTTTTACTTGTTAGTCTCATATTGAAAATTAATATTTTACTTAAGATACAAAAAATTTCATACAACACAATACAACTTCCCGCATTTGTAACTTACATTCTAGTGCAGGGGCGGACTGACAACTCATGGGGCCCCCGGGCAATAGGGGATCATGGGGCCCCTGTGTCCTTGCCCAAACTCAAAAAAAGCCTATGAAAAAGGTACCAGGGGCATCTTATGGGGCCCCCTACTGACTCTGGGCCCTCGGGCAGTGCCTAAGTTTCCAAATGCCCTGTCATGCCCTGGTTCTAGTCCTGTCAGACAAGGCTGCACTGTTGGCAGGGTTGTGTATATTCTGGGCTGAATGGACAGGAATAAAAATCCATGGGCAGATAACTGTTTGCTTGGGGTTTAGCTTTAAAGTGCCTTCTGTCTACTAAATTTTACTACCTGCTTCCTTGATTCAACAAGCATTTCAGAACCTCTCAGTAAATATAAAAAACATGAGAATGTTGGATTAAAAGCATTATAAAAATCAGCAAACCATTTAGACTTGCTTAGCAATGACTATAACTTTTTTTTCCTTTCTCATAGCTTCGTAAAGGTGTAGAACAAACAGTACTCGAAATCAACACCTACAAGGTGGAACATCTACCCCTCAGGGATGTTGCTGTCAGTGACTTCGGTGACAGCAACCAGAAGTTTGGATTTGAGCTTGGGCCAGTCTGCTTTAATGGCTAGAAAAACAAATTATGAAAAAAATGAAAAGCAAAAAAAAAAAACTCCTAAAGCATCTTGCATCCCAAGAAGAACTTTGAGTTTCATGGCCAGCTAACTAAGACACTTTCACTGGTCGCCACTGGCAAAGATTTATCTTATGTGCTTTTGTTTAACTTTTGATTTTGTGTTATATATTTTTTTTCTTATTTTTTAATGCAGGGGATGCTAGATCTGTGTTTTTCACCCTTGCAAGGTTTCACTCAAACCAAATAATAAAAAATATAACGGGATATGTTTGGCCCCCGGCGACCATGGCTGTTAGAGGACATGCTACAATACTGAAAGTGGGAAAAAGTCTACGGCACAGCAATCACTGCGTAGTTGCTGAAAGAGATCATATGGATCATTTCTGCTCAGTATTCAGGATATTCTGTCCCCGAAATCTGAAGCATTCCTGGTTTTGCACTGGAACATCATTGAACAAACAGGATGTTTCTTATGGCACCCTTTTCATGGAACTTACTGACACAAAGTTTGCTGAGTGGCTTAAGTCATTATCAGTCATACACTGAACACTGTCTTCTCCTCTTCAGATTCTGGATATATGTCCCGTTTCAATGTCAAATATACATTGTATTATTTTATTTCAACCCCAGTCTGTAGGTGGCACCAAATGCATTAGGCTGACATGAAACTCCTGATAAACAAATTAAAAAAAAGTAAATTTATTGTAAATTGTGTATATATAGCTTCCCAAATTCCCTTTAATCATAAAAAATGGGCTCTGTGTATTAAGGTAAAGGAAAATATTAAAACTATTAAATATTTGCTTTTATAACATTGATATATTCTTATCAAGTGTCAGACTTTTATACTGTATACACCACAGATCTGGTCTTATTTTACATAATTATATCTCCTGTTATATTTTTTTCCTGATAATTTCTACACAGACATCAAAAAGAATCTCAACAACCATATTCTAGCCCATCATCAATCTTTTTTGCACCAGGAAAAATTGCATTAATACACAGATGCCTTCAGTACATGGCCATAGCCAATTACAGTCCAAGAAGCTTCATCTCTTCATCCCTTCTGCAATGTGTTTTGAAGGATTTCTTTACAACTCCAATGGTCTTTCTTGCTGATACACGAGTTGCCTCTTGAACTAGTTGCAAGTTGTCTTCTGCCAACATGTGTAGATGCTATGCCTTCGCCCTTCCATCATGTTTGTTTTATGGGGGCTAATTCAGCTACCTGACAGACAACTATAGAAAAATAATGTCAGAAGATGACCTTCTATCAATTTAGGAGGCAACTTATAGGGAGTGAAATGATCAGTTGTTGGGTAGAGATTTCCTTTAAAGGTTGTTACCTAAAACTTGGTTTGTGCACTTCACGTGCTCATAACACTAAATATAATTTTGGGCTAGCTAATAGTGCTTTGTAATACACCAAGATTGGAATAAACTCTCTTTAACTCAGAGGGTAGAGTGAAGATAAAGGTACTGAATAAAAGCCCTTGGCATGGCACAATTTCGGTTTTAACTTTTTCTATGCAAGTTTTAAAGGGGGCAGCTCTAGAGACAATGAAAACATAACATTATAACCTTGTGATTTCATATCAACTAATAAGATGAACAAAAAAATGTCCAAGGAGATCAAATGAAAAAAACAATGGAGGACAGAATTACTTGTTTGTCTGCCAAATGATCACCATATTACATGTTTAAGTTTCATGTTATTTGTGTTCATCTGTTGAAATATGATGGTTAATGAATAGTGCCCAACCTGTGGACACAGTATGGTACACACTACTGATAAAAGTAATAGAAAGGAAAAAGAAACTGTTTTAAACCATCTTTAAAAAGTACAGTAGAAAATATATATTTCAAGTTAAGACTTTTTCCATATAAAATTATGTGCTTGTCACCCGCAGTCTGGAGGCAGCCATACAATTAGCATCATAATGGAGCAGAATGATGTTACTGCCCCCAGCAGTGTACATGTTACGGGTCACTTTAACTGAATTTATTTATAAGCAGTGAACAAATGCAATATATGTAACAAAAGGTGCGACACAACTATGAATGACCACTATACTGCTTTCGAGTTTTGTTCCCATCAATGGTGCTTACTTAGAACAGAACCCTAGCTTTTCGAATCGAAAAACTATAGCAAAAATATTTTTCTGCAATTTTTATTCAAATTATAAGAAAAAGAAATAAAGACTTCCCCTTTAAGGTTTTCATTATTTTAAGAGAGATCGTTTGCTCAGGGAAGTGCAACACACAGCTGCCACCACCCCATTTTTTTAAAAATCTAAATCTCTAGAATTTGTATTAGTACCATTGTGAGCAAACACTTATAGTTTGCGTAATACTTTTTGTTGTTCTCGCTGAATCAACTTGAAGAGCTGAAAACAGAAATCTTTGATTTTTTTTTATATTCAATATTCACTTTTTTCCAAAGTATGAAGGACCAAATATTAAAACAACCCCTCTGATTTCATCATCAAGTGCAATAGGCTACGGCATACAACCAAATGCTTCTGGCTACAAAGTTTAAAATGAAACAATACTATCCCATTTAGAAATATGTTTTGGCTATTGTTTTTCTTCAAGAAAACCTATCACAGTGATTATACAAGGCTGAGATTTTAAAAAGAGGAATTACAAACCTTCTAATGTGTTTTACTATTTGTTCTAATTTATGGCCCTCCACCAATTTTTCAAACTTAGCTTGTCATCTGCTCAACCATTCCTAAATGTCTTCTGAAAAATCAGTACATTTTCAAAGCCTCAGTCATTTGGTTGTCACAGGGATTAAGTTACCATGATAAATGGAATTTGTTATTTTGAACATACAAGGTTTTTAGATCAACATTCAGACCCGTTAGAGAAATCTGTAACCATTGCAGAGATTAACTAAATTTTTTAACTGTTATATTAAATTTGATACTTCAAGATAGAGAAATATATGATCAACCTTCTAATTAGTATGTTGTCTTTTGTGTTTCCCAATACTTGTGCAGACCCCCGAAGTATGAATTGGGGGAGAAAAAAATGAAAACTGGTAAACACAAAATCTGATGCAGCTGTTGTACATAGTAACCAATCAGCTTCTAAATTCAGCTTGTTCAATTAAGCTTTGACAATAAAATCTAGAACCCCAGTTAAAAAAAAGAAAACATTTTGCCTGGTGGCCTCGGGAACTGTATACACAAGAAATGTTTTGTCAAGTCAAACACTGCATGGGTGGTAACACTGTAGTTTACTGTTGAAAGGTCTAGATAGGCCCCTAAGGCAGAATGCAAAAGTTGTTGTTGGATGCAACTTAAAAAATACTATTTAGAACGCTTAAAAAATGTTCCAGCCTTACAATATCAACTTTGTAGCATAGATCACTTCACACTGTTGTTCCCACCCATTTAAATGTTTGGGGTTGATAACTACCTTTCTATTGATGTCTTTGGACAAAATTAGATATAATAAAAATTCCCTTTAAGTAAGACCCAGTCTTATATAGTCACTGTCTGTAGGTTACGTGATTCTAAAACCTAGCACTGTGATTGGTTCTGCTGACTCTTATGAACAGAACATTGACCACTGTTTTCTTTTGTTCCGTGTTGCTACTAATTACTGACCAAAACACAACTTTTTTTTGGTTGTTTATTTTTTATAAATAAAACAAATGTTTTATATGGTGCTAGAACGATTATACCAAATCTGTATTATAAGAATAAATAAGATTTTAAACTAATGTGTGCATTTATGTCCTTGTGTGATATTTACTAAATTGGCTAGAAATCCATCCTAACTTCCCAGACCAAGAGTAAGTTTTGCTATCAATGGCCAAGCTACACTCAGAAACAGTACCTAGACTGGGGGTTCTTATGTGGGTACCTAATAGGGGATAAAGGAACCAACTGATGGGGGTATGAGTCTAGATCTCAGAATAATGGAAATCAACTTGATGTGTCAGATGACGTGCAAGTAACATTGCCAGTAACTGGAACTCAGTTGTATATTTTTATTGCAGAAAAACAACAGGAAAAAATTCACTAGATGTAGCTAGCTTATGTATATTTTGATTCACTGTTTTTCTATAAATATGAAAAATCCTTATAGCTTTCTTCTAGCTGCTCTCTTCCCACATAATCCTGTATAATTATAGTCAAAGTAAAACCAAGCTACGTAATAGGACTGGCGATGATGATCATTTTGACAGTCTAGAGAAGGTGGTATAATGACTTATTGGAAAATTCATTGAGGGTCTATAATTGTAAAAAAAAAGATTGGGAGTTAAATTGTCACTAGGTGTCAGATATTGTGACCCCCACCAATCCTCTACCCACTAAACTTAAGGAGCGTTTATCCCTTACAATGATGAGCGGGGTTTGCAAGTAATTTTTGTATAATTCTTGGAGCTGGGCTTAAAGGGAACATCTGAGCTCCTAAACCGAGAACAGCAACTAACATGATTTGGGGTTTTATGTCTCCTTCATACTTTAAGATAATCCCAGAAGTGGTATACATGTGCATAACCTTGCCCCAAAGTGTATGCTGTGGCAGGGCACTAGTTTTTCATCCAGCATGAGGCATCTGCAAAATGTGTGCAGGTGTTTGCTGAAAGGGGTGGGACTTTACAGTTAGAAACACCTTTAGAGTGCTGAAAATTAGGCACCCCCTTAAAACATCAACCTTGGCCGCTGAACCTGAACAGAGTGAATCTGAGATGTATAAAGGATCAGCTGGCATGTTCTATATTTGGTGTTAGCAACAGGGTTGCCAACTATGTATATGTTGTACAGAGGACAGCTAGGACTATCCATTAATGTCTGTAAAAAAGTCCAACAACTCATAAGGCTTACATTTTGCAAGAGAATTGTTAGGACCTGGGCCATCTTCTGTGATGTCTCCCAATAACCAGCAGATCCCAGTAAACTGTCTCCACCTAAAGCTGGCTGCTGGGAAGGTATATAACCCCTCCTCTATCTTCACTCTCCTGTGTGCCATATA